TGACTTTGGCATGAAGAAGCCATACTGCAAATGTATTTGAATTTTCAGATTTGACATTTTCAATTGAATTTTGGTGCATATTGGCTCGGGCATATTTTGAAAATTAAATCTCAAATGGATTTTTCTTTTACATTTGAATTAAGTTACAGAATGATCAGTTTTATTTCTAATTTTATTTATGAGTCAAGAAGTGCAGGTACATTCTGAAAATACAAATGCATTTCTGTTCATCTATTTTCATTTGAATTATGATACAAATTTGCTTCCATACTTCAGTGCTTCACTGTTTGTTTCTGCAAGTTGACATCCCACCTAAGGCCAAAAGAGGATGATGGGTTTCATAAAAATGATCAGTATCAAATGGCAACTCCTTACAATATAATGTGTCTGTTTGCTCCAACTTGCAACCAGAATAAAATCCTTTTTTGGGCTTGCTTGCAACTGTTTGGACTGTTACTGTTATGTTCAAATGAGCAAAACGGATTGATGGTGCCAAGTTAGCCTGTAGGGCCCTGTCTGCAGAGGACACAAAAGGATTTACTGGGTAAGATAGGCCAAAAGGCAAAACAAAACAATACAATACAATACAATAGCATTTACGCAAGACAACCAGTGGAAAACAAGACACAAGTGGAGCCAGTTAGGGTGAAGTTGACACAATCACAATAGAGTCAAAAACACTCAAGGCAGGAAGTGAATCAAAACACGACCATGGGGCCTTCAGTCATGAGAAATAAGGCTGATGCAGAGGCGCTAAAACTGCTGAAACAGTTTTCCAAGTGCCCACTTGAGGCTGGCTGCAGGAGCATGGAAAACCATGCACCCGTCCATAAAAGTCTTTCTTAAGAGTAAAACAAAATAAAACTAACTAAAGGCATAACTCATTCCCTTCTCTGCACACACTGTACGCAAAGGATTTTCAAAAATATGTATCTTATTACTGTCAGGACTTTTTCCTTAACTTGACTTAAAGTGAGGCAAATTGGGGAGATCAGTGAAGCAGGAAACACAGGGGCAGGAAGTCAAGGGACCTGGACCAAGAGACAAGGGTGAGTGTCAAAATAAAACAGGAAACACAAGCCATGATGCAGGACATGAGAGATGGAAATAAAAACAGCTTTACTCATCCAGAGACGTGACAAGGGGCCCATATGACACACCTCTTTTTTGTTCAAGGCCACAGTCCAACAGAAACAATGTTTTCATCGAAACACTGAGCTTTATTTTAGAGGCTGTGATTGTTTGAATATGAACATCAAAAACATAAAATTGGATTTATAAGTTTAAATGAAAAGATGATAGTTACATACATAATATGTCCTTCTGAAGTAGTATGAGTATTACCAGAAACATTTATGCATGGTTCCTTGAAACTAAATACTATTAAATTACTTGTTTAAAAGTGTTCAGTTTATTTCCACCACTGGTTGGAAAACAGATTGGTTTTAATGTTCACACCACGTTCATGACTAATTGTAAAAGTGGAAAATTGGGGGTGACAAAGGCTTTATACTAGTGGCCTCTGTCCTTGATATTGCTGTCAGTGTGCCCTCCACACGCAGCAACTGTTGGCCCGACCCCTCCCTGCTGCATACCACCAATCTGGGGCCCTGTCCAGAAACAACACTTGTGTCTTCAACAGTTAGACAGAGGCCTGATAACAAGATCACAACCACACAACACAGCATTATTCTGCATTGTTCCTAACAATGTTATCTAATCCTTCATCTAATTTTTCAAAACTCCCACAAGTCTCACATGGCCCAGTGTTTCAAATGGATTATGTAAAGCTTACATAAATCTTAAACCTTGTCTAAAGAAAGGATGAATTTTAAAATTCTTTGAGGTGATTGTCACCAGCTGGTGTTGAAGGTTTCTCTCAGTCAAGAGATGACAGCTGTTCAAGAGAGAGGGAAGTTCAAAAATACCATTAGTACCATCAAGTTACTCAGTACATCATCCATACCAAATTAGACACCCAAAGAGCTCTGCAACCACCATACTATAGGATAAAATACAACACATTGTGGTATAATGCAGTACAGCATTATTTGTTACTATACAGTACAGTAGACTATATTACAGTATTACAAATGTGGTTGAATAAGATAGGATACAGTACAATGCCCCACAGCAATACAATGGGATATGATACAATAAACTACAACACAATACAGTATGATACAAATACAGCCCAGTATGTGATCACATGATATGGTATTTAGATACAGTATGGTATGATACTACAAGAAACAGAATAGAATTGTATGATATGATTATAACAACACAAAAATGTACACTATGATAAGATATGATATGAGAAAGCTTGGATCATTTAACAGTATGTTATGATCTAGTATGATACTGTATGACACAACAGTTTAAAATCTTATTTATAAATGATACAGTATTATAATAAGGTATGATAAACTTTGATATATTGTATAATCCTGTATGGTTTGAGATAAAACAATATTAGATAATTTTAGATATGTATAATCAGTCGTTGACTTGTGAAAAAAAATCAGGGGGGATGGTGGATTTCATTGTTGGGGACAGACATTTTGTTCTGTTAACGGTTCACATGGTGGGAAACCAACTATGTACCCATTTTATTGTTGCTAAAGCACAAAAATAATGATTATATTACATTAATAAAGTGAAAAGTGTCTTTTTCACACGTGCCTCCTCACTCAGAGTATTTTACTAAAATATGCGCAAAGCCCCCTGCCATAGGGTTTTCGCTTAAACAATCATAATATAAAAATACAGTGACAGTGATTTTTACTTACAGCCAGCCTTCCAAGGTGCGGTGCAAAAAATGGTAAAATACTGTTTACAAAATGTACAAGGCAAAAAAGACAGTGCCAACAAGGCAAGAGTTTCACTATAATTCAAGATTCACACTCAAGAAAAAAAAAATCAGAAACACAACAGCAACACAAGAGTCAGTTTGGCATTTAAGTTAATGCAACAAACTCCACACTCGAAGAAAGAAAGGCCCAGGCAGCCTTCTTTTAAACCCCTCTAGCCCCTCCCAGTGGGCGTTACTAACTACATAAATTTAGAAAAAACTCATTTACTCACATTTAAAACATTTTAACCATTTTTAACCTTCAGACCTTTTTCTATAAGTTTTTACCATTTTTACTACGTTTTTACACAAATCAATGGAGCATTAATTTTTAGGGATTCATGGCAAGAAACAAGGGTATTATTTTTTCTTGCATCATGTGACCACTTTGACCCTCCATACACACCTATTTTACACCCGGAAATCACGCGCTCTGTTTCCTCATTTGGAAACCCGAACTGGCATGATGGCGTGAATGAATGGACGCCCGGCAAGTAAGTGGAGAGATGAATGTCTGTGTGAATGTATGTTTAAGTTAGCCGATAGAGCTCCAAGTGTGCAACCTTGGTTAACCCTACAGAGAAGGGAGAAGGAAAAGTATCGCTGTTTGGTGGGGAAATAGCGACGCTGGCGGGGAGGGAAATGTTTGGCGCGTACGTGGGTATGCGCATGTGTGTGGCGCCATGTGCTGCCCGCAGTCAGTGAGGACGCCGCTCCGTCAAATCCCCCGAACGTTGAAATAGCGCTAACATGTCTAATGTTAAAATATTAGTAATGGAAAGCTGGGATGACTGTTTTAGAGGGGGGCATCCCTACTCATTCCCCCTTAACTCGAGTACAAGTATTGTCTGTTGTCTCACATAATATGTCTCTAAAAGTTAACTATTTACATAAGAGTTGTAAAGCCTGATGGCTGTTGGTACAAAAGATCTTCTGAATCTTTCTGTCCTGCAGCGAGGAGAGAGGAGCCGTCCACCACCATTTGCCCTTTGGTCCATCAAGGTGTTGTGAAGTGGATGATCCATGTTCTTGAGAATAGTCTCCACCTTCCTCAGTGCAGATCTCTCCACCACATCCTCCACTGAGTCCAGCTTGAATCCTACCACAGAGCCAGCCTTTTGTTAAGACGTCTTGCATCTTTGTGTTTGATGCTTCCTCCCCAGCAGACTGCAGCGTAGAACAGAACACTTACACAGAACACGATACTACCTATATTTCAGATCATATGCAGACAAAGAAAAAGAGCAGGTCTAGACCACACTCATTGTTTGATGAATTATCAAGAACCAACCTAAGATGAGACAGATTCGGCCCATCTCATCTAACATGAGTGACAGTGGCAAGGAAAAACTTCCTTTTAACAGGCAGAAACCTTGGGTAGGACCAGATGTTTCTTAACATCTAAGTCCTCTTTCTGACTGGTAATGTATAATTGTTTGAGTCATTGTTGTAAATGAAATGTCATTGCAGAATGTTTGTGTGTCTGCTTGGTATTAAATGGACTTTGGATTATATACAATATCTTCTAGTACCATTGTTGTTCACTTTTTAAAAAGCGATATTGGCTCTTAAAATCCAAAACATGATGTGGATGTAGTTCACTTCTTAAAACAGCAAGAACAAACATGCTTGTGTGGTATGTCTGAACACTCTCAAAAGTGTCAAAAGTTTAACGATTCTACCCAGAAACATGCCAGAGATAATTTACTGACCAATCCAATTTATTTTAACCTCATTGTACATTCAGAGAAAGTGCCAATCTAAATAAATTTTTAATGTTTCAAATCAAATCAATCAATCAAATTTCATTGATGAATTCACAACAGTCATCATCCAAAGACGTTTTTCAAAGAAAAAGAGCAGGTCGAGACCACGCTCATTGTTTGATGAGTTATCAAGACCCAACCTTATGATGGGACAGATTTGGCCCATCTTATCTAACGTGAGTGACAGTGGCAAGGACAAACTTCCTTTTAACAGGCAGAAACCTTGGGTAGGACCAGATGTTTCTCAACATCTTAGTCCTCTTTTTGACTGGTGATGTATTATTGTTTGAATCATTGTTGGAGTCTTAGTGCACTTTTTTGTTGACACAGGCAGTCGAAATAGGCTTAATTTTGTTCTGAAAGTAGAGATGAAACAGTTTCTCAGAAGTTGTGGACAAGTCTAGGGAGCTGTTCTTCCGAAAAAGGTGCTGAATCTTTTGGGTTTTGGAGAGTGCTGTCATGAGGCCACGTGCTTCTGCAAAGTTTGATCGTATTACTAAGACTCACTTCAGAGAGACACTACCATACCATGGGATTTTCCTTGGGACTCCCCCCCATCTCTCTCTCTCTCCCTCTCGTTCTCTCTCTCTCTCCCTCTCTCTCCCACTCAACCTTCTCGCTCTCCGCCGTCCCTGTCCCAGCAGCCCGCAGAGTTTTCCGTCCTGTGTCGAGATAACATCGTATACGCGGACCACCTGACGGTAAGACCGGTCTAAATGGAAGCAGCGGAGGAAACTCTCACTTACCGAGATGACGCCGTACTTCACAGGAAGCTGCTCCCAGAGGACAAAGAGACTAAAGAGACGGACATAAAGAAGGGCTTCTCTGCCGAGACAAACAGCGACGAGTCCAACTATGTGGATCTGGACATGAAACCGGACGGCGCAAAAACAGTGAAAGTGACTTTCACTGGCGAGGGGAACCAGCTGTCTGTTGTAAAATGCGACAAAACAAAGAAAGGAGAGCTTGAGAAGGAGATTAAAATCATCTCAGAGGACTTGTTTGTGTCTAGGGACAAACAGGCCACCGATCCCGGACCTGTTTTGGGTGAGCCTCCCGTGGAAACTCTGATCACACTTCCCAACACAGACAAGGACTCGGAGAACGAGAGCCACGGCCGGGCCAGGCAAGACGCGAGTGACTACAGTGAGAGTGAAGAGTTCCTTTACACAGACAACTATCTGAACAGCAAAACCGAGTCTGATGATGGTGCCAGTGCGGTTCTGTCCGACCAGTGCGGCTCCGACACCGTGGAGGACGAGTCTCACTATATCACGACGCACGAGATCCAGTTGACCGAACTCGACCACGATGTAGATTACGACCTGGGCCGAGGGACCTGCTGGGATTTCGAAGACAACAACCTGGTTTATTCCTTTGTGGATTACGCGTCTTTCGAGAGCGATGACACGCAGGAGGGGACTCTGATCCTGGAGGGCAGGAGCCAGGCGAAAGTGCAGTCTAATCTCGGGGGGGCGGTTGTCAGCACGGAGGAGCAGGAGGAAAGTGATCTCGGTGACTCGGATAAATGCGCAAGTTCAGATGAAAGTGTGAGTAAAAACCAAATCGTGGACTCTAATGCGGGTAAAATTCATTTATCCATCAAAACCTCCTCCAGAGCGGTGAACGAACCTGACAACACCTGTGGCTATACCAAACACTTTGGAGACAGGAGCCAGTTCTCCTTTGTGAGCTCTGGCGCCAGACCGGGGCCCCTGTGCGATAGAACCCAATATTTCATCCCAGCGCCGGGCCGTCAGCACCTTGCGACCAAACTGAGACGGAAAGATATTAATGAGTATTCCAGCGGAGCGTCCAGCTCCATCAGTGAGCTGGATGACGCTGATAAAGAGGTGCGTAATCTAACCGCCAAGTCCTTCCGGAGTTTGGCATGTCCGTACTTCGATGCCATAAATCTTAGCACCTCGAGTGACTCTTCGTTGTCTGAATATGGTCTAAATAAATGGTCGGCTTATGTGGACTGGAATTATGGAAACATAACCCGAGGAGGGGAGCGCAGCGTAACGGCGCACAAGACATCAAGCGCAACACTGGAAATGCAAAAGACTATGGGCAGTAAGAGGCAGGGTAAGTCTGTTGCCGGCATGAAAGCTCCACAAACCAAAATGTACACACTAAACAAGAAAACAAGTCAACAATCTTCCTCTTCTGGCAAAAAGGTCGATTTGACAGATCAGCCGCAGCAGCGCGGGGTCACGCTGAATTTTCGCTGCAATGTTGAAGCGCCCGAAGGCGCCAGACGGCCAAAATGCTCCAAGATTGCACGAACCAGTGCGGTCACAGAGAATGAGTTGGTCAGGTCAGGATGTGAGATGCAGCAACAACAACACACAGACAACACGGGGGGCACACACAAAAGAGCAGTCTTCGCCTCAAGTCTGCTCAAAAATGTAATCTCTAAAAAGATGCAGTTCGAGCAGGAGCGTAAAATGGAGAGAGGGGAAATTCGCGATACATACCCAGCACCTTCACCGAGTTCTCAATTTAAAGATCAAGATGCACCAAAAGACAGGTGTCATGGAAACGGCATACAAAGACAGGGTTCAGAGTCAGGTTCAGGATTTAACTCTTCTGATGATCAGCGACTGGAGGGCAGCAGACCTGGTTCCTGTGAGCCTGCAGAGGAGCAAAGAGGTGATAAAGCACCACCTGAGTCAGAGAGCACTTCCCCCAAAGCCCTGCTGTGTCAGAGTCAGAGCAGTGCTTTTAATGCAGTTAAAGACGATGAGACAGAAGCTGCAAAGGACTCTGAACCCACACCTGTAAGTGACACACAGACCTCAGCTAAAGAAGTGTTAGACACCAACAGCATGCTGACAAAACTGCTTTTTGTTCCAAGCTACCAGCTCCATTCAAAAAAGAAGGAATTTAAAGAAGACCTGCAAGCAGATACACCTGAGAAAGGAGGCGCTGAAATAGGAGGGAAAACCCCAGAGATTAAAATATGCCTTAGAAGCGTAAAGGAAAATAAAGGCTGTACACTGAACATCGCCAGCCTTTTAACCCCCAAAATTAGTTACAACACTGTTAACACATTCAGAGCAGCAGGCAATGCTAAATGTCACGTTTGGTCAGCTGCAGATAAAATTCCAAACTTCACCGTCAGAGATATAAGAGACACAAAATGCAAGTTTCAAACACCCATCTATCAGGTCAGGGACGTGCGTAAACTGGTCAAAAGTTCATATCGCTTCGTTTCTTTGGATAACAGTGAGAGTAAATTTTCAACGGCTGCTGATAAACCTGAAGCCTCAAAGGAGCCGATGAAGCATTTATTACCATCGCCTATTGTGATTAAATGTCATTCTGTTAAAACAAATGTGAAACAACAGGCTTCTGAGGTGTCACAGAAACAAGCAGAAGCTCCCCAAAGCGAAAATACACACAGCAGAGTGACGAGCGCCGCATCGAAGCAGCCTCATGCTGACCTGGCAGACAGTCAGACAAGCGTGGACTCAAAGCTGTCAAAACAAAGGCCGGAAAAGTTCGCAGGTGAGCCTAAGATACCAAAACAAGCCGCGTTAGAGAAGCTCAAAGCTGCAGTCAAAACGATGGAGCAGCTTTATGTTTTTGACAGAAATGAGTGGAAGCGGAAAAACCAGGCCCCTCAGACAATCACAGGCAGCCATGTTTTGTCACTTATTGCCAGTGAGGAGCAGGCAGCAGAAGAGCCAGAGGTGATGAGTCAGTCTTTGACACACAGCACAGACGCAGACAAACCGCAGGAAGCTAAAAGAGCTCAGAATATCATTCACGTCCCGTACAGTGATGACACGTTTAAGACACAATCACAGCAGCAAAGTCAGACATTCAGTAATAAAAGCGTCCTCCATTTAGGCAACAAAGCACGAGTTAGCGTCAGTTCAGTTAAGAACTCTGTTCCACAAAAATCTGAGCTGCAGACTTCATCGACTATGAAAAGCTCCAACACATCAGCGGCTCCTCTGTCAGTGAAAATAGAGCCCCCCAAACACGGCCAGGTGGAGCAGGGAAAGGTCAAAATCATTCCCACTAATCCCGCTGTCACACAGGCCTGCACAGACTCTGAGAACTATTTAACCATCCCGGGGCTGGGGTACACGAACGAAATCAAACTGCAGAACACAGAGCCTGTTTCCAGTGTGGACCGATCGAATATTCATCACATCAAAACAGTTGAGAGCAAAACACCCCCGATAATCATGGAGTACCCCGCTGCGAGTATCTACCATCATGTGAGGGCGCCGGCAGGGCCTCCTGCAGCACAGCAGGTGTTGTGTATCTCCCCCTCCATCCCCACAGTGTCGCCCACACCTTCTGCTGGAGAGACTGCCCCGCAAACACAGCGCAAGATGCTTCTGGACCCTTCCACGGGACATTATTACCTGGTGGACACCCCCGTACAGACCACCACAAAGAGACTGTTTGACCCTGAGACAGGCCAGTTTGTGGATGTACCCATGCCCCATTCTCCTGTGTCACCCGTCACCCCTGTTACCCCAGTCACCCCCGTCACCCCTGTTCCTCTCTCTGTCTCACCCCTGGCTCTGAGCCCCGGAGCATACGCCCCCACCTACATGATCTACCCCGGCTTTATCCCGTCACCCACCCTGCCAGCCCAGGCTGTGTTAACACAGTCACCGTGTCTGTTGGAGGATGCAGGCGGAGACAAGGTGAACAATGCCCGAGGCCCAAGACTGGAGGCGAACGCAGCAGGAGCAGAGAGTGTGTATTACAGCGCGACAGGTGAGGCTGCACTGCAGTTGCCAGTGAGCTTGGGACATGTGACCCCAACAGGAAGCGCAGTGAGCTCTGACAGGAAACCAGTCATCAGCATCACCACGCAACAGGGTCCAAGAATCATCGCCCCGCCCTCCTTTGATGGAACAACAATGAGCTTTGTAGTGGAGCATCGGTGACCAAGAAATCATCTCATCATACATGTAAGTGAACTTATAGTACATGTATTTCAATCATTAAAAATAGTGGAGCTTGTGTAGATGATGGACATAGTGCGTTACCCTTCAAATGTCCTTGTCACTCCTGCACATCTTTCTATCTGCAAGTAAATATCTGACAGTGACTGCCAACTTTACTCTCACAGTTTTCACTGAATTCATTCCTTGTTGACATGGTTGAACTGAAAAGAGTTGTATGTCATTGTAATTTTTATTTAGATTACATTTAGATTTAAACACATTCATCATAAAGTATGAAGTACACATCATATGGCTCAGCCCAAAAGTATAATACTTACTCAGATTAAATGATTCAGAGTCTTTCCTAACTTAATGTTGTATATAATAGTACAATACAATTAAGGGTTAGTTTTTCAAATTATCACCATTCTGCATAAAGGCAATCTAAATACAAAACCACCGACTTAAATGATCTGCATCAGTGGATTGTTTATTCTGATATTATGTGAATAAACTTGGAGCCTAAAGGATTTTACCAAAACAAATACTTATATCCATTTTTGACATACAGTTTTTTTATGGGAGCATGTTTATAAGATTAATGCACACCAAAGCTACCAGCTGGAACAATAACTCAACTCTGACAAAGGCTAAGATTTTAACTTGTGTAATTAGAGAGGTCAAAAGAGCTCCAGCAACACTTGTAGTTCAGGAAAACAGCTTTATTCGACCGACGTGTTTCGGCTTGTGGCGTTCATCAGGGTTATCAGAAATGCATTGCATTGGGTCATTGACCCTGATGAAGGCCACAAGCTGAAGCGCGTCAGTCGAATAAAGCTGTTTTCCTGACCTGCAAGTGTTGCTGGAGCTCTTTTGACCTCTTTTAGACCTTTTTTCTCCAAGCACCTTGGAAGTTGGTGAAGTTGTGCCAGCACTTTTGTTCTCCAAATTGTGTCATTAGCCCTTTATTTGCCGTTAACCAAAAAAAGCCCTTAGTCACCATCAGGTTAATCATAGTCCTATTTAATATTCAGAGGTTATGATGCTGAATTGTGTTGTCTCAGCGGTCAGCAGTTCTGGTCTCTTGCAGACATGTGGACCTATAAGGTCCTGTAGTTGTCCGTGAGATCTGACATCATTTTGATGTCTCTAATGTTGCTAATGCAGCAGTCCAGCTGGGCCGCTTCAGCAGCGGCATGTCAGTGTTAATAGACATGCAGTAGCTTCATGACAGGTTACTTGACTCCTCTGAACTGCAGCCGGGCATGCTGGGAGATCTGATTTTCAGCAGTGGCCTGCAGCGAGTTCTCTTTTCTCTGCATTACACACCGTCGGGCTATTTTAATAGTGTGAGACGAGTTTGTTTACATGGTTTATTCTCAGGGTTAGAAGGTGTCACAGGAAAGTATTCCAGCCTGTGACACCTTACATTGGGTTATTCTTATAAATGCTTTAACTACTCAGGTAACATGACTCTTCATTTATGTGTTCGTTCCTTGAATCATTTCCTCCCTCTGTACTTTTTTTCATTATGCAAACACTGAATCTCCTGTAAGAGGTTTTATTATTATTTATTATTATTAAAAACATTAGTCATACTATCAGTATAAATATTTTTTTCTTCATATTTATTTTTAATATCTGACACAGCTCTGAGGGGGTAGGTGTCAGATCAGATGATTGACTGCATGCTACAGAAACAGCCTTGTTTATTATATTTATTATGGGACAGAATTTGATTGAGTGCTTTACTACTCTGCTTAAAAGAGCTTTAAATACTTTTACTAAAACAAAACAGTCAGTAATCAATCGAGTAAAGCAACGGATTTTTTCATGAATTCAACAAAATAAAAGCCTCTTTATTTCTGTTGAATTAAGGCTAAACCTGTGTGGTGGTTGGCTGATATGGTGTAAAATGAGTTTGTGATTTCCAGTATTTTAAGGCAGCTAAATTTGAACACAGATTGGTTGATGGGGATTGACAAGCCAAGCGCCTCCATAAATAATAACCCCTTTCTCTACAATTTATTCAGACTCTTTTCTTGATTGTCTTTCAATATAACTCATATTTCATTCATCATTTAGTCATTTCACAGAGCCTGCATATCATATAATTCAATCTTTTAGTAAAATTGAAAACTTTCAGGATTTTTCAAGTGTTTTATCAGAATCAGAATCAGCCTTTATTGTCATTGTACACAGTGCAACAAAATTTGAGCGCCACTCCCTTTGGTGCAAAACAATAGTATTTAAATAAAAACACTAAAAACACAAAGATAAGAAATGTAAATAAATATGTAAGTAAATAAATAATAAAACCCAAGTTTTGTTCTTATAGAATGATGACTTTACCATCAGTCTTAGTTACTCTCAGCGTTTACTTTGCATTTTCTAGTGAAATCTTACCTCTTAGTGCGCTGTGTTAACTTCAGACAGGATTTGGGCGGAATGCTAACTTGTTAGCAGATTTTTAAAATGCTAATAAAATGGGCATGCATTACATGGATCACAAGTTACCTATGGTATGACAGTCCCTTTGTATTGTTGTCTTACGGATGAGCAGCAGTAAAGTAGCATGCAAAAGTCAGACAAAAAATGGTTGCAAAAATAAATATTTACAAACTGATAAGATAAACCAAAGAAAGAAATGCAAAAAGACCGCTTGGATTGAAACTGTTTACTCCTAAGTGCACCCTCTTAGGAAAGAGAAGATTCTTTCTCTGCCTCTCATACACTCATATATACACACCTACAACTAGTCACAACCCATTCTCAGCTAATGTGTCAGAGCAATAATACAACTGCATGAGCATGAGGGAGATACATATCAGCCGGGTGCGTGGCAGGCAGGGGCCTAGCATGGGGTTGAGTAGTGGTTTGAAGAGGAACACAGTGTGTGTGTGTGTGTGTGTGTGTGTGTGTGTGTGTGTGTGTGTGTGTGTGTGTGTGTGTGTGTGTGTGTGTGTGTGTGTGTGTGTGTGTGGGCGCGCGCAGCAGTGGTGGGGGTGTTTGTGGCGCAGGGGAAGAGGGGGCATGGCTGGGATAGTGATGCAGGAGGAAAAGGTCAGGCAATGTAAAGTATTTGTTGTGCTGATGCAGGGAGAGGACAGCTGCTCAGACGGATCAGATGCTGCTGCAGCTCCAGCTTGGAAGCGAGTCTGTGGGGCTGAGATGGGGTCAACTTTTTATAGCCCCCTCCCCCTCTCCTTTTTCCTTAATGGGGAGAAGGAGGTGGGGAGCACTGCCAACCTCCAACACTCCTACGTAAACAAATCAAAAAGCATGACTCCATGAGCGGTGTAGCCGAATCTGGTTGGCTAATCCAGGACCAGAATTTTGAAGTTACCTAAATGTTTTCTGATCTGAACCTTCACTTCAGTTTCACTGAATTCATCTGAGTTTAACAAACTTCTCATGTCTCCTCTGTCACCCCAGAAATCTCCACTGAAGAGTCTGCCCTCACTCAGCGAGAGTGCAAGTTTCATCTCCATAACCCCACCCTACCTGTGATCTACTCCCAAGGAAAACCTCAACCATGAAAATCGTATCCCTACTTGCCCTGTTGTTTATCCTTGCAGCAGACCTTACTAATATCTGTATGCATTGTAGCACTTTGTAGGATAAAAGCATTCAGCCACATCCTCTGGTTGATGCTGCGCCATCTTGTTTTATGAAACTGCTTGGTAATACTTTCCATTTAGCTGCTGTCTAGAACTCTTGAAATGCTGTTTCGGCCCTGCAACAGGTCAAAGGAAACAAGACAGGTTTTCTATTACAGTTCAGTTTTGGCAGCCAAGCCACAATTATAAGACTGTATATTTTATGTTACTTTGTGTTTAAGGCAAGACTATGCAGAACAAAACAAAACTTTATTTACCTGTTTGTGTTTGTGTTGGATCAGTCACAGATTTTGATCTTATCGTAAAAATCAAAACACAAATTTTCCCCTGTATATTCCTCCAGATTACAGTATTGTTGACGCTTCCATATGGGTATATTAAGCAAAATGTGATGGCAAGATCGCCTCTTTATAAGTGGCCAAAAAATGTAAACAGAACAAAAATTTTTCTTGCAGTCCAAATAGATCTCTCCCTAAAGGCTGCTAATGTTCAACAAACTTCCAGATTTTTTTTCCTACATTCCAATAAAATCTTGGGATATTATCGATAGATGGCTTGTGTCCAAACCCCTGATGTTAAAAGTAACAGCACAGAGCTGATCTGTTATCTGTTCTTGATCTGGTGACAACCAAAGTGTCATGTGAGGGTTAGGGAAAGTACCTGTAAACTAGCCGGCTGATGTGGTGTTTGTCGATTTTAAAAATAGAAAATGTGGGCAAACACACACTCTGGCTGTGCCACATCACTCAGCCTCCCAGGAAAAACTTATATCATGGTGGTGGAACGACACAGTTAGCTCATCTAGATTACTTCTGGATAAAAAAGAGAAACTTGCTTCTGTTTTCTCTAAGTTGGTGAGTACCTTCAGTATGAGGTAGTGTTTCCATTATTAGCTGCCATTATGTCTTCAGTTCTATTCAGGTTCTGAGACAGATAATGCTGCGTTCCAGTTACCTCGGAAGTCGGATGTCGGAGCTGGGAATGACATTTACCCGAGTTGACGACGTTCCAGTTAACAAGTCGGAAAACCAAGATGGACGCCTACTCTTAGCTATTGGTAGTTGTTGTTCACAATTGTCAGCTGTCGTTAGCTGTTGTTAGTTGTTGTTAGCTATACAAGCTGTGAACAACACATAACACAGTATTTTACTCTTACAAACACCATAGCACCGTGTTCACAGTTAGACAGTGGGCAGCACAACATATGCTACTTATTTAATTTCACAAAAACAAAACAGAAGTGCTAATAAATAAAACATTACGAGAGCTTTTACTGTCACTCTTTAATGTTTATGCACTGCGCTGCCATCTTGGATTATGACGTCGTCAAGTCAGGGTTGGTGAGTATCATCCGACTTGCCGAGTTGCAAATCCGACTTCAGGGGGGCGTTCTAGATGAATTTCCGACTCCAAGCTCAGAAAGTCCGACTTCCGAGTACAACTGGAACGCAGCATAAGTACATTGTCACATTTTCTTTAAGGGATATTCAAGGACTGAATGGTGATGATATGGTTCTGCTGCCTTTATGACACCAGAACACACTGAGGTTTGGAAACTGACTTTCCTTCAAAGCAGTACTGAGAGGAAGTGAACCAAAGTGATCCAGCCAACAGATTTAGACCTGAAAATCTGTAGATTTGTTCCAGACAAACACAAATGCAGGAATACAATAAGAGTTGACCCACAAAACACTGTAGACCATTTATCCGGGGAATGCCCAGGATCCTTTAAGGGATGACAAAGGATACAAAACATACAGGTGATCAACAGCCAAAAAACTAATGGCTGAAGTGATCAGTCTGTAAAACCTTAAACACTACTGGACATCAAGAAAAAAAGGGAATTCTGGGTGCCATTATCCTGCCTCTAACTACTGTTTTTGGCCAAAGAGGCCACTTTTGGTTAAAACTTGCATAGTCTTGCTTTAATCCAACGATAGGATGATCATTGGAAAACGTGCATTAATGTGTATTTTACACAAATTTTTGAGGACAGGGACCATTGGTCTGCACTGAATTGTAAAAACAGACTTAATTGGCTATGGTGATTCACTTTTTTAAAACAGAAAACTGTGTTAGATGTTTTATTTAGATTGTTTGTGTTTCCAAATAATATATTTCAAAGATGTCACCAACAGAAGGTAAAACAGGGATGGCTGACATTGCTATGTTTAATATGACCTCACTCCAACACAAATTGTCGGCATTACGTTAAGATGTTTTCGAGGAGTTAGTAGCTCATGTTCTACTTGAAGTATGTGTCACCTCTGTGTAATGACACACAAAATGCTGCTAATACCTGTACATTTGACATGACGCTGAGTGACGTGTTGTATCTTTCTGTTCAAAAGCACATGCCTCACATGTTTATTGTAAGAAGTCGAGAGAAACACACCGAGTGTGTTGTTAAGATGAAACACAGCTGGGACTCTGGTGTAAAAGTGAACTTAGGTTACCATTTCCTATGTGCTGTTGGGCCTAATGAGTCAGATCCAGCTAAGATAATTAGGGGGTTACTTCCTCTATGCTGTTTGTTTATATTTTACACTTTTGTGTAATGACATGGGAGTTAATGCATGTGCAATCTGAATGTGTAAGTGTGTGACTGTGAGTTATGTATGGCATTTTGGTATTCAGTGAGCATACAACAAGGAATCATATTACTTTACTGTAGACAGGAGCATCATCCAAGCATATGTTGGTTGTGTCTTTACACTTTATACACAGCAATGTCAGTTACTCTTGAGCAAATAACTTGACTGCTTCACATTTCACCCATAGAAACTAGTTTTTATTTGAATGACAACTATAGGATGCTATTACAATCTTTTTTTCTCCTGCAACTTAATTTTTTCTGTCTTGTTTCCTATTGACCATGCAGTGGAGATTCATAGGTCAATACTTGACTCAGTTGCTTGTATCCCACACAGGATTTTTGCAAATTGTAGATTGCTATTTTTAGCATGTTATAAATTTAAAACCAAATTAAAGGTATTTGGAGCTGCTGGTCAGTCTATGTACCTTCTGTTGAATACATGTTATTATGAATCTGTAGCAACAAACTTTATATAAATTGCCCTGTGAGCTTATTTCATTACAAGTAATAAGAATACATGCAGTGATTTGAAAGACTTGTTGTTAACTGTGCCGTAGACTTGAACGATTTGCTTTGAGAAGCAACCTGGTGTTAGAACATTAAATGCATTTTGAGGTGAACTGGTAGTTAAATTTTTACATTAAAGTCAGAACACATCTATTTTTTTAGACGCCATGAACTCCACAGGCCGTGTACGCCTTCTGTTGGACATTATTTCAAAAAGGTAGCCAGAGGGGGAACATTAAAAACTTGCTGCTGTGACTTCATTTCCGATCATTCAGAATGAGAATAATTAAAAGTCGATTTGGATCCCTGTGGAGTATAAAATATCAAAAGCAACATTATTTAATCACTTTAAAATCCAGTCATTCTGGTGCTTTTATAAAGATGAAACACATCAAGACCCTGTTACCAAATGTATTTTTTAGTGCCTTGTATGACCTAATCTGTGAATAATACTGTACTTAATGCACTTGAATTTTCACTGTTTTATAAGCAACACTGACAGCAATGATTGGCTGAAAAAGATTGACAGCTGGTGCTAGCAGGGGCACTCCAGGGACTTTTGACTTGTAAGATGAGACCCTGTGAAGTGTTCCCGGTGAATTTCCCCCCAAAGATGCACTGTGTCATAGTTTTGAATAAAAGTTGATTTTTCCCAATCCTAATCCTAAAAAAAAAAAAAAAAACCCTGCTGACTTTTAGGTTGAATATGGGAAACCAACGTGATCAGAGCTTGCTTTTTGGGACAGAGGGTTGACTGAATGTAAGATGGTATGAGATAAGTATGTATGGCTGTACAAAGAGGAAGGGCAAATGTTGAAATGAAATGCCTTCATGGCTACACTGTCATGTCTTGGCATTGTATGTTAAAGATGGTGTCAACTGCATGTGGCTGCCCCAGAAAGAGACAGAAAGACGGAGAGGTTGGGATGACAGTGGAGAGCTATCTTCGAAGGAGAAGTGAGTGCTGTGTCGACACTTACAAGCTTGAAAGTAATGAAAATGATGAATGAGTGCTATGTGGACTGACAAGTCAACATATGTTTGCAATAAATTCAAATGCAAGCTTCTGAACATGTTTGTGTCTTTGAATTTGAATTTCTTGAGTAACTAACAGTGCTTAGTGGAACTTATGTTTGGTATTTCTATCTCATGTGATGACTAGGGTCATCAGATTAAGATTATCAGGAATATATATATATATATATATATATATATATATATATATATATATATAAAACACTCCTGTTGTTTATTAATGCTACAGGAATGTCAGGAGGCTATTTTAGTCTTTCTTTTTGATGGATCACACTTTGAAAATGTTAAAAAGTTCAACTAAAGGCTGTTTATTTATTTCAAAAGGTTATTAAAAAGATATTGAGTTGAACTTCATAAAAGAATGATTTAAAGTGTCAACTTGGCTAACTCAGGGATGTATATTTTTAAATTTTACTACAATCGCTCAAAAGATGTTCCCATGAATTGTTTTTGTATGAGTATAAACACAGAAATATGTTTATTGATAATGGATAAAACCATTATTAATGCCATTTAAAACATTTTACAAATAGCTATTTAAAAGATCTAAATTAAGAAAATAAACATAGAATTAATTAATCTGTGACAACACATGCCTCCACAAAATAAATATGTATGAGTATGAGGATGCACCAATTACAGTTAATCTTCAACAGCATGTTTAATTAATAATGTGTACCTCACTATTTAGTCCTTAAACTTTTTTGAACCCTTCATTTAGGACTTTGCGATGGACATTTTTTCAGATTTTATTTCTCTGATTTTCTCTGGTAATCTCACGTACTCTCTAGTCTCCCTAAATTTAGCAGTGATGTTTTGCTCTGTAAAGTGTGACCATTAAAGGTCATATCCTAAAAAACTTAGTAATAGAAAAGGACAGGGGTCAAAAGGAATTGAACAGATTTATACCAACAGGGGAACACATTTGGCATCTGCCAGCGTGCAAGGTTCGCTTTCTGGTGACACTGAAACATCACCCGGCCGAGGCTTAAGTTTAACCTGACAGTTTGCTGTTGTGTTTACTTGGTTGCCATGGATGCAGCTAGACTGGCAGACACTGGTTTGCCCCCAGCTGCTCTCGGTGGTTTCTGAAGAATCCACATTCAGACCCAGTTGTTGTATTTAGATGCCAGCGCAGGGCTCTGATGTCATAGCTGTGACACAAGAAAAGTCCAGATTTATTGCCTCACCTGGATCAACAGGTGTGTGTGTGTGTGTGTGTGTGTGTTACATTTTCAGTGCATTTGGTTTCCTACGTTACTATCACTGCAAATCTGGGTCCCCATTGGGTTGCTTGAACTGAAACAGCTGTGTATGCAAAGTTAAAAGTATAAAGTAGACAGAAAAACTGATTTTATAAGTTCCATAAATATCTACTGGCCCCAATTTGGGGCCTCTGTCCTGAAGTAATTATTTAATCACACTAAATTTTTCTTGGCAACATCAAAAAACAAGCCATAGAAGTGTGTTCACACCTGTGCTTGATAATCATAAGTGTATTTGTGTGCCTTCCTCTTCTAAACTGGGTAACATGGAAACTTTTCTGGCTCATGGTAAATGTAGTCTCCTAAAGCTGAAATCCAGCTGCTGATACAACCAGATTAAATGCTGTTACTAATCTGCTTTTTCATGGCCAGTCTGAAAGTCAAGATTCCCAATCAAAGCTGAAATGGTGCGGTCGTTCAGACATCTTGTTCTGCTAAATTTAAAGCCACGAGCCCAGCAAACACGTGTTTCCAGTGTACATTTATTTTCATCCAGTTATAAATCTAACAAAATGATCTCTTCATGTATAAACCCAGAGTACTTCTGTAATCCTAAAACCACCCCACTTTTTTAAAAGAGCAGTTCAAGCCATGAACAAAAATTAATTCAGGTGTTCAAATCAGTCAAGTTCCATTAAAGACCATTCAGATCATGAAGAAATGGAAATATTTGATTTTAATCCACTTAATAAGTTATTTCAAGCAAGTGAACAGTGGTGCAGTGGCACAAAAACAATACATTTCTCCTCCTTGGTAAACACTGTAATTAAAAAAGAAGGTGTGCTAACAGTAAGGAGCGTTTCTATTCATGATAATCCACTGTCTCCACACTGGTATTTACATTGGCATCTTTACTGTAAGTGAATTGGAAAATAACAGTATAGATGATATTACCCACCTAATAAAACATATCACACCCTGTATTTCCCATTTATAAATACATTTTCAAGGAAATAAAATGACAATGCAAAAATTCCTGATTATAAACAAACTGTCCAATTAGAATGACTAAAATACTTACAGGAATGTAAACATTGTGTTTGTGCTGTTTAAAAAAAAAGACGTTTCACCATTTTCTTTCTTTTGCTTTTCCACTGCAGGCTGAAAGTGTGACAGCTGTCCCTGACAGCAATAGATCCTCTATGAGTGATAATGCTCTGCCCATACAAATGACAGCTCGCTCCTGGGTAGTTCATGTCATCTCCTCTACCAGCTGGAGTCAAAAACCTTCTTGCACATGTTTGAGTTCTCCTGGTGAAGAGGGAATTCAGAGCCTGGGACAAGCATCTTCTTGCTCTTGCGCGACTCAACGCTCTTTCCCGATGACAGACTCTCATACTTGGTCAGGTACTCACTGAAATCAAGACAAATGGAAGTTAGGTTTTGCTGACGTTGTCACACAAAACTGAGTCGCACATAAAAGTTTGGTGATAATGTGAGTCAACAACAGGTAGGTCATATGTCGCATAACCCTTTAATACCTGAAACTGCAAATTATGGCCAGAAATTTTCTAATTTTTTGGAGCTGAAATGTTTTTTTCCCTTACTTATGAAAACCAAAAAAATCCAAATGTCCTTGAAATTTAATGAATTTATTTATCTCATTTGATACATTAGATGTTTTTGGAAACTGATAAACCAAAAGAGAACATTTTTATCATTTATCAGACTGTATTAAGGTGTTTTTTTGGAATTTGTTGATCATATTGATTGATAAAATTTTTATAAAAATATGTATCAAATATGATACAAAAGGCAATAAAGGGTTAATGTTATATCCAAAGTGATAACATGGCAATTTAGAATTTGTTTATAAAGCTAAAAGTAAGCTAGGTTTTTTTAATTGACATAAAATATCATGAACATGTTGAAGCAAGTGAGGTGAAACTTATCTGGATAACAACAATCAAACAATCTGTGCAAACCTGAATTGAAAAATGGCACCTGGGTTAAACACAAATGTAAGGTGACATAATAATGTTACAGCTTCATCACTTCACATGATTACAAGACTATTGTGTTACACTAGGAAGTCAATGTTACAGCACAATAATATTGTGTAACCTCATCGTGATAACAATGGAATAACAACATCCCTATAGGAGATAACTATGTTGTAACGACGCTGTTATGCCAAACACCAATAATAGGGGTTTGTTTTCCAATAGAACAGTTTTACATTACCTGACAGGGAAAGTAGTTTTGTCCATCTGCATGCAAACCAGGAAAGGATATTCAGAAAACTGGACGGTGGTGATGAAGTCCAGTGACGCTTCTGTTTCAAAGCTGACCTCCACACCTGCTCTCATGAAGTCCATGTCCACAGTAACGTTCCCAGTGACCACCAAGGCTCCCCTGAAAACATGAACAGGTTAATCGAATAAGTCCAAAATAGTCCAAATACACATCTCGATATCATTCCTTGTAGATTTTTTAATAATCTTATCCCTGTAAGTATACAGTATATCAGGATGTGAATCAAACGTGATAAACTGCACAACAGTCTATCACCCTTCAAGCACAATCAAAACATGAACTGTTCTGTTTTTAGGGCGGTATTAAACATTACACGTGTGAAATATCTTATATGTAAGTCCTGTAAGTACTAAACTTTTGTACTAACGTGAATTTGTCACAAAATTAGTCTTCTACTTAGCGGTACTTTAACAACTACCCTTCAAAAAGTATGTTGGAGTGGAATAAACATCAGAGATAACCTGCGGTTGAATACGGTTCCCAGTATACAACTGTAATTGACAACCTCCAGCCAATCAAAGGCCTGATTATTTATTTACCTTCTCACAACCGCTTGTGCACGACTAAGTATTTGTGCCACACAGTTTGCACATAGCAAAATCACTAACACATAGACTATTTAATTCTCCTCTCTGTTTTACGCTGAAGTGTGTGCCAACCAGCTGAAATTTCCAACCTCTTTAACTTGTGCCTGTGGAAACATGCCTTGGCAAAGATGCCAGTGAGGTTTGTTCTGCTTCTATAGATAGCCTGCCGGTCTATTATCAGAGTGGAAGAGGTACAACTATGCTGATCCATTCACCTGCCTCTGCCATTCCTCTCCACACATGATGCAAATCAGCCTGAAGTCTTTAACAATGGTTGGAAAGAGGAAAATAAAAATGCAAGCTCTTCTGTGTTGAACCATGACGTGGTTTTGATCAAGTAGTTTATTCAGGACGTCCTTACCATACATCCCAACCTAACTCACTTTTTCTTTTCAACAAGTTATATTGGAAGCTTAGATCTGAGTATTAAATGTGTCACTAATCTGATGATCAAGTGATCAATACAATGTCAAGTTCTGGGTCTTGATTTTGGTGTCAATACTGTTATTAACAAAAAGAGGTCATTGTTCTGAGGTGCATTCAAAGTCCTGTCCTGCACAGTCAAATCTCTCCATATTTAACTGTTAAAAAATCTGTGGCTTTCCTTTTATAAACCCTGTTTCATCACCTCATGCCGCAAGCTAACCGATACACATGATGATGTGCTCCACTTCCAGCAGCCACTGTTTTGCATCGGCTGTAATGTGTTTAAAATAGGGAACCAGACAGAGCTGACGCTGTGTCCGCACAAACCTACAAATACGACAGGCGTAAAGCACAATACTGGAACAGATCCAGCATGCTGGTGGAGAAAATGAATCACAGACACTTACAGAGCGTCTAGAGATCACATGAATCAAACATCAAAAGAGAGCTATTTCTGGTACGGTGACATCGCCTCCAAACTTCTACAACTCCTGTCCTTTCTGTCACAGAGGTTGACTTCTAAGAACGGTCTCTCTATCACCGAGACCTTCGCCCTCCTGGTATATTACATCATACCGTACATATAGTACTTCACAAACATACTTTCAGAGGTAATTGACCACTTCATGATTACACTGGAGGTAGTGACCTATAAACATGTACAACGTGTCACATAAAAGCTTTGCTGATGTCCCAGTTTGGCTGAAGAACTAAAACATCTACAGTCACTAATATTCATGCAGTTTCTATAGATCGCACCTGTTATTGACACTGGTCTTGGACTCCCTGTACCAAAGGCTGATCTCCATTCCTCCTGAGATGTCAATGGCCAACCCTCCCTGAAACTCTGCGCTTGCCTTCAGACCAGACTGCAGCTGGATCACCTGAAGGATGGAAGACAGGGAGGAAAGGGAAAAACAAGATTAGAGACTTGGTTATGCTTTTCCCACCAAGTAATGATATACATTTTATTCTACGCACCAATAACACCAATGATCCAGCCTCAGCATTAAGATAAGACATACGTCACAGTCTTGTATCGTTTGTGCAGAATTCGACACACTAAGGTTGACAACAGAAGTTAAACACTAAAGTCATTTCCTTTCTGTGTGTGTGTGTACATGTACTGACTGCATGTGAACGAGTAAACAAGCCCCACAGCCACAGTGACAAATACTTTGTGGGTCAGTGCTTTTCAAAATGGCATGCATGTTATGTACATGTAAGTCATAGACTATAGGAAACAGACAGTCTCAGTGAAGTCACCAATTGGTGTCTGTTTAATCCGATCGACAGATGATCCAGCTTTCATCATAAACAGGCATCGCTTCACGCTCTGAATTTCCGTGTTTTCTCTCACAACTTGTAATTTCCCAGCAGGAGAGACTGAAGCTCAAGTGAACTTAGCAAGATGGGGAAGAAAGTATGAAACTTCAGGAAAGATGAGATGTAGCAGTGGAGTCAAACCTTTAGCTTCCTGATCGGCGGTAAACACACTGCCTGTCAGTCAACTCAGCCATGCCCCTAATTATGCAAACTTGTAACCCAATATCTTAAAATCTAATAATTTCTTTAAAAAAACTAACTCTACATACAGTGTGTAGGAATAGAGAAATAGGTTTTTCAGACCAAAACAATTTTTTGTACAAGGCTGTAAATGCATTTATTTCTGCTGTATGGTTGGGCATTTTCACATGGGTTTTATGGAAGTTGTCTTGACTTTTGGATCCAGCCTCAAGTGGACAGTCAAGGGACTGCAGTCTTTACTCTCTCGCTTCATTTGTCAGGTTAGTGTTAGTAAACTTGGGTTACAATTTGATAATAGTTGAAGAACAAGTTTCTAGATAGCTGAAAGAAAACATTGAGACACAACACTTGATCGCTCTACTCTGATCTCCGAATGTCAACATCGCCCTACTTGTGATTTTCAGAAGAAAGCTGAGGTTTTTTGTAGCTGTTGCAAGAAATCAATATGATCTATATTTTCTTCAAGACAATGCTGCATGCTAACTTTGTACTAGATGTCACTGTCATTTAAACATACTCAATAACGACCTTAAACGCTGAAATAAAGAGGTCTGACCACTCCACCCGATCTGGTGCACATGGTGCTTGGAAGCAGGACACGGTATCAGCAGCTTACCTCAGAGTGATCAGTCAGCAGGATGAGTCCCTTCACGACATTCATGGGCTCCCCTGTCATGGAGAACATTTTGGACATGAGGTCACTGTAACCCTTGAAGAAGGTGACGGGCCGAAGCTGAACATCAAACAGTAGAGCAGACATCCCAGCAAAGGACTCTAGATCCCCCTCTCCCTCATCAGGTGTGGCAGCAATCAGTGACTCAAGACCCTGAGCTTCAATGGCAACCTGAGAGAAAGAGAGCGAGATTCAAATAAAAGTCAATTAGTCATGATTTTGTTTTAGTGCATTTGCATGTCACCTAAATAACAGAGATGAGTGAATGTGTACAGGGAGCATCATAACACACATTCTAATCATTGTGTGGATTCTTCACCTGTAGTCCATGTAGCATCGCGTCTTTACTAGCACCATAAATATTCATGTTACTTCTCCTCAAGATCCCAGAGCCTGAATACAGGATGTCCAAACTGTATGTGGAGGTAACGTCAGCAGATTCTGGGGGGAAAGAGTTTCAAAAACTACTTAACAAGCATTCGTGTAACTGTTAATGACTTCATCATTTTCCTTAAAGACAAAGACATCAAGATTCTAAATGATGATAAAGTGTTTTGCTATAATCCAAAAAATCAAGAAACACAAAAGCTTTTTTTACGGTATAGGATTACTTACGTGCCATGAAGCCAGAGTACGCTGATGACGATCCGACCTTTGAAAAACGGTCGTAGTTATGGGAAATCATGTCCTTCATCGCTTGTTTTATGACTTTGCTGAAAAACAAAAGTTAAACAAATTGTTTGTAATTGTGCAACTCAGAAACCGAATTTGAAGAAATGTCATTTCTTTAAGGCAATGATTGTATGATGACAGACCTTGCAGGTAACTGGAAGCGAAGGATGTCCTGGATCTTTGACAGCATGTACTTGTTCATTTCATGCGGCAGGTTTCCGATAGACAGGAGCAGATTCTTGACCTCAGTGTACGAGGGGTTGCTACTGAGAATGACATCAGCAGCGGCAGCTCTCACGTTTTTCTCATAGATCCGTCTGTTTTGATGGTAAACTCTGTTTACTGTCTGCTTAACCTACAAAAAAAAGAGATTTTTGTTGTAGTTATAAATAAAGTAGTTCCACATTTAAATGCCACATCAGTCTAGACATTTTGAAGTGGTACACTCCAGTTTACCTCTTCCGTCATGAGGCTGGCATCGTATCTCTGTAGGGCTGTGAGAGCGATGGTGCTGTAAGCTCCCACTTCTGACTCTGCGTATTTGGTAAAGATGGGAACGGCCTCAGGAAGCATTGAGTTCTTCAGAGCTAGAAGATACATCTGGACCTCAGACTCAGCCTGGGTGCTGTCAGGACCCTCTAAAATTAGCTTCTTCACCTGCTCCACTGTCTGTGACATGAATACACAGCAAAAGATTATGAGTAAACTTCTGAATTAATTCAAATAAGGTCAAGTTGGAGAAATCCATGTGTTTTATTATAAAATCTAAAGGACAGTTTGTGCAATGACTGTGTGAGAAGCTCACCGGCAGACTGCATCCTCCTTTCTGACAAAGCTTATGAACCAAAGCCCCCATAATGATCACCACTGACTCTTTGATGTCAGTACTGCCGATCTTTCCCTTTGAAATATCCTGAAAAAAAAGGACAACATTTACACATTTGTTTGATATAAAAGCTGGAATTACGACATTATTTATTATAAAGTTCACACAGAGATTATGATATGCAGCATGTTTTTAAAACAAAATAAAATGCAGGAAAAGACCATATCTGAATCTCTGTTTTGTGGCAATTTTGGGAGTTTCATTGACTTTTACTTCAGCTCATGGATGGACCATCTCTCGAGTATCAGAGTAAAAATTAATAAATGCAATTCCTCATATCTTTTCCTCTCTTAAATCACTGTTATGTATCTGGAAGTAGGGCTGGGCGATAAAACGATATATATCAAAAATTTATTTCCCTCAACATCAATATGAAACATGGTCAATATGCTTTTCGATAATCAGCAATCTGCCCTATTTTGGTAGAGTGTACAAATAGCCAATGGAAAGGGGAGTTGCTCTGGATCCACTTCAGCTGAACCAATCATGTTGAATTAGAGCCAAGTAGCAAACAACTGTGTAGTAGCAGGCAGCAGCTACACGCAACCATAGCACTTTAATATGTGAAGCTGACAGCACTGTGGGTGAGAAAAAAAGAAGATGAGTGCTACCCCCGACAGAAATGCAGATGAAGGCTCAACAACTTATGACATTGTCGACAACACTGACACGAAAACGTCAGTGGTGTGGAGGTATTTAGTTTTGTTAAGGTCGGACATGAAGCAGAGTCATGTGCTCTGCAAATTATGTCGAGTACATGTTCTCACAAAGTCTGGGAATACCTCAAATCTTTTTCACCACCTGAAGCAGTGCCACGCAGCAGAGCACGCACAATGCAAAAGGCTACAAACCACGAGCGGAGCAAGGAGCCCATGGCGCCTGTGTAGCTGAAACAGCCGACCATTAAGTCCACTTTCTCTAGTGCAATGCCTTACGACAAAACGTCGAAGAGACACAAAGAACTCACAGATGCAGTAGCTCATTGTGTTGCAAAAGACATGCTACCAATAATCACTGTTAAATTTCATTTTTTTATCCTGATATATACTGATATCGACTTAAATGAAAAAAATATATCTTGATAAACTTTTTCCCATATCGCCCAGCCCTATCCGGAAGGTTTTTTTTCCCTTAATAAGCATGACAACACACTAATTCTGTTAATGATGACATGACACTCACCAGCAGGGCCTTAAGCATCTTCTCGTTTGGATGTGAAGCAAAGCCACAGGCGTAGAGAAACCTCTCCTGCAGAACCAAACCTTTGGCATCGGTGAAGTTAAGGAATTCAAGCATGGCATCCAGGGATGCAACAGTCTGGGAGGAGGTCACGGCATCCACCACCTGAGGTCTGATAACAACAGGGAGATCAAATTCCACATGATGGCAAGTTAATCTTGTGAGATACCAATATTACCAATCAAAGAGCAGTGATGGAGTAAAATCAGGGTGCAGGGTGTAAGGAGAGGCCTGCTTACAGAGAGGTTTTCCTGGCACTCTTCAGCACTTTTAGGATCTCGTCCTTGGATGCCTTCCTAATGCTCTGGATGAGGTCCAGGAAGCTGCGAGGAGCCGTGGCTTTGGACAGGCTTGCTGGCTCCAGCTGCTTCTGTAGAGCCTGCCAATGTTCAAAAAGCTGAGAGGGAAAGCACAGGGGAGAGGGGATTAGAGGACATATCATATTCAGTTAATAATTAAGGTTCAAAAATATAGAGGATCAATTTACCAATACGGTGATATCTGAAAGTGGTTTTGCAATATCAACACATCCAACATAGACCACCATACTCAGAAAACCACAACTCATTGAACGACAAAATAATAATAAAATAAAATCAAAAAGAGTAGCGTAAACTCTTTAGTGCTTTAACTCATAACTTGCCTCCAGACCTCTGAGTCTGAAAGCTCTTCTTACTCCAGAGTCTCCGTGTGATGAGGTCTGATTTATCTCAGAAAAGGAGGGCTTTATTCCTTTTGCTTTACCGCTTAATTTTAAGAAGTTATGACTATCTAACTGCTTGATTTCTTTACTTGAATGTGTACATTTTCATTGACCAATGACCAAAAGCACAGAATACAAAACTTTGAACTACACCGATATTATGCAGCGTAAAAAACTGTTGCATTTAGGAGCTTCTACCACACGGATGTAAATATGTTTATTTTTCTGCATAAAGACAGAGGAATACAGTCATGAAACCAGTATGTCTGTATCCTAGTGGTAAAACAAACAAATATAATATTTACTGACTGTGGTCATGCTAGCAGCACTGTGGTGCTTAAGTAAATATCAAATGCTAACCCTCATTGCCCAAAACTACAGTGGTTGTTTAGCAGATGTTACTGCTTTAGCAAGTTGGACCACTATCATTTATTGATTTGAGCTAAAAGCACAACTGTTGGTCAAACAGATAAATTTAGTTGATGATATCCCAACAGGACAGAATCAAGTAGAGGAAGTAGAATTCATCCTGATGTGGACATGAATGTCAGACATGATCATTCATCCAATATTTGCAGAGACGATTCGGTCGAGGGAACAAAGATCACCAAAGTCATAGAAGTTTGCCTGAAACAGTAATCCAGCAGACAAACTCTGGGCCACCCATGTGGCTTGACTGAAATTATGCGTGTGAAATGTTGTGTTTAAAAGCGAGCAGGTACTCACTGAAGGGCAGCCCTTGCACCTTGACTTGACCTTCTCGCCAATAATACCGAGAGCTGCCAGTTTGGGATCGACTGACTGAACAACACCAGCCACATCTTTTCCAGGAACCTCCAGCGGTCCTGCCTCCACACCTACCAAAGTGAGGCTCTGCCTATGAAGTAGGACATAAACAATTCAAAGTGTGTACATATAACACAACAGAGGCATAAATTAATTCGTAGTGAAGGGCTTTACCTGGAAATGACTTTCGCTGCAGCACATCTGCGGGCGTTCACAGCCAGTGAGTGTGTTTCTTCAGCTGAGACAGAGCGGATGAAACCATCTTCAAGTGTGAATGTTGTAACAGAACTGGACTTCTTTCTCACACCCAGGACCTGGCAGGGAAGACACATAGAAGTCAGATATATTGGTGATGTAATGGTCAGATATTACCAGACTGAGATGGTCTGGACACGGACATACCTGACTGTGCGTGGTGAATCCTGTCTCAGGTGTCTTGCACGTCTCCAGGATCTTGGTTCGTGTCACTTGACCTTTGACGGCCTTGTACTCGACTGTGCATCTTCCTGACACGTCATTCTGTTTCCACGCAAACAGAGAGTTCTCATTAACAACACGTTTGAAATATGTAAATATGTAAATGTGTGTCGCAACATTTACCTCTATGACCTTCCCGGTGTTGAACTGCAGCTGCATTAAGCTGGCCAGCCCTCTTTTCAGGTTCCTGATAGTTGCAGGTTCAGCCCGGTAGGAATAAAATGCTTTTGTCTAAAAAGAAAAGGAACACGGTTTAAAAATGTGTATGCCTGAAATAAAACATATATGCAATCTCATTTTTATTTTGCACTAGCTCATGTTTTCTGCAAGTTGAAAATAAACAGAGAGTTTTCAGACTCATCCAAATGCAAAATGGTACAGTGCTGTTAAGCTAGTGCTTTTCACCCATAAATACCGATGCGGCAGATAAAGCAGGTATAAGGCATGCGGCACATATAGCGTGCTGTGGCGTGTACGTGCTACAGCTCGCAAAGCCTTTCAGGGTGTCAGCTTTCCTTTGTACACTTGTGAACACACACGCGTGCTCGGTGATGACATCAAATACTATTTTCATCAGCTTTGAAGTGCAGATCATAAACAAAGCAGAAATCTGTGCTGTTAGCCGTTTAAAAGTTGTCCGTCATGAGTTCATTTACAGTATCTTGTCTTTAAATATGTCCTAATATACACATCAGCTCAGTATGAAAGATGAGTCAGACAATGTTTACATGTGTTTACACTACCACATTAAAGTAATAGAAACGAAGATCCGTCCAATTAGCCGAGTCCATCTTGGAAAATATGGTATCACACCACAGTACACAGTTTTCTAATGAGGCGCCAGTTTGGCTCAATAACAGACTCCTACTCCTGAGTGGAAAAAAAAGCGATTACATCATCCTACAGTGTCTCTCATACAGTATGTTATTTATTTGAGGCGCTCAGCCACAATATAAGCCAGGACCACCATTAATAGACTGTCTACAGCTACTCCGTGTATTTGTGGGAGACACTGATCTGTCCTGTTTCACACCATCCAAACGATCACTCTCCTAAATTTAGCTCTATGTTTAAATGCTAAATGGTCAATTTTAGGCAAAAGTTTGGCTCTTTTTCCCGCTGATGTACAACAGTCACATGGTGTGGAGTCACATCCAGACACCAAATATTCAAAGGCTTGTGTGAGTTATCGGTTACATCCATTTATAAAGAGAGTCTAAAGCATGAACAGTACCTCTGCACAATCAACTTATCAAAGACAACAAAAAGTACCGTATTTTCCAGACTACAAGTCGCACTTCTTTTCATAGTTTGGCTCACGTTTGTTATTTTTACACTGACAGCCACTAGAGGGCACTCTAGGCTGGTGTACCAGTATCTGCTACTTCTGTACCACTGATAATTTTAAATCAACATTAACTCATATCGACTCATATCGAGAGTTTGTTAAACTTGTTTTGTTATGTACTTTATGCTATAGTTATCTGAATAACTGTTAATAATGTTACGTTAACATACCAGCCATGTTGTTTATGCTTCATGTAGCTGAATAACCATCAAAGTCTTACGTTAGCATACCGTACACCTTTTAGCCTGTTGTTCTCTATTCTAGTCTTATTGTTATAACTTGCCTTTCTAGATGAAAGGTCTGTCCTCGGTCTTAGATTTGGAAGGTAAATTTCCCACCGAAAATGCGACTTATACTGGTATATGTTTTTTCTACTTCATTATGTATTTTTTGGCTGGTGCGACTTATACTCCAGAGCAACTTGTAGTCCAGAAAATACCATAGAAATTCACTCAACGTTTTTAGCCATGAGCACGAGCTAAAGGGCTAATTCCTTTTAAATAGAATATACAGATAACAACTTGATATAATTATTTTGGGAGTAATTACTCTTGTCGATAAGGTTGTTCAGATTAGCGAACACTCGAACATAAGTCAATGAGAAGAAAGCCTGAACCTTATCTTTGAACCTGAGCCATTCCTGATTCCTCATTGGTTGACCCTCTGAACCAGCTGACCTTTGCACACACACACACGTACACACACACCTGCTGGTGTTTTCCCTGCCAGCATCATCACTCAAACACAAAAAGGGAGTATGCTAACTACTTCATTCAAGACTACTACAGCGGACAGCAACATGACAACACTCATGCAAACATCTCTTAGCAGCAGAGCTACGATCCCCGCTGCTAATTTGAAGATGTGTCTATTTTCATCCGCTGTATTTACTCTTTTATACCAGAAATCCTTTAAAATCTTAGATCAGCAATCTAGAGTCTATCACTTTACTGTTCTTTACTGTTTCATACCAATCTGAACCAATCTCAACCTTCATGGTCATCCATCTAAAGTCTCAGCAGCAGCCCTGCTAAAGTTCTTACCTTTCCATTTCTCAGGTGTACCAGAAAAGGTTTTGTCAAAGCCGCTAGTTTGGTCTCCCCCAAAACACTTTCTGTTGTGGATCCATGAAGCACATTCTTCTTCTGCGATCGACGGGACGCCGGCTCAATCCTTACATTTGATATCTAAAGACAAGAGATCACTTACTGACGGCAAAAGTTTGCACTTCTTTTGGGTGGATTTTTTTGTTTCGTTTCAATAAACCCTTGCTACGGTAGAGAAAGAATGTATTTATGTTAGACCCTAAAAACGCACTACAAAATAATAATTTTGCAGTGACGTACCGCCAGTTGAATGAGCTGGTCATCATCATTGCCAGGATCACGCCACACCAGGCTGATGTCCACATCGCTGGAGATCCCGTAGCCGGCGCTGCCCTCTTTTGACCCTCTGGCTCTGTTCACCAGCACTTCAGTGGTGTAGCTGAATTTGTACAGCTGGTTGTTGTTCAGTCGGGGTCCAGCAGCAACACCTGAAAAAACACAAGAAACACAGCTGGAGAGTAAAGAAGAGTGGAAGAAGCGAGAAGAAGACTCCAGGCTATTATCATACAGGCCATTTTTTAGGGTACCCTACAGACATTGTCTTATCAACTCTATTATCATATGTTTTTAATATAAGTGCTTGAGAAAGTTGTTTTGATGGAGGGTTTAAGATCTTTAATCTGACATTCATTGCTGATGAAAACAAGGAAACGTGGATGTTTCTCACACCTATTGAATACTCTAGATCCAAATTCAAAAACTCAGATGTTAAAGTTTGTAAGCTGCAAAAAGCAGCATTAGGGAAACTTTTGAACGCCTTGTAATTGATAGTAACTTTCTTGAGTAGTCAGTGTGATCATTGAGCTTTGAGTTTATCCCTCTTATTTAGGGTTAGGGTTTTTTTTCCTGACAATTTCATGTTCTCTTAAAATCAGACACAAATATCAGTATTGCATTATGGGAAACAAAACAGTCTTGTATCTTTAGCTTTAAATAGTGAGCTAAATGTGCTTGTAGCAATTGGACTAATTTTGCAGAGTATGTTTAAAGACTGATTATGGTTAAGACATGTTAAACCAGGGGTTCACCAAACGTCAGAGCTTTTGGCATCTTCAACAGACTTCATGTATTTGCAGAAGAACTTGAACCTGGAATTCTGCACCTACTTTTCTTTCATTTTCCCTTTTGTTTTGACCTTGTAAATAAACTCAATGGAGAGGGTAAATGAGATTTAATCAGCAAAATCAGAAAGAGTGAGAAGATAAAAATCCCCCCTCTACTCTACTTTGTTAGTGACAAGCTCTCTGTCAGATATGACATAAGGCCACGAGGGAGGACAGACTGACGTGTCAGTATTTGATTTCATCTCTGTGCAAAGACAAGCGTTCAATATATTCATACTTCCAGGTCACCCTGTGTTTTGCAATCCACTAAAAGAGGTTAATGAAGATCATAAGAACAAGCCGCCAGAATCACTTCAGTTACATTACACCTAAACTCTATTGAGCACCATGTATGGCTAAGGCCTTTGACAATGAATGAGACACTGACAATGTGGACTCCATACCACCAAAAAGTGTGTTTCCCTGCAAGTTTTCATTCATTTCAAGTGTCAGCAGCTCAAAAGAAACACACTTTCACTTCAGATCCTCAAAAATTCTCTGATTTGTCCTTTCACTGCCAGGGTACAACATAGTTTCTTTTTTAACTGAAACAAAATCTGCCATATCTATCAGTTTAGGAATAAGTGAATCCATTCTTGTCCCAAATCCATTCATTTAGCCTTCACCACCAATAGAATAACCTTTTAAAAGACAAAAACCTCATGCCACAAACTCTTGAGCTACACATCAGGAACAACAGGAAAGTCCTCCATCCACTCACCTTGGGCAGAGACAGACGAGGCTGCACAAATCAAGAGCACAAGCAGAGTGAACATGGTGTGTCCTCTCTCTGCAGCCAAAAGAATCGACACAGAAACAGTCAGTGGATGAATAGGCTCTAAAAGGCCAAAAAGAAGGGCAAAGCAGGTCCGAGCTTCTCCTATTATGTTTTATCGGAGGGGAGGGCAGACTCCAAACTCCACGCTCCGGTACTAAGTACGAGATAACCCAGCAATCATTAACCTGACGAGCACTGATTTGGTAGCTACTTCTTCTATAATGAGAGAAGAGCCTCCAGGCGTCCCTTTTCAATACCTGGCCCAGCGCGTGCGTCTGCGCGCGCCCTACTGATTGATTCATCGGTGAGATGGGATTATTTGATTGTTTCAGATTAACGACAAGTGAGACTCGCTGTCTTGCGTAAATGTTCTCAAAATCTTCAATATTACCCTTGCTAGACTTCAAACAACGATGCTGGGTTATATTTACGATAGAACAAACGCTAACAGATCACAAAAAAGCGTTATAGTTACCGAGAAAAGGCAAAGAGACGTCCCCATGGTAGACACCTTTCACCCACTTTCATTTTCAGATGAATAAACGCTGCTTTGTTGATGTGTTTCTTGGTTTTCTCTTGGAGGAAATGGGCTGCCTGTTAGTAAAACCAGCCCTCGAGCTCGAATTACAGCATCCCGGGACAGTCAAGAAGTCCTAAATGTTAGGTTTAATGGATGTGTCACCTTTTGGGTTTCCAGGGAAGCCAATGACTTTTGATTAGAGCAAATTTCTTGGGCTGTTGTGGTGAAGACTCTGGGGTCTTTACATGAAGTCAACAACATTGATCCATAAATTAGTGTGTCACAGCTAATGCTAAAAAGCTAAGGATTACATCAGTTCAATAAGAATATTGAAAATAAGATTGTATGTAATCTACATGGTGTGTTTGAGTGGATATGGTCACACAAGCAGACTTGCTGGAGTCACTTAATTCAATGGCCCAATTCATCACCATTATCAAAAGCTACTTAACAATCATTTTCGGGTCACATGCATTGTTTTGCTATAATAGAGATTGTATCACTCCACCTTCCCTTCTGTTAAAGCTCCTGCGAGGAACTTTTGGTTTGTGTCAATTATGGCGCCCCCTGTGGATAAAGCAGTCTTAGCCTATTTTGTCCTCTAAACGCTTAAGTAGAGTCTTCTTACCAACAAATCTCAACCTGTTGACTTTTAAAAGGATATTCTGGTGAAAAATTAATTTAGGGTCAAACACACGGTAACACCGAGAGATGAATGTTGCCGACCGCTTGCTTCTGTAGTTATACCAACTTTAGTAATGACCACAGATAGCAATACAGAGGGCCATGCGCTCAACCAAAAAGCCACTCTATAGCCACAAATAATGCTCAGAACAGCACCTAACTTCATCAACAGTACATAAAAGGTCCCAGCCATAGTACTAGCCACATCTTTTTAGCTTTGCCTGATTTCTTGTTTCACACAACTCACCTACTCTCATCCAGCAGTCGCTTATTTGTAGCGAGACCTTGGGCCAGTCCATTATCGACTGAGGCGGGGTGACGCAGCTCAAGGAAGAACATTTATGATCATTTCTTCATGTAAATGCGACCAGACCGAGACGCTAAGACAGAAGAACTACTGCCTCTATATGAATATGATGATAAAGAAATAAATATAAATCTCACACCAATTTTATTCATCGAAAAATAAAATATGAAAATGGTTAGTTTTATTGTTGAGGGTCCTGTAGGCTCTTTTATATTATAAGAAGCATCGAGTTGCATTTAAAATTGAATTACAGAAATAATCAACCTTCTAGCTGATGTTCTGGTTCTCCTTTGTAGGTCATACAGAAGCATTAATCATCTTGTTACAGCCCACTACACCTCCCCACTCCTCACTTTCCATCTTAACCCATTAATCATTGAGGCTATTCAAAATAAAACACTCATCACTTGATAAAATACTACATGTGAATGGAACAGAGCACTATGTGGGTGTCAGTGCTTGTGACGTTTACTAATTTACAGTTTCAGTCAAATTTGAATCCAGGGTCAGAAATAAAGTCACTTCAGCTCTGATGTCTTTACAGATTGTATGTCTTTTCAGCTGTGGATGATGCAACCCTCTTATAGTGAACAGACAGCCTCTTAGTTCTTATCAGATGATGATCCCCTCTCTGTCCTGAAGCTAGACTATGTCTGCATCAGTGAGGAAGCTGCTCTCTCGGGAGAAAACAATTCTGGAAGTCAATGTCCAGTTTCAGCCAGAAGTCAGGAGCCTCTGCTGGGCTCCTCTGTGAGAGTAAGGACCACCCAGATTACCCCCTAGATAAAGTTCTTGGAAGTATGTCATGACTTGTTGCACACTGTGTGTATATTACTGCATATTTATGAAAAGGGAGGGTTGTTACATCTAGTTTTTAAAACTACAGTTTTAAAAACACACTTTTTGTCTCAGAAAAAGCTGACAGCACAGGTTAATGTACAAGTCTTAGTCACAAGGAGTATCACTATAATCAAACTGGATAATGGAAAATGTACCAAACATCAAGTAGAATAATAATTGGGTCTTAACTTATCCAAAGACAAGTGAAATGAGGAAAAAATATCATTAAAATGTCAGATAACAAAAGCACAAATAACATTTTAAAGTATAAATTCTTAAATGGGGGAATAATAACCCACAGGAAGTAGGGTTCCTCAAATGAAATTATTCAGTAAAAGTGGAACAAGCTAAACTGAAACTTTCCCTTCTCATTTGGACACATTAACCCAACAAGCGTTGACAAAAGCAGAGCCTCATTCCAGGTACACACAGTACATATGGGGTCAAGAAGTCACAGAGAAAACTACTGTGATCTAACCCAATCAGCTAACACACTTCTTAGCAAGAGCTACAGAGCTGCAAGTTTTCCTTCTTGTTCAAATTAGTTAAATTAAGATGAAATGAACTTCTAAGCCAGATCAAAATTAAGTGTTGAAAACATTGAGACCGAAAATTGAATGTCCTTGAGGTGAAAGTTGATTTCATTAATGGGAAGAGTTTCCTGTGGCCCGCCTACTTGTCTAGAAAAAGGCCGGAAGTCACATCGAGGCACCTGGCCAAAGGTCACACCGTAGGTCTGCAATCAATCCCTGATAGCACAGCAAACAGATAATCTTATCACAGCTGGGTATCTAAATCACAAATTATCTGAGATGTGTTGAAAGAAAAGTGATCTTTGTTGTTCTCACTTCAAATGAGGTTTATTTTAAGACAAAAACACCTTCAAGTTTTTTCCTCTACAGCTTTGGCCTGCAGCAACTCCACCTCAGTCTTATCACCAAAGACAGAAAACTTGATATGAGACAGCACACGGTTGCAGACAGCGTTTTTTTTTTATGGATTCAAATGGATTGACTAGTTTTCTTGGTAATTCTTGACAAAAGTTGCTGTGAAACTTAAATACTGTAAAGAAAGGTGTGATGGCCAAAGCCCCCTAAGAGTAATACCACCCCAGCTGCAGTCAACTCATTAGTAAACACCACCATTTGTAGATTTTTAAAATCTGCAGTCAATCACACAATGAGCAAACATACTTTGTTTTGTGTATTTTGTGTGTTTGATCTTGCATTGTTAAAATCAGGTGTGCACATTTTCATACTAATCGTGTTATACCAATCCTTATTTCTTTGTCTTGAGTTACCTGGCAGCAGTGGGAGTAGCACTTCCTGGTCTGGCAAAATCTGTAGCCAAGGGTGGACAAGACGCTTATGCTGAAGCCTCCATATTGGAGCAGACCATGTGCTGTGATGTCAAGGGGGGGTTTAGTTTTTTTGTTAGTTTTGCTTTGAATTTAGTTGAACTTTGTATCTACTTGGTTTTCCCCTTATGTTCAACTTGGTTTGGCCAAACCACTCTAAATTCCCCCTTTGCCTCATTGTGTTAGCTCTGTTTATTTCACACCATATATTCTGTCTTGTTAATCTAAATTGTTAAAATGATATCTTTTAGAGGCCTAGTTTCTTATATTTCTGGCTCCTGATTTGGATGAAATAAAAACCTGATTTGTCTTCAAATGTTTCCTCAGTCTTGTATCTTGCTGCTTGGCTCCTAACCAAAGGTATGAAAAAAAATCTGATTATACAGACATATCAAAATTTTTTAGTGGTATACAAAAGCTAATCTACATAATATATGAAAGGTTAAATAAAAATAAGATTCCAAGTTATTTTTCCCACTGCAAGTTTTTCATTTGGTCCCCACAACAGGTTAAAAATGATGTTTTAACTTTGGTTCTAAGGTTGTAGTGACTTATCGCAGGTTAGCTGACTATTGGAGTATTTTCCATGCAGCCACAGTATGAAGTCCATGAAATCAGTTAAGAAACACCCCGTTTTAATCATTTTTATTTAGTTTTAGTTAAGTTTTGTCCCAGAGGTCCATCACCTTAGAGAGGGCGATCTTTACTTTAAATAGACACTAGGTGGCGGTGTTGAGCAACAGTGTCACCAAACCTCAGTTCATCTGCAATGACGCCATGGGCCTGTATCACGTTACCCTCTCAGTAGCTGCTTTACTAATGAGCATTTTGACACATAGGCAGAAGACATGCAACACCCAGTAAGTGGGAACCTTCACAAAGTGACCATGTTTTTCCAATGTTGTAAACAACAACCATTTTTTTTGTACAATTAGTCTACTTACTGTTTTCTTATTGCAAGAGTAAATCATAATTTACTGTATTTTATCAATTCCAGACACATTTCTACAAAGGACAACATTTATTCTTATATATATATTTACAATTTGTCACAATGCAGCTATTTACCAGAATCAAGGGCACACAAAAATTAAAATCAACATGAAAAGCAATGTTATATTCAGGAAAACATAGAAATCACAAGTATGGCACTCAGTGGTAAAAAAGTGATCAGTCCACAACAATCAAAGAAGCTTAAAGTGAAATGAAGGATATTCATCCTCTCTCTGCTGTATTGTATCTCTACGATTTCCAAATGTAGGACTCTTTAAATCTTTTGTTTATTTTCTGTGACGATGTTCAGTTCAGTGAGACGATGCTACAGAAAAAGAGTTTGACTGCATTTACATTTAATGGCTGTTTTTACTTTCATGCAGTTCTTTTGAAAGTTACAAACTAAACATGACAACCCTCAGTTATTTGTAGAAAAACAAACCAAGGCTTTATCCCATGGCTGTGATTTTACGTTTGCATTGAAATGAATGCTGGTGTGAGAGCATGAGTGCTCTACTATCAAGTAATGTATGTTCATGTGTATCTGTGTGTGTGCGCGCGCAGGCTCTAACCATTTCTACATCAGTTTATGCCACTTAGCAGTCCCAGCATGCCATTCATGTGAGCTTTGGACATAGCTTGTATTTCAATTTTCCAGTGAAAGCTTACAGATTACAAAACACTACCATCAAAAGTATCCCATCATTTTGGTGGATTTAATCAAAGACACTCAGAAAATACCTCAAAAAATGGATGAAAATCAATGCACACTGAAAATGAGATAAGGACATGTGCAAGAAATGGCACGACACTGACAATGTGCTGGTTCTTTCAGTCAGCTTCCAACTGATTTTCTGATAATATGGTTCATCATAAAGTTTTTAAGGAAAAGTGCCCCCTCCAGTGGCTGCTGTGTGACTAAAATAACAGTCTGTCATGACAGGAGCTGAGAGGCTGCTCGGAGCTTCATCACTTTTACATGAAGTTTAAAGTGCTTAAGGCTGCTCTTCAGGTTTACTTTAGTTAATCTAGAAACTTTCAAATGTCACTTCCCCCAAACTGCATCTTTGCAAAGCTTACAACATCCAGTTTACAATAGTACATACATGTTACCAAATCCACCTCAGCTGACAAAACTCTGCTTACAAAGTGTATGCATTTCTGAAAAACGAGCATGACAACACAGATGGAGATAAATCTAAAGTAAACTCTCTGTAGCTTTAAGTAGATTCCATTTTAAACATTCAACAAAGTGCTAACCAGCCTATCCACTCTAATCTAATGTCTATTTTACAAATATTTTAAAATACTTAACATTAATGAAATACATTTAGGAGAGCCAATGTCCTACCAGTAGACAAAAGGCATGCAGTGCATTTCCAGAATCCCTCTCATCTTTGTATGCGACCCTTACATGCAGTGTTCAAAACTGCAGCTGTGAGACATAGAAAACCAAGGCCCCTTTTCTGACCAAGGCACAACCTCTGACCAAACATTAAATCTACAAATAAAAGGTCCTGTTTACAAGTGACTACTCCCTTAGCTCCTTATTTACAGCACTGCATTCTTTTCATGTGTACTGCATGGGAGCTACAGTACACTTCAGAGGTTGCACATCAGTCCAAAACAGGGGCCACAAATCACTCAAAAAATAACTCTAAATTTACTATTTACATATGAGACTCTGTTGTGGACACATAAGCTGATTGGTTCGTCTTCTTCGTTGCTGGAGTCCAAAATTCAGAGCCCTATACAGAGGAAAAAAACAATACAAACACAGTTCACATGAGAGAATAAATAGACCTGATCAATAAATCTATACATAGATGAATGCTGCAACATCAGTATTAAAAATCTAAATGTGCTTACCTGGAACATCCTTCTTGCCTTTGAAGGTCCTGTCAGAGTTTTAGGTGAACAAACTGCAAAAGAAAGGGCAAGGATTTAAGAAATGGTGCAAAATAATTAAGATATGCTCATTTAAATGGAAAGTAGTCCTAAAAAATTAAAGTAGAACAGTTTAAATCTGTAGGTAAGAGCACACTGACTGAACGAACAGCATTAAAGGGATATTCGGGGGGTAAAATTTAGTTAGGGTCAAACACACTGTGACACCGAGTTAGACACCCCATCGAGAGATGAATGTTGCGGACACCTTGTTCCTCTAGTTATACAAACTTAAGTAACAACCCCAAGATAGCACACCACAGTGGTCTCAGGAGCCAGGCGCACACCACAACCAAAACGTCGCTCTATAGCCACAAATAATGCTCAGAATAACACCTTAATTCAACAACAGTACATACAGGGTCCCAGTCATAGCACTAGCCACCAAACATCTTCTTAGCTTTGCCTGATTTCTTTAGCAAAGAGACTAAACACAACTCACCCACTCTCCTCCAGCAGCTGCTTGTTTGTATGGAGACCTCAGGTCAGTCCATTACTGCAGCGGGGTTACGCAGCTCAAGGAAGAACAGGAAGGAAGACGCGGTAGTTCTTCTGCCTTAGCATCTGAGTCTGATTGCATTTCCATGAAGAAATGATCATAAATGTTCTTCCTTGAGCTGCGTCACCCCGCTGCTGTAATGGACTCACCTGAGGTCTTCTTGTTGGCCTGCAGCTCTTGTTTATTTCTTTATTACGTGTTTAGTTGGAGGGGCAGACTCTGTAAGATATTTTCTTCTTTCTGCTCCTTTTCATTCATGTTTGAGATTTTTCCTTGTTTGTATTGAATGTTTTATATTCTAACTGAAGGAAATAAAGTATGAAATAAAAATGAATAAATGTTCATTGTTGAAGATTGCACCATATACAGCATGAGCCGTCTTTAAGACTCCGGATCTAAGAAACTGTATCCACTCACCAGCTCTCTCTCACTGCTTCAATGTCACTCACAAGGTTCTGTGCTAAACAGATGCCGAAAATCTGCAATAAAAAACACATATGTGACGTAAAGGTACTTGACAAAGATCAAAAGATGATCCAAACCTTTGAAGGTTTTCCACACCTGTAGTAATGCAATCCCAATAAAGATGCCTGCCACCACCGTCAGGTTGTCTTGAAGCCACTTCTCAAACTGAGGAACGCAGCCTTTGATATAGATGAAGGTCCGCTGCTCAGAGTCCTGACACAACGCACGGAGATAAACATACAACTGTTATAAACAAGCCGAACAACTCAGGACAGATACATACATACATTTTGGCTCATAACCATCTTACTCCTTTGAAAAAGTTGTAGATCTATAAATTATTTACAATGAAGTATTAGAGCCACATTAAGAAACAAAAAATTTAGACATCGAAATTAAAGTTGTTAATTTACGAGAATAAAGTGATTATTAATGAGAATAAAGTTGTACTAAAATCATGTTTTACGAGAATAAAGTCGTAATCAAATAATTACTTACGAGAACAAAGTCGTAATGAAATCATTATGATACTTATGATAATGTGGTTCTGGTGCGCCAAAAGATTAAGTATCTCCTTGTTTGATAAAATCTATATTTAAGTACATTTTCACAAAATGCTCCATGGCTCACATTTCAACAACTCTCATCTTAAACAACAGGTTAGAATTTAAGGACTTTATTCTGACTTTACTCTCGTAAGTAATGATTTTACTATGATTTCATTCTTGTAAGTAATGATTTTATTACGACTTTATTCTCATAAGTAATGACCTTACTAAGACTTTATTCTTGTGAGTAATGATTTTATTACAACTTTATTTCTCGTTAGTAATGATTTTATTACGATTTTATTCTTGTAAGTAATGATTTTAATCCGACTCTATTCTCGTAGGTAATTTTTTTATCATGACTTTATTCCCTTAATTAATGATTATATTTGGACTTGATTCACGTAAGTAATTACTTTATTATGACTTTATTCTCGTCAGTAACTACTTTATTCTCGTAAATCAATCTAGAAGTCTTCATTTATTTTTCTTAATTTGGCCCTAATATTCTGTATCTAGGATCAGGATTCATTAAAAAATTCAAAATAGTATTTTTCAGTGGTAGCACATGATTGTCTTCCCATCCTGTGGTCTCCATATAAGCCCCTAATGAAAGACTCCTTCTGAAATGATGCTGCCTGCTAGTAAACACTCACTTCAGCCACAGTTTTCCTGATCTTTGCTTGTTAAAACTGGTTCACTCCGGCTTTCTCCTCACATTTTAGGTCACAAAAACAAACACAGCCTTTTCCTTACATTATGCTACCATGAAGTAAGGCCAAAGCTAATGATGGGGGAGGGGGTTCAATTCCCGCTGCATTTCTGCAGCATGAGTAATACCACACGGCCCAAAGTGCTGATGGGGAGCCAGCTGCTGTATTTTGAAGAAATGAGAGTTTGGACACACACAGAAAGAGGAATATTGTACTCAGGGTGGAGTACCTCATGACATCATGTGGCTAAACAAACCTGCGCCGGGCAAAAGAGAAAGGGAGAGGGGAAAGCATTTTCTGTTCTTCATTCTGTTTTATAGGAACTGCTTACTTTAGATGAGGATCTCACTCTCTTTCATAAACAGACGTTTCTGTCAGCCACTCACCGTTTTCGCTCTGATGTCGTATCCACACTGAGTGTTGATAACGTCCTCCTGGAAAAAGAGGAAAATTAGCTCATGCTCATATTTTCAAAGTGAGACGTAATCTAAAACCAGAGTAAATCATTTTTCTGTTGGTTCAATAGTCCACTTCTGAGACTGATTGTGCAGACGTTTAGAGAAATGGGAGGGAGTGTGAAAAAGCATTTTTTTTTTCATTCAAAACTGTTTGAATCCGCTGCTGTCCAGAGTGTAGTCACTGGAGTGTGTTTTGCCACCAGATGTGTGTTGAACAGCAGTGAACTCACTGAACTTTTGCAAATTTGCGCAAACCGGCAGTACAGACATGAAACTCAGAAGTTCCATCTGAGTCAGACTGAGATCACAAGTTTAAAGACCGGACTTAAACTTGATTTGAATGTTAAGACAATGAAAAACAGCAAAAAAGACTATCTTATCTCACTCTACACTGCCACAAGGAAGCCGTCTGAGCTTGTTTAAGCAATCTGCTGACCGTTTGAGCAATGGACTGATAACTACCCCGTAAAAATGCAAAGGGAAGTAACTTTTAGGGGATTAACTTCTTTTGTCATTTGTTAGAAACAAAAAGGATGGTGTCCAAGGGTCGCAGACAATCCGAAGAGCTGACTTTAGTAGTGCTTTTTTGTTGTGTTTGATAACAGGAAGAAATATATCAAAATGCTGGACATATCCTGTCGGGTTATCAAAAATGTACGCAACACTAAAACCATCCCTCTGTCGAGCTCCTTGTGTTCTTTCAGGGAAACAAATTCAGCTGCGAAGGAGAATTGCCTCTGGGAACGTCATGTGCTGTTGAACTCCTATTTCATTCAACAGTTAATCTGCTATTTATTACAAAGTGTTGCTCTAAAAGAGGTTGACCTTGGTGGAACAGGATGTCCTCAGGTCAGCAAATAAAAAACATTCTTATGCAACTCTCGTTACAGTGGAGCACGGCTGTTTTTTGCTGAAGCAGAGCTCTGTCACTGCTTTGCACGGGGAGTAGCAGTCGGAGCAGTTTTCTGGCCTTGGTCAAGATAACTCCTCCCAGCTGCTCTCAGACTTTGCAGTGCTGGCAGAGTCAGGGAGGACTGAGCGCTGAGGCCTGGATGTCCTGTTGGAAGTCAGCCATGACAGTTTACTGCCTGAAGCGGCCTTCTGGAGGACACAAATAACCCCGATATCTGTCACAAAGCAAACCTGCATAACGTCCTCTTCACATGCTAGTACTTAAAGTTAGAAAATGTTAGATAGTGGCCTTCTCAAACTCAACTCGAAGACATATAAACTCCCATATTATTCTGACAGACTTGCTGGGTGTGACCATAAATGGGAGTAGCTTGGCTGTAAGTCACAAAAGCGAAATTGTGGGGAATTTTCAGAGGACATACCGCTGGATCTTTGGTACAGCAGGAGAAGGGGACCCCACATTTCTCACGACTTGGGTTTGAATCAGTGCAGTTGAAGTAGATGTTCAAATTCCAATCGTCGGCTCCAAAAGCTCCACAGCACTCCCACTGTGGGGTTAAACAGACATAAAATCACTCAAACATACGTCGCCAATGTCCCGCAGAAATTCTGAACCATGGTTTAGCCGAGGTTAAATCAACAACACTGGATGAGTAAACACCGTCCTCACATATTCCTGAGTGAAGTCTATCAGGTTCTGCAGATCGATGTCGTCTCTGTAGGCCCGAATGTTGTTGTTAATGAAAAAGTTAAGCTGGTCCTTGATCCAATCTTTGAAGACGAAAGCCAGAACTCCAGCAGTCAGCTCCAGGAAAAAGATGATACCCAGGAACACAGAGAACTGAAACACATAAACAGTTTTAGAAAATATTATGAGACAAAGGGGAAAAATTTCCTTCAGAAAATATCTTTTGTTTCTGCTCAAAAAAAAAAGAAAACCTACAAATTTGAGCAGGAAGGAGTTTTCTCGCAGGGCTCCGATGCATCCAGCGAAGCCGAGGATGAACATCACACCACCCACCACCAAGAAGAGCCAGACTGGGTCGAAACCACCCAGGTCTGTGATGGATGAGATGTTGGAGAGTACGCCCTGAAAACAAAATTAGGAGTTTAAAGCTTTAAGAAGATGCCAAGGAAGTTGTTACAATTGTCACTAAACTCCACTGTCTCTTAGAGCTTCATCGTAGCAGGTAATAAACGAAAAAAAGAGTCAAACATAAGCGAATTTCACAGCTACTCCTCTTCCTCCCACAGTCGCAAAGTTAAAAATATGATAAGTTTGAATTATAAGTTGATAAATTGACTGACATCAGAATTAGTATTTATCAGAGGTCTGCTACATGACTATAGAAGAAAGGCTGAAATCAGGGGGAACAGCAAACCTCAACACCTCCAAAGACAACACAGCTGTCCTTCTACCAACTACAGATATTCAGTTTTTAAAACGTTACTACTTTCCTGTTTTATATGACCAAATAAAAGAATTAATAGATGTGGTTTTATGGAGGTTTCTTAAGTCTTTATCTAGGGTGACCATACGTCCTCTTTTACCAAGACATGTCCAGGCTGTCCGGGTTTGTCCAGCTTTGTTGTCGGGGGAAGTTTATAAACTCCTGCAAATGTCCGCAGTTTTGTACGTAAGTTTTAATTTTGTGTCATTCGAATTTATTGAGTTAGAAGCGCATAAAAGACACTCGATCTGACCCAAAAAACTCTCAAAAATCACTTTGTGCGACTCCGTGACTCCGCCCCCGCGTAGTCGTGTCCTCCTTTTGGGGAGTCAGAATATGGTCACCCTACTTTACCTATCTGTTGATGCTACCTGCAGGCAGCTAAAGCTCTTTTCAGTGTTAGGCTGAGGTAACGAACTGTTCCAGCCTCATTCTCACTCATAAGAGAGGTACATTTTTAATCTTTTAAACTTTTTGCCTCTAAAAATACAAGACTGCTACCCAAAATGTGCCAATAACAACCTTCATAAAAAAAAGCTCATTTCTGTGGATATAGATCTTCACAGACACGAGGATTTAAACTTCACTTTTGTTTGATTTTGTTGTAAAATGAATATTAAATGTCACAACTCGCACGCTCAGCTATCTTTTCATTCTTTATTGACAAAATAACAGACACAGTGCTCGACATGATAATTACTGGATTCAAGGATTATGAAAATAATTATACGTTGCAGCTGTTTCCAAAGACAGAGCAATAATCTTGAGAGATCAGCCTGATCTTTGGGCGCCATTCAGTGCGAGTGAATACATTCAAAACCTCACTGGACTGTCTGTCCCCCTTTCACACCCCTGATTCTGAGAATACACAATGAATGAATCTGTGAAATGCATCAGATCGTTTCTGCTGTCCATTGTTCGGAGGGCGTCCCACCGGAAAGCATGACATTCCTTTCTGATTCAGTAAAGCCACAGGCAGCATTACAAGCAGACAGACAGATACAAACAACAGGACCTGAATGTAAATGATCGGCTGAGTTTTTCACTCATTTTAAGGTGTCCATTTATAAATAGATTTATACTACGAATCCATTTATGTGCAATAAACTCACCTTCTCACTCCATGCCCACAACCCAATGGCGAGGAATGCCACTCCAAGAAACTGAAAGAGACAGACAGAGAAGACAGAAAGGGGATTATTTCACTGTGAATGCAACATGTAGTCATCACACAGAAGCACGGAGACTAACCACACAGAGATTTTCCTGGCAGTCGTCCATTACTAAATATTTCTCATCTCAGTCTGCAGGATCAGCAGGGACTCCCACATTAGAAAGCATCTTTTCACAGCTTGGATACATTATGACTGTACAAGTTTCCACCTACTGTGTAAAAGTTTAAAACCACATCAGAGGCCTTCATAAAGATGGTAATTAGAGGAATGACAGCCTGTGTGCATCTGTCTGAAAACCTCATATTCTGACTAAAACAACACACAGTGGACTGGAGTGAAACAGGACTGAGGATGGTGTTTATCAGACGTCTACACTTTTAATTCTCATTTAGGAATCTCTTAAACTGGCTTCTAGAGATGATTTATTTGACGAAACCGACCCTTCCAGTTCCACCTGATTGTTTTCGCTACTCGTCAAACTAAAGAAGCAACTTTTTGGATCTTTCTTAAACGAATTGTTCCGGGTATTCTGCAGAGCATATCTTTAAACAAGTTCACACAACAGAAATTTTACAAAATTTGATAAATTAAACAAAAACAAACACTGTGCTGTACCATAAGATATATTTTGATTTAATGAGCCTCTGCTAGATGAAAACCTTAACTTTAATTCTTTTGGAGGCAATAAAATATGTGGTTATTACAATTGAGGGAAAAAACGTTGATAAAGACCACAAGATGCCTTACAAAGCTGAAAAAATAGAGCTTGCAAGTTATTGAACTTTAGCAAAATATTCTTAATGCTCATAACACACGGTATGATTATCATGATTGCAGATTTTAGCATTTTAGACATTTATAATTCAGTGGAGGATGCCATCTAACAGAAGTTTTAACATGAGTATTACTACATGAAAACATTGGTTCTAGATCAGGTTACAGTACCATCACTGCTGCCATGGTTGTTTTGCGAATGGTCTGATTGGTGCCCTGGACAGAAAACAGTATCCTGCTGCTTTTATGTAGATCAGTCCATTTTAATCAGGAGACCATGAACTGCTGCTAATCAACCTCGAACCGCTGGTTAGGGTTTTAAGACTGTAAACAGGTTTATTATTTTACAGATCAAACTCACTGTTTCTTTGCAAAGGACCATAAATCTGTTGTTCTTAAGATCACTAAAGGTGTCCCGCAGGGTTCTATTTTAGGACCCATTCTGTTCTCTGGTTTTAAAAATGACGAGTGAGAACATTAAAGCAAAATTACACCTTAATGCTAATGACACTGTTATCTACACCCATGACGCAAAAAGCAGAGCAGGAGCTTCAAACAGCATGTCACTTTTTACAAACAGCTCTACTGGATCTAAATCTAGTTTGAAATACTCAAAAAAACAAAGTGAGGTCTTCTCAAAAACTTGTAACAACCAGATGACCTTGTATCTTTACTGCTGAAGGTAATCCCATTGAAAATATGACCTCCTACACGTGTTTGGGCGTTTGGATAAATGACAAACCCTTATTTTACGTTCAGTCCTGTGCAAAAGTTTTAGGCAGGTGTGAAAAATGCTGTAAACTAAGAATGCTTTCGAAAATATGAATAATGATTGTTTATTTTGATCAATTTACAAAATGCAAAGTGAGCGAACAGAAGAAAAATGTAAATCACACCAGTATTGGGTGTTACTACCCTTTGTCTTCAAATACTGCATCAGAAAGGTCACCCCTAGACAAATATTTCAAAGCAGGCCGGTGTTTCAAGATGTGCTGTTCAAGCTCTTTTGAAAAAGCACAAAGAAACGGACAATGTTGAGGATTTCCCCTTGAAATTAGGAAATGTCCAGCTCAGAACAGGCAGAAACCAGTGGAACCCAGTTACACCCATCTACTGTCTACTGGAGAAGTCTGTCCAGAAGTGGTCTTCATGGAAGAGTTGCAGCCAAAAGGCCATACCTCTGACATGGAAACAAGGCCAAGCAACTCAACTGTGCATGAAAACATAGGAGCAGGGGTGCAGGAAATGGCAGCAGGTGCTCTTGACTGATAAGTCAAAATGTGAAATATTTGGCTGAAGCAGCAAAAGGCACTTTGTTCGCTTAAAGACTGGAGAGCAGGACAATAATGAGTGTCTGCAGGCAACAGTGAAGCACGGTGGAGGTTCCTTTCAAGTTTGAAGCTGCATGTGGTTGTTGATCGATCAAATAAAGGTCACATAAAAAATGTCCTGATCAGATAAAATAGCAATGTTTCAGCATGAAGACAAACTCAGTAAACAGGGTCAACAATCTAAATATGTAATACTAAGTACCAAATACTGAAGTGATTTAAAGGGCTCTCTGTGACTGAAACTTTGTGTCAGACACATTTACAGACTGATCCTGGTGACGGATTTCCCCCTGCATATAAATATAAAGCACTCTCCAGATTAACTAAGAGGACAGAGGAGCAGATGCTCCTGACACAGCTCACTTCCTCTCATCATATATGAATGTTGACAGGACCACAGGGTTCACTCACTGCCTGGTTGGCTGAGAGCCTCAGAGAGGCCTGACAGGTGGCCATCGTCTTCATCACTCTGAGCTCCATAAAAGGCCACAAACATACAGTCGGGTTGTACTTATTTCAGAGAGGCAGTAAAGATATAATGGGACTGAATAAATCTCCTAAATACATGTTTGTGCTTCTTTGAAGGTGGAGATTTGATAAATGTTGCTGGATCTCTGATTCCATTTGAGATAGTTTGACATGTAACATGTAGAAAAACCTGAGGTAGTTAAAACTCTTAAAGCCCAAATTTGATTTAGCTGACTTGTTTCCTGATTCCGCTTGTACTGGCAAACTGTCACAGCTCTCTACAGAAATACTGATCAGAATCTTTGACAGTATTAGTTTTATACCAGTGTGGTCAAAAGAGCCTGTTTTGAGCTGAAAAAGCAAAACAACCATTCGATTATTGATTTGTATGATAGATATTCACATGAATTTTATTAGGATGTAAAAATTTAAAGAGTCTAATTTACTGTATCAGCCACAAGTTTACATCATCATCTCAATATTTTATACAATATTTATCCTACACCCACTTTGGGGTATTTAACAGAACAGACGTGGTAGGAACCGACAACCTTAATACACATGCACCAGTTGGAGGAGGAGGAGGAGGAGGAGGAGGAGGAGGAGGAGGAGGAGGAGGAGAATAATCATAAGAAGTGGTTGTTGTCCACTGAGTAATTTGTACTGGTAGACTTTTTTTAAAGTTAACACTTGACAAATAAAGGATCATACTTCTCTGGCATCACAGGAGGAAGGAGGGTTTTTAATCTAGTGTAAGAAAGAAACTTCATTATCGCCAAACATTCATATTTCTACACACGGCACCTTCAAAGGTAGACCCAGAAAAAGCTCAAGCCTAACAGTTTAGAACTGATTCAACAATAAATTGGTTTGACTTCCCGGTCAAACACTTAATTCCAACTCTGGTGAGGAACTTTCAGCTTTGATGCCCCCTCTGGACAAAGTGGTACCTTTTACATCTTTGCTGACATCTTTTGTTCTACATGTGTTCGCAGTGTTTTCTGACAAAGAAATCTCAATCTGCTTACCTCTAACTAGGGCTGAGCGACACGGGAAAAAGTTTATCACAATATATATTTTTTTCAGATCAGTCGATATCGAGATATATCACGATTTTGCAATACAATAAGCTACTGCATCTGTGAGGTCTTTGTGTCTCTTTGACATTTTGTCGTAAGGCATTGTGCTAGAGGAAGCGAACTGAATGGTCGGCTGTTTCGGCTGCACAGGCGCCATGAGCTCCTTGCCCCGCCCGGGGTCAGTAACCTTTTTCATTGCGCGTGCTATGGCGAGTGGCACTGCTTCAGGTGGTGAAAAAGATTTGACGTATTCCCTAACTTTGCAAGAACGGAATGCCAACAATCGAAAAGCATACTGACCATGTTTTGTATTGACATTAAGGGGAATTAATTTTTGATATATCATTATCGTTATATTGCCCAGCCCTACCTCTAACTATGAAATGTTTCACTCACAATGTAAACAGTTGCTAAAAAACAAATAAGGCGATTTCTTCATCCTCCTGCCATTGTCTTCCTTGGCGCCTTTGTTGGTACCCGGCATAAAAAATAGCGACATAACAATAAATCGCGGATGTTTCAGGTCAGTGGTTTTGTTTACCTTTATAAGCTTCACTATCAGTCAGTCAAAAATTCCTTATGTGGGTTTTAAGTGATTATTAAAGGTCTAATCCACATCACCCATCTTTGATCTGTTCAGCTGCGATGATCAGTCAGTTAGTGTAATAATCTTAATGATCTTACTGAAACTTAAAACATACCTTTTTGGTCTTGCTTTTAACTACATTTTATATCTTTAACTTTAAGTGTTTTAGCATTTATCTCTTTCTAGTTTTAATGACAGGATCATCTTTTATTGAGCTATTTTGGTGCTCTTACTTTCGTATCTTTAACTGTTGCTTTTATTTCATTTTATACATCACTTCATTCTATGTTACTTTGTTTTTAGATTTTAACCTAAACCTCCAGTGTTTCCTTATTTTGAGTTTTTAAATGACGTTTCCCCAGTGCGCACATTCCTGTTTCCACAAAATCAAGATCTTTTTAAGTTCATGCATTTTAATACTGTTTCTGATGCGTTTAGATAGTAGGGCGGCAATGAGGGGGTGGGCTGGGGTACATTTGGCTATTCTCTTAATCTTGTGCTGGGGTAGATTTGGGTATTCTTAGTTTCTTTTATTCCTTTTTCTTGCTACATGGTTGAAGACTGATTGATTGATAAAATAAATCAGTTGGATTATAGGGGCTTATCTTAAAATGATGTTTTTGACTCTTACAAACTGATGACCATCTTACCTCAGATATACCACAGACATATAATTAGTAAGTCAGGAGAAAAAGATGTCAGGGAACAGTTGTTGTTCTTAATACTTTGATTGCTATTAATAAATGACTTGACCATATCCTTAATGATCCTTTCACTTCTTCACAATGAACACAATAGTACCTAAGACGGCCAACACTGGTAATTAGAGGCCTGTAGTGCATTCAGAAGGGGTTACTGAGCACAAAAGGAGAGGTCTGTTTTCCCACTGATTTCAATCCGATCCTGATTGTCATGAATGATGATGACCACTGTGATAACTGTATGCTTTGACTCTAACAATAAACCATCTCTACACGGTATACCTGATGTAAACAAAGTGAGTCCTCCTCCATCCCTCTCACTGCTTATCTCTGCACAGAAACAAAGCGTGTTGCTGATAGGTGACAGCAGGGACAAGTGCAGAGAGAGAGAGAGAGAGAGAGAGAGAGAGAGAGAGTGAGCTCACAGGGATGAAATCATCATGTCCCCAATTAAAACCAACAAGAAAGGGGGGAATAAAGAGAAAAAGCACCCTGCTGTCACGGATTTATGAACCAAAAGCTGATGATGGTTGGAGACAAAAACATGTCATGCCACTCCTGCATTAACCTGAGGCCTTAATAATATCACTAATAGCAAACAGAGGACTTACCCAGAAGATGATGTTGAAACCGAAAATGAAATACTTGATGCAGCAGCTCACTTCATGAGCCTTAAAATGCTTTCCTGACATCATCTGGATGGCTTTGTTTTGTTTTCAGACGCTGCCCGCGCTGGTGAGGAAGAACATCTATGGTCCTCTTCTGTTTGACAGCCGGGTTATCGGGCTGGAAACACCTTTTCTTTCTTATATTTACAGGCTCTTTAGTTCTTTTTACCGTCTCATTGTAAACATGAGCAGAGTGTTTCCGGTGACAGGAGAGTCCGCCGAATCTCGCTCAGTGAGCCACTGTCAGCGAAGATACACAGTTATTCCTCAAGAGAGAGTCCAAACGTGGGACGGGAGGAGAGATTCATACAAGTCAAGCAGATTTAAGCCGATGGTCCGCTATCTATCTGACCCGTTATCGAGACATGACTGTACGTTGAATGGCGTGAGTGTGAACCAATCAGAGGCTTTAGAGGCTATGGGAGGCGGGACTTCCCCCTGCGGTTGTTGTCACTGCCCTCAGATGACCATGAAATACATTGTGCTATGATACTTAACATTGACACCGTCGTTTATTCATCACAAGGTATTTATAATGGATTATATTATTACTTATTGTATCACAACCTGCATCAGACATTCAGGGCCCAGAAGACCTAAAGTATTCAATATCAAATAAACCAAACAAATAGGGGAGGGTGGGGTAAGTTGAGCCAAAGAAATTGATCATCTGACCAAATATTTAGGACATGGGCATAGAGTCTGTGAAGGTAAGAAGCACATGGGTGAAGGGGTTAGACATTTATTTACAGACAATCTCATGTTAAAATGACTTTTTACAAAACAGCTTTTTAGCAGTTATATGCAATAATAATAAAAAGAATATTGAACCATTTGAATAGCGTATAATAGATAAAAATACACATGAATGTGAAGAAGTGACTGTTATTTAGGGAGAAGGTGAGGGAGGGCTGGGGTGGTCCATAGGAGACCACTTTTTTTGGCATGCTATATAATCAAGACAGTTCTGTTTACACTCATTCTGTTGGTTTGCAGGGATGAACAACGTCTTGAAATATATGCAGAAACTCTAGAGACAGAACTATGATTGCCTTGATGAAGTGATCCCAAATATGAAAATTGGCTCATCTTACCCCACTCTCCCCTATTGTAGATAAATGGATAAATCAAAAATCCTATGCAAACAAACAGTCATCTCTTTAGAGTAAACTGGTTTGTTTGTCTGTTTGTTTGCTTCATTTCATAGAAACAGAGTGTACAGGAGTTCATCTGATTCCAGTCTTCCTCTTTACACATTTATTTAGTAGAAAGGTTTCAGTATTTCATTCATTGTCAGTGTCATTGTCAACCTATAGACATTACAAAAAAGTGCAATTTGTTGAAATAAAAACTGCTGGTGTAACATTCAAAACAAGAAAAAAGGAGAGAAAAAAATTGCACCTATTACATTGTGTTTCACTAGCATATACCAAGTTTCCTTGCACTCAGTTGAGCTTTATAACAAACTTTGCTGCTTCATTGTCTGGTAGGAAAATTTGTATTTGCCACTTATGTCCTGATAGATTTTCAGTTTTTAATAAAGCAAGTTTTGTATGGTCTAAAAAAAGATAAATCAATGTACTGCAGTGGAAACTTGGGACAAGGAGAGCTCAAACACTTTTTTTCCCCCAAAAGTTTTTCTCAATAAAATAAAAATGGAGGACTGTGCCCCCTAGTGGCCAAAAATGACACTTGCATCACTCTGTAGCTCAGTTTTCAGACAAAGATCAGTCAAGCAACAACATAATCAATACACTTGTCTATGTGTTTCAACGTGTTATGTGCAATTTGAACAATAAAAAAACAGACATCACTTTGAGTATTGGCTGGGTTTATTTCCATAAAACAAAAATAAGGTACTCATGTTCTAATCTATTACAAACATTTGTTTACAAAACAGGATAAATTATGAAAATAAATATTTCTGTGCAGGTTTTTTTGTCTATTGTCAATGCAGGCAGAAAAAAAAGACATTTACATACACATCTAAGTCCTTTTAATAGAAGACAACTCGTTTCTATCAACTCAGAATAACACTTCAGGCCAAAGACATGTTACACACAATGCAGAGGGCAGCAGTTAACATGCCATTCTATTCAAAGTCTATTCACTGTGGTAGATTCACTGACTTATTATGCATACAAACATTCCACCTACATGGATCAGATGTATAATTTTATAAAATATGCAGCATTATGCTGGTATTTTGGGGCACTACAATAGCTTTGTTCACATTGTCAATACTGCTTAAGTTTTTTCTAGTCACATAAAAATTTTAAATAAAAAAAAGAAATATTTTTTAAACAATGTTTGGCAAAACAAAGGTATTATGCATGCATTAATTACAATGCACCCTTCACTTTTGGCTGCAGTTCACTTAGAAAAATATAAACTCGATTTGCACTTTACAAAAGACTTCATATTGTTACAAAATATCACCGTAGATTCTCACAAAAATATGAGTAATTATGATTCTTCATTTGACCCTTAATGTGTGCTTGAGTTAAATCATCAGTTTGATTTCCAAAAAGCCTTTGCAGTAGCAGAGGCAGAAAGAAGAATTAGCTCAACAGCTTGAGGCAGTTTTCAATAACAACATTTTGAACAATGGTTGGTGTTGAAAAAGCTTTGGTGATCCTTGTCTTATAGAGTCAGTGTTTAGCTTTGCGACACAACACATGCTTCCCTTTTTGATTACAGACACAGACTTTCTATTCCTGTCCTTTAAATGACCACTGACAGCCAGGCTAGATTTGAGGTACGAGTTATAATATCCATTTGTCCCACAATTTAAAACCATAAGTCCTAAATGTTATTTCCATTCTATTCAATGCAACCATTACAATGGAATTCCTCCTTGTCTTTTGACTCTTCAGAGAAGGACTCAATAAATGCACTGTCCTCCTTTTGTAGTCCATATACCTGTGTGTTTAAGGCTTGTTGCACAGTTTTTATAGTTTTGAAGAAAAAAAAAACAGCACAATGTCTGGAATACTGAGATTGGCGTAGGTAACCCTGAAGACACATTTAGGAGTTCAGACATCTAGATAAACACAACATATGCTGTGAAAACGTCAGCTGTTAAAGACCAGTGTTTGTGTTTTAGTGGCATCACACAACACACAACCTCACCTTCCCCCATTATGCAGTCTGAGACATAGGGACCGCTACATGAGATCAAATTTTAAACTAAATTGTTGGGTTTAATAAATGAGCTCTTTCTGAGGTGAGAAAAGCAAATGATTGTTAATTTCTTGTGATTTAATACTGAGAGAACTAAGGATTTACATTTCTACCGTGGATGCCTCTAAATCTTGGACACTGGGCCTTTAAAGGCTCAACATGAACAAGCGACTATTTCAGAAAGTTAGACGTAATTACATTTCTAAATGCTACACAGAGTGTGTTCAGCCAAAGGCTTTGAGAACTGTTGTTCATTTTGTGCAAAATACATAATTATTGACTTGAATAATCAATCACAATTCAGTACATTTGAATTTTACATTCTGTTTCTTCTCTACTTTGGGTTTTGGCCAATAACAAAATGTACCTAATCATTGAGCAATACATGAAACATACTCCTTCTGGTTAAAAAATAATAGCATAATGTTTGTTGTTAGTTAAACTATATACAGGAATATATTAAACACATTTATAACACTCACAGATGCCATGCTGGAAGTAAAAGAGCACACCAACTATAGAAAGAAGTCGATGGTGTTCCTGACATTTTCAATCAAAGTCTTTGTTGTCAGAGAGGGCAGCTTTTACAGAGTGAATCCATTTTATATTCAAAAAACGATAAAGCCTTTTCTGATATGGATTCCTGTTTCTTGGGTTAAGTAAGATTGGCATAGCAACATAACAAGAAGCTTTAATACTTTATGCATTAATCACAGTTACTGATCCAGTGCTTTTACGTGTTTTCATAATGGCCAGACTGCACCTATAAGATGCCATATTTATATTGAGAAAAGCAAAACACTGCTTTATAATGAGGTTTTCTGAGTTACTATAAAATATACAAAACTTCTCAAAGAAGCTTGAAATGCATAACACAAACACTGACATGATCACCCATAGAAAGCCTGAGGAGGGGTTTGGCACACTGTAAAGGTTTCTTGGCTTTGATACTGTTTCTAAAAGTCACCCTGTATCACAATAAACTCACCTGTGACCTCCTTTGTGTTTTTTTTTGTTTGTGACAGAGTTGCAGAAATGCTACGGTTTTGTTAAAACTGGACCAGAGACGGTTTGAAAAGGATATAACAATCCATAGTTGCAAAAATGTGCATCACCAACATCACCTCATCATGAACGAAAGCACCGGGGGATGTTACCTGACTCACTGACGTAGTGTTGTATCTCATGGTTTGGATACACCCAGGTGAGAATTGTTAAAGCATGACCAGAACAGCAGCAGACTCCACTTCTGTCGCCTTATGTCACCTTGATTGCAGACTTTTTGACACAGAGCAGAGAGACGTACGGCACCCCGATGAAAGCCCATTTCTCATTGGGCCAGAACATGATGACGGGTCCTCGTTCAGGGGCCTCGGTTGCAACGTCAAAGTAGGCGAAACAAACACAACCCAAGTAGGAAGCGAGACATATGAGGATGTGCCTGTGAGATCAAGGAGAGGGGAAATTAACCCAAAACAGACTCATGTGCAGTATAGTGGCAATGATATCATCATTAAAACAACACCTTAAACCCTATATGAAATTACTATTATTATTATTATTGTTAAAATTACTATTATTATTATTATAATTACTATTATTGTTATTATTACTATTATTGTTATTATTGTTATTATTATTATTACTATTATTGTTATTATTATTACCATTATTATTATTACTATTATTGCTATTATTATTATTATTACTACTATCATTGTTATTATTACTATTATTGCTATTATTATTATTATCATTATTTCTATTATTGTTATAATTGCTGTTGTTGTTGTTATTATATTATTATTATTATTATTATTATTATTAGTAGTAGTAGTAGTAGTAGTAGTAGTAGTAGTATATTTTTTTCTTATCATTATTATTACTATCACCATTATTGTTGTTATTATTTTTGTGTTAAAATGCTTTTGCAACATTGTCATAACAATCATGCCAATAAAGCTCATTGAAATTGAAATTTAAAGCTCTTGAAACATGCTGATAAAGACACTGAAATAATTTTATGGTGTCCACAGATCTCTTTTTGTAAACTGTCAATGTTTAAAATGCAAAAACACATTATTGCATATGATCTAGATTTGGTAATTCAACTGAGAGCAGAGCAACATTTCGAGAACATTTTTCACTGAGAAGATAGTCCAAATGTACTCGCCCCTCTGAGCTGTGTTTGAGCTTACCAAGCACAGTGTAGATAGGGAAAGTTGACAGATGACCACATTTCACAGAATATCCTGTCACTGATCCAACAGAGCAGAGCCAGTGCCCACCAGATCCCTGAGATCAGACCCAGCTTGAACACTCGAGGGTTTTCACACCTGCAGAAGCCAAACAGAGCAATGAGAAACGTGTGCAAACCCGAGGACATACATACACACACGAATACATAAATGCATGTTTGATGGCTGATAACTGAACAAAGTAGACATACAGACGATGTCTGACCAGCAATGTTTTTTTATTCATGAATAAATGTGTTTGAAGTCATTGTAAAAGTCTGATTAAGTCTGTTTTAAGGCTCCCACCTCTGTTTTTTTACATTTACAACAAAGATGTGCATGCCAGGATGTTAGACTATAGGCTGTACTGCACACCGCATTGATCTATAGTTATATATGTCATTCTGATAACCCATTTCTCTGGTTTACCCTGCACAAATATATCCAAGTGGACACAGCAGTGACCGTCTGAGTCACTTGCCAACCAAAATTGCTGCAAAACTATTCTTAGTCTTGTCCTCTTTAGACAGAGCAGTCACAGCCCTGCTGCAGCTGCTGCTGGCTGGGGCAAACAAAGAAGGGCAAGGAAACCTGACTAGACTGTGATGCAACTGTTTAGTCACCGTGACAATCTTTTTTACCTTCCCTTAAGACAGAACACTTGGTTAGGTCATAGCAGTTTACAAACCTTTAATTCAAATTAGCATTGTTTCAGGGAGACAGGAATGTTGGGACACCAACTCTTTCCAGAAAGAGCTACAGCACAACATAGATAAAAAACAAACACAAATGATGCCACAGGCCCTGGAAAATTCCGAGCAGTGATTTCAAGATAAGTAGAGAAGCCCTGATGAATGACCCCTTTTACATTCATGCTCTTTATCGATCCAGTGTTGGGAGATATTGATTGTTGCAGCCTATATGTGAAAATGCAGAGCAACAGTGGAAAACACTCTGAGTATGAGCAGATACGGTGGGAAGCTGAAAGATCAGGGATTAACCTTCACATTTATGATATCACATTTAAGATATCTTGTAAGTTAGACTTTCTTTAAGCAGGTTGCTATCCTTCCTCCTTTGTTAGCTTTTACTGTGCACCCACTATGTTAAGGGTCTTAAATCAGCTGTAAATTACACTAAAAACGATTCTCTATCATCCAATTTTGTTCTCATCTCTAGGTTAACTTGTCAGGCTTCATTATCCATGAAAATATTGCTTAAATATTTTTTGTTGTGGACCTTCTTTGTCAGTATACCGCTCACACAGACATCTATACTGAATTGATCTAACATGTCTGGACATGCCCGATGTTGTTTTTTGTGCAGGGAATAACATGGCAAAATGAGAATTCCCTACATCTCACATGATTGGAAGAGGATCTGACTGCCTGACAGTGCACATATGATTTTAGTTTTTGCTCTGATTATTGATTTTTAAACAAAACGAGTCGACAGCGACACTAACACGACAAGTGCCATCATTTTAATAAGAGTATTTTATAATTAAGTCAATAATTTTTTTTATTTCTATTTTGTTGAAATAGAGGTTCCTAACAAAGTCAAAAAGTCTTGATGCAAAAAAGCTAATTTAAGTGGTTCTTTTATGCATTTAAAAACAAAAACGGGTCGGTGCAGACCCTAACCCAGAAGGAAGGTTAAAAAAAAAAAAAACAGGCAAATTTTCACCAAATTACATAATTGATCAAGAGACAGAGTCAGGGCAATAGGAAGCACTAAAATAGACAGACTTCCTCAAGGGTAATCAGCCATTATATTGCCATCAGTATTTCATTCTACTTTAAGTGTTTCAATTCTTGCTGTTCAGATGAGAGCTAACGCCGACAGTGGATCAGCCACAGTATAGCTGCCCTGTTCACCAACGTCCCTTCCGGCACACAAACCAAACATAAACTGACAAAAGCATCACCACGTGGCCGGATGTCTGGGATACTGAGCCTATCAGCTCAAACAGAAGCAAGAGAGATAAGAAACATGACATGAAACTAGGACTTCTCCCTGCAGATGGAGGGTTGGTGGGTGTGATGGAGTCTAACTGTTGGAGGCAGAGATAAGTGAGAGGAAAGGCCGATCTGGGTGAAGTACTGCTGAGAGGCTTCTGTCACTCCAGGGAAAAGAGAGGAAGAGGCTCTATATGATCAGAGCAACGAGGCCGGATACTTATTACAGACACCAAAGAGCTTCTTCTACTTCTTCTTCTGTAGGTTTCAATGTCATAAAAAGGCACCAGATATTTGTACTCTTAGAGGTTGATGTTGTTTCTTAGATATTAAAATGTTTAGATAAATCAGATGAGCCATAAAAAACAGATCATCCTAACCACCTAGCTCCAAATTAGTATCATGCATATCCACAGTATTAGTATTTTCCTCTCACTGTATTGAAAAAAGGTGTTTATGGTCAGTTAGTAAGTCAACATGAGAGTTCAATTGCTGCACTTATCCTTTTAGCCACCCATCAAAATGAACTACAGATATTTCCTCTTCAAGAAGGAGAAGAAGAAGAAGACATTTATTGCTCCTTGGAGGGAAATTCCATATTTACGTTTACGTGTATGTAATGATACATATTTTCCCCTGCAAATATTCCGTTTCATTCACATTTATTTCATGCATATGTGTTTTAAAGTCATGCTAGCCTACAGGGAATGTACTAATGAGTAGAGGTATTAAGTTGATATGAAGTTTTTGGATGTACCCAGACAGAACTTTGCGATGTAAAAATAAACTTTGCTCACACAGATTCCTCTCATTTTGGTTTGTCCTGTAGCATACCTGGTCTGTATTTATATATCATAGCTTTTGTAGCACAAGCGTGATAAGAATCACCGTCTCAGCCGCTTTCTGTTGTGCAATATTTACAATGAATAAACCAAACCTCCACCTGGAAGTGGCTTGAACAGAGGGGGCACCAGGGTACAGTAAAAAAGCAAACATTACCAATAATGCCTGTTGTTTCTGAGAGCACAAGTCCATCAGCTAACAGGAACTCTCTCCCACTTAGCAGAAACGAAAACAAGTGGTCTCGGTACATGACTGGCACTTTCAGTAATGTCAAGAATTACTTAAATGGTGAACAATGGATGACTGGAGGTTACAAGACTGACGATGGAGAGGAAGGGATGTGGGAAACGGAAACAGCCGGGAAGTTTCCCATTAGTGTGACGGAGGAGAGCTTTAGAGACAAACACACACACACACACAAGCTGCTTGTTGTGTGTGCGTGTGTGTGTTTTCAGGAACATTCTTTCACATCATAAGACCCTATAATTACCCTGAAACAGACAACATTACATTAGACAATACAAGCACAAAAGGCCAAAGGAGACGTGTTCAAGTAGTACAGAGTGTAGAAAGCCCATCCTAACTCTGTTTTGGTTGTGGTTCACTGGGAAGACTGAAAGCACAGAGTTCGTGTTGTTGTGGTTCTGATAGCTCAAAGTTATGATGTACATGCTTTAAAATATGAATAAAGAATAACTTGCACTTCATTTAATTTAACTTTCGGCATGTGGGGCAGCTATAGTGGCTACAACAGTGTTACGTAGTTTACTTGATGATTAAAGCTTAAACTAGCTGAGGCTTCTTTAAAGTTTAAGTAGGGAATCATGATTCAGTTACTTATCTGTACTTTGATGGCAGTCGCAGGTTTCAGTACAGAAACCTATCGAGCACACAAACTGTGATAAGGGTTTAAATCCAAGGGTCATTTTAAGTTCAAATTTCTTATCAAGTCTGTTATCAATCATTCAAAGTAACGTGGATTTACAAATAGAAGTGTGACCCACTTCTAAAAAACTGTGCTGCTTTCACATGCAGATAATCACACAACCCAAATTCCCCAACCCAGATCCAGAAGAGGCACACCAAAAAGTTAAGATTCATTAATCTTTAAATTTAGCTAACATTCATTGCACATTAACTAATAAAGGAGCCTAAACATCTATTACATTGACTTCAGTATACATATATTTACTGCAGCATAAAATGATCTATTCACTAAGGAACAATGTTTGAGCTTCATTTGTTGTCAGTATAAATCGTTGGTTTGTACGTCCAACCATTATAACCTTTTTATTATGTTCTGTCTAGACCAGTGGTTCTCAAGTCCAGTCCTCGAGGCCCACTGTCCTGCATGTTTTTGATGTTTCCCTGCTCCAACACACCTGATTCAAATGATCAGCTCGTTATCAAGCTCTATAATGGCTTAATAACGAGCTGATCATTTGAATCAGGTGTGTTGGAGCAGGGAAAAATCCAAAACATGCAGGACAGTGGGCCTCGAGGACTGGACTTAAGAACCGCTGGTCTAGATGACACAGCTTTTTTTGACTGTTTCACCTCACCAAGAATCATTTTAACTGTCTTCACGACATCAAAACCTGAACAGAGACTTGGTTCAGCCTGATCCAAAGAAAAACAAAACTGATCATTTGCCCCGAGCGTTTGCTACATGTAGGGCTGGACGATATGAGAAAAAGTTACTCGCTATATATTTTTTTTCATATCAGTGATATCGATATATATCATGATATGAAAAATTGGAATTTAACAGTGCTTATTTGTAGCATGTCTTTCGCAATACATTAAGCTACTGCATCTGTGAGGTCTTTGTGTCTCTTCGACATTTTGTCGCAAGGGGTTGCGCTAGATAAAGCGGACTTAATGGTCGGATGTTTCAGCTACACAGGCGCCATGGGCTCCTTGCTGGGCTCGAGGTTTGTAACCTTTTGCATTGTGCGTGCTCTGCTGAGCAGGTGGTGAAAAGATTTGATGTACTCCACGACTTTGCAAGAACATGTACTCGACATAATTTGCAGTGCACATTACTCTGTTTCATGTCCGACCTCAAAAAAACAAAATACCTCGACGCCACCAACATTTTCTTGCCAGTGTTGTTGACGATGTCATCATCTGTTGAGTCTTCATCTGCATTTCTGCTGAGGGTAGCACTCATTTTCTCTTTATCTCACCGACAGTGCTGTTGGCTTCACGTGTTATGGTTGCGTGTAGCTGCAGCCCGCTACTACGCAGTTTTTTGCCACTTGGCTCTAATTCAGCACGACTGGTTCAGCCCAAAGTGGACCCGCAGCAACTCCTCTTTTCATTCGCTATTCGTATAGTCTACCAAAACATGGCACAATGCCAACTATCAAAAAGGATATTGACCATGTTTCATATTGATATTGAGGGAAATTAATTTTCAATATATATCGTTATCGTTTTATCGCCCAGCCCTAGCTACACATTTAGCCCACTGCCCCCAAATGTACATAATAAAGGTTAAATATTTGTTATGCTCTCAGAGGCCTCATTGAATCCATACAACCAAGTCAGTGTCTCAAGGTAATAAGGCTTTTACAGCTGCAACTCCCTGAAAACTTCCTGAGCTTTTAAATGGACTCACAGTCAGAGGACATCATGACCTGGCTCTGCTCTACTGTTTTAATAATGAGGAACCTTTTGACAAACCTTTTTAGCTCAGTAATGAGCAGTGCAGTGCAGGGGATGCCCAGAGTCATGAGTGACAAAGAGTTGACAACAGGTTTCACGAAGGCCAGCCCAGTGGTGATCCCTGACAAGATACCGATGACCACTTTGAACCTTGACCTAGATTATGAGCCAAACAAGCCAGAAGAGCAGAGTGTGTAATAAATGCCATGAACAGGATTGTGAAATTTATGAAGAATGTTGAGACATCTCAGAAAATGAAACAAACAAAAAAAACAAAACACTGTAAACAGATCAGTAAACAAGAATCTCTCAGCTACTCTGTGACAATGGAAAGAGAAGTCAAGACATGTGATGTAGCTTTTCCTAGTGTCAGCTATCTCGGACAGGCCTATTATTAAACAGGGAGTCATAGCAGTGAAGCCATCACATGACAAAACAGTAGCCAACTGTGAACTCAACACATGAAGCTGCTCAACTCTGCATGTCTGACAGAAATACTGCCGACAAGTCAATTCAAACAGTTTAGTGTTAAATTAGCAGAAATAAAAATGTTCTCCTTTTGTCTGAATGTTGGATTTTTAGTAATAAAACTACCTAAGCCTGCCCAGCTAAACACTGATAAATGCACAGTGAAGTTCTCTCTCTGAATTCATTGATCAGGGATCAAATGAGATATCATTCGCTGTTGTAGTTACTCCTAAGGCTGTGGGGGAAGTCTGCTGAAAAACAGCCCTAGTTTGATCAAAAAGCTTAGAAAAAGTATGAATCCTAACATAACCATGCTCTGATCAAACCTACCGATCCCTTCTGAACATCCTGGGTAAGTATCTTTTTGGAAACCACATGGCGATAGCACACATGAGCACCCACAAGATGGCCAACTCATCCAACATCTGGCCGAGGAAACTAAGGGTGGCGTGAAAATATGTGGAGCCGATACCTGAAGGACACAAAAAAGAAATGTGATCAATAGAGAGTCAGCAGCCGCTCAAAGTGTTAAAAGACTGTTTTAATGGGACTTGTTTGTTTGTATTTCATGTCATAACACTTTCTAGGACTGGGTGATTTGGCCTCTAATCAATATCATTATATATTAAGCAGTTCACCTCGATAGCTATATAGGGACGATAACTACTCCACAAGCTGCTAACCCCCTCCCACATTAACTTCATCTACTTCAGCCACCAAAACTTTTGAACTGTCCTCCATCTCCTCACCTGTCTTTCCCTCTTTGTTACAGACTGGATAGAGCCTACCTACACACATCTAAAACCAACTTTAATTTTTTGACACCGAATATACCCATATGGGCAAAATGACGTTGGTTATTGTCGTAAATTTCTGTATCTGTAGTTTTTCGCTTTATCGCCCAGCCCTAACACTTTCTTTAATCAACAAAGAAGGAAAGCAAGTCAAGACACTAAACCTTCACCACAAAGCACTTGGGAAAAGTAGCCAAAGTAACTCAGTTTCTGCAGTATTAGAGAACAGCTGCTGATTTAATCTAAATGTGTTACAAACAATTATGAATACTGAAAAGTTACTCAAAGGTCAGTCACTGAGAGTTTCAAATGCTCTGGACAGACAGATCAGTCAGTGCCAGTTTGTTATCATGCTCCCACAGAGTGTCTATAATCAGTGTAATCTGTTTTTGTAACAGGCTCTGTAGGGGACTCCTTCCTTCCTTTCAACTACCTTCTTATCCAAGAGTCGCTTCTGCTCTCAGTTAAACCTGTCCACCATGCAGTGAACCTACAGTCAGCTGATACTTTTTCTGTTTTCTTCACTTCATTATGCCAAACTGTTTACTGGTGCACTCTTGACATTAACTTTACATCTTTAGGAGACATTTTTTAATCCACTTTCTTACATCTTGTAGACCATGTTGATAGATCAAATTGACTATCAACAGTTTACATGATTGAGGGTTCATATTGGAAAATACAGACCTTACATAAAGCTGACACTGACCTGAATTAGAAAACTATGAATGTTTCACTGTTTCCCAACATTTTAGGGACAAAAATAGAAAAACAAGATAATGTTTAGTTACAGCTCTGTCTAAACTCACGGTGGATACTTTAGCTTCTGAAAGTAGGCACAATGCAGCCATCCCAAACTAATGTGAATGACTCAGCCCGCGTACAGCTGAGGCCAAAAACAGGAGAAAAGCAGCTGGATGTCATTTTCCTTTTTTCACCCAAGGGGATGTTTTTCTGCTCAAGGTCAAAGGTCATTTTAACTATAACGTCATTGGAAGAGAGATGAAACTATGTAACCTTTTGTCTGCTGTGTGTTTTTGACGGCTTGTGGATTTCTCAGAGAAGCAATCGGAGCCCCTGAGTGTCATTCATGCAACATGGGACTACTCTGCTCGAACAGAAGGAGATTAACACAAAGAAATAGAGTGAGAGGAGATGACCTATTTACATTGGACTCGTTGTTGCTTATTCGTTATATGCAGATCCCACCAGCTAACAGCTCCAGTTGTTTTGTACCACGCACTCAGGTCAGTTCTCAGGAACAGAGGGAGGTCTGTCAGGTTATCTGCTCTGACACAGCAACCTGACTGTTTACATAGCAGCAGTGAGGAAACTCAGCTCCATAATCTTTTTTTGAATGTTTCCACACTGTACTGTACAGTGGCACTAGAACTGAGAACACTGTGTCAAATCATATGAAATCGAGGCAAAAGGCGTATTCATACAGCAGCTGAATGAGCCCAGTCATTATAAAAGGAGGGTGAAATGATTCAGGAGAAGCTGAAGCTATAACTGGTACCATAGCTGAGCAAACCTCAGTGTTGTTATTGAAGTTAAAAATGTCAGCATACCAGATTCAGCACCTAAATACAACTCAAACACACATGAAATGTACAACTTGTATTATTCAAGTGTACTCTAGTGCTGATAGTACTATTGTTTGTTATCACTTATTCATCTGTGAGTTATTTTCTTGATTATTTGCAATTTTCTTTTTTTTTATAATATTAAAATCTTTTCAAATGCCTTTCATATTATACAGAAATGTGACTGGTATAGTTCAAGCTCATGTGAGGACTTTTTGAGCTGTTTATAACGTGCAAAAGCAAAAGACGCCAAAATTGACCTTTTTTTTCCCAGGCTGCCTTTTTGATGCCTGAGGTGCAAGTGTCAAATAAAGTAATTTACTGCATGATGCCAAAATAGCCTTTTCTGTTTCCATGGCATGAGGGGTTTGTGAGAAAAGAAAGAAATAACTGTTTTTATCTGGACTTTTTTTGTGCAAATTGTTGTACTATACTTCCTGATTGCCTCCTAAAACACACCCAAAGTGTTCAGTTAATATCATTAAAAACATTAAGTACTCATTTCTCAGATATTTACGATGACTTGTTGCTCTGAGCAATGAAATGCCAATTTTTTGGTTCATCTAGTTTCTTTTTATGTTACATAATAGACACTACATTCCTATGCATGCCTTTTCTAATGGTTTTCTGTAGATAAAATGAAGTATAGAATTTGTACAGCATTTGTGCTGTACAGAGTAACACGAAGTAAGTTACCTGGTAACCTACAAAAGATGTTCAAAACCAGAGAGGGGCGAACATAAATTTATTTGTCCAATTGTCCGCACAACTCTGAAAAGTATGTGCATTTCTGTTTGTGGTGTTAAACTCTGGAACAGCCTGGATGTCACTTTTAAAAAAGTCTAATAACATCAAAATATTTAAATCAAACTTTAGAGAAGTATTAAAAAAGACATAGACATAGACTAGACATACTTGATTGCATAAGTAATATTAATTCTGAATATTATAACACTGACTATTATTAAAATATGCAAGTAATTACAATAAGTAACCTATATAGTGTTGAGCAAATATCTTTAATATGTAGGTATTTATACAGATCTTTGTAATTTATACAAATAGATTTTTTTGATCTCTAGTTTGCACGGAATGGGTGGGACTAGATAAGTTTTTTGCTTCATTCTGTTTCTTCTTAAAATTGTTTATTTCGAGATATATATGTTGTGTAAACTTATCTTTCACATGTACAGTTGTTATATGTATTATTTTGTTCGGTGTATTTCTTTTTAGTTATTTTTTTGTTGTTGTTCTTAAAGTTTGAGATAAATAAAGAAGAAGAAGAAGAAGAAGGGAGAATTCACATTTATATAAAGACATTCAATCATTGCCCTATATTTAGCAAAACTAGTTGGACTCTGTATTGATCTGTATTGGACATTTACTGGTTGAAATTTGACATTATATGGAAGTTAAACCTCTCTTCAAACATGCAGGGTTAGGAGGTCATTATCAAACACGACACACACTCAGACACAGACACACAACAACAACAACACGTCTTGAATGCCAACAAGCAAACTTACCAACCACAACAAGAAGAATCCATATGAGGTAAATCCCACTGTTGAAATGTGTTGCATATTGGCGGAATAAGCACATTAATATGGGCGGCAAAACAAAAAACAAAATGTTGCTGATCTGAAATGATAAACAAAAGAAAGCTATGAGCAAAGAAATACATCACAGTTGAACTGCAGCTCAGTGAAAACGACCAGGCCTTAAGAGAAAACTGTCAGGCAGTGAAAATGAAGAAAAGAAACATTTGTAACCTGAAGCTATAGCGGTACATATCATGATGTCGAAGCAGCCAAACGCCTAATAAAGTCAGTAGGACTTACAGCTCGCTACGGCTAACCTGAAGATAACATTCATGGCAATTATTAAAGAGGCAGTGCAGTACAAAGAAAGAAAAACAAGAAGCCAGAATAAAAAAGCCAGCTGTCCCTGTAAACAAAGCTGCATTGTGCAAAAACAGAACAAAAAAAAAGAAAAGGAGCGAACATCATCATCATCAGCAGCTACAAGTCAAAACCGACCGTGTTGTAAAATTCAGCGATGGTGGGGTATATCAGGTAGTTGCCTTCACACCAGTCCACCTCGGAGCTGCCAGCCTGCAACTGGTCCCAAAAAATCAGATTAACGTTACTCATGTCTGGACAAGTCCTGCCGGATGGACAGAGCAGCACACAACGGACACCAGCAGCAGCAGCGGCGGCGGCTGTACTCCACCGTCCGTCAGCTCCGGACACAGACACACAAAAACACCCCTGAGAAAGTCAAGACCTCTCGGCTTCTTTATCGCACGCTAGATAGGAACGTTTGGGACGTGTCACGTACTGCACATGCGACAAGGTGATAAAGTACGAAAAACGTCGCTGAGTTGCATTTTAAAGCCTCTCTGCTCGTCCACAAAGCCTCCTACCAGTCGTGACGCTCTAGTGTGCATTGACAGCTGCTCGGCTCTGTAGCCAAAGATCGTTCGAGCAGAACAAGAGCACTCACTCCGCTCTGATACCTACTCCTCCTACTTCTTCAACATGTGGCCTCGAACCCGGAAGAACACGTTTTTTTTAGCTCATGCACTATCTTAGTTTCAAGTTTCAGTTTCAAGTTAAAGATTAATTTTGAAAAGTTAATTTACAAGTTATTTCGTGGTAAAGGGGAGAGTGGGGAAAGATGAGACATTGTCCATATTTTGGATCACTACATCAAGGCATTCATAGTTTTGTCTCTAACTAGTGTATCTGCATATATTTCAAGATGTTGTGCATCTCCGCAAACCAACAGAATGAGTAATATAACCGTCTTGATAATATAGCGTGCTAAAAAAAAAAAAAAAGGTCTCCTATGGTCAACTTACCCCGTGTATGGGGTAAGTTGAGCCGTGATAAAGTGATTCAGAACATTCACAGCTGTATTTGTGGAAAGAAAAAGTAACACATTTCAACAATCTAAACTGAGCCTGATTTTTTTTGTAAATAAATGTCTAACCCCTTCACCCATGTGCTTCTAACCTTCACAGACTCCATAAATTGATGCCCATCTCCTAAATATTTGGTCACATGATCAATTTCTTTTACCATTTCCAAGCAACAAGAGGTGGCTCAACTTACCCCACTCACCCCTTTATGAAAATTATTATATTTTCAGTTCCCCTAAGAGTCATGACATTTGCTTTCTTTTCTTTTTCCTGCCTTCTTGCAGATGATTTGACTTGTTTGTACATTTGGAGTTTACATACAGACCTACAGACTGTAGTTTATGAAACCACAAAGGCCTACACTTCTGCCGCTCTTATAGCCACTTTAAAGGACTGTGGGGACCGAGAAGCAACTTAAGACACGATTCTTTGATAAACTCTATCATGTATATTTTTGGCTTCATGTGCATACTTACTGATGACTTTATTTTAAAATCTATATTTGAAGTTCCGAATTGCTCATTTAGATTTGCCCTCCTTCAAGAAACTCTGAAAGACTCACTTCTACTCTCTTGCCTTCTCATAACCTGATTTCTCATCCGAATTAAGCTCTTACACATAACCTGCACATTTTAGTCTGTTCCAAATTTTCCTGCTGTAAAGCACTTTGGCTCAAATTATTATTATTTTTTTTTAAAGAACTCTATGAATAAAGCTGACTTGACTTGACTAATACAGCTACTACAGCGCCATCATTTCCTACTCTAATGACATTTAAATATTCATGATTTAAATTATTTTCTTTTTAAACCTCTACTTAAATATACTATAGAGGGTAATCCTTTTTTTTCACGTGATTTGGTCTCTTTGTATTGCATTTCTTATCATGCCAATTTGACCTCTGCATCATGTATAACATTATGGTGCAATATTAGAGTGTAAACCGCAACTGTTTAATCAACATAACCCAGATATCACTCATTAATAATCACATACCATTAAATACTGATAATTTAATCTTAAAATGACAGGGCCCCCTCTATACAGTTTACCATCTGCTGCTGCTGTTTCGAATTATGATATTAATACATTGACAGTGGTGGTGGTGTGGCCATAATTATGTATGCATGTGTATGTGTTCATATGTATTAATTCAACTTTTTCCCTTATCTCCATGTTAAGTTAAAAATGTCTTTATCAAAGCTCATTCAGATGCTATATTTAAATGCTTTAACAAGGAAGGATGGTTACATTTGTCTTGTAGTGCCATGTGTCCAAACCAAAAAAATATATATATATATATATACATGGTAAAAATCAGCATTCTCAGAGATTAAAGACATGCATGAAATACATAATACTCACAATGTCAAAGAAGGAGTTTTCTGAGAATTTGCGAAGTCTTCAGTATTTCCCTTGAGGTGCTTGTTTCGCCCTCCATTACAGCTTCTTCATTACTCTGGCTCCCTCTGGTGGACTTATATCCAAATAACGTCTCACGGCATTTTGTTGACGCCACATTGCCCGGTGTTTCCTTCAAAATCACAAAGAGTGCACGCTTTCTCCTCCTTACATAAACTGTCAAAAAGCTCAATGTCGTATTTTTACTCAACAACCTCCCAACCTCACATTTCCCACACCCTGATTTTTGTATTTACAGGATTTATGTAAGTTAAACTCAATTTCCGGCGCAGTTCCAGTTATTTTGAATAATGATTAGATTTGAACAGATAAAAGTCTCTTGAATAATAATTTTTCCTGGACTGAAAATAACTTCTCAGGCTAGCACCGTTATAGAGAAATAACCAAGTAAATACTTTCACGTTAAGATTGGACATAAAGTTACGGTAGCTAGTTATCGCGATAACACAGGGCCTATGTGAGATCACGAAGCGGATATCCGGTCTCTTTTCCGTGGCGGACCGTCGTTGGGCCGGTTTAGCAAAATGAAGGTACAATGTTTCTCAAACTATTTCTCTATGTGAAAATCGTTTTTATCTGACATATCCCTGTGCATATGTCGCCATGATTCTGAGCCTCAAAGCGGGCCAGTTTTATTTGACTGTGGTTACCCTAACACTGAGGATGAGTTGGGATTTTGTTAGAAAGTGAGCGCCGAGGATGCAGTCGGCATATGAACTCTGAAAACATGGCCGCTCACTGAGGGAAATGTGCAGCTAACCCAATGCTAAGCTCCATTTAATATTTAAACTTCTGCTGTAAGCCTTCGTTTTATAACGACCAGCGCTAATGAGGTTATTTGTGTATGAATTTATGGGTAAAATTTACGCCACAGCATTCAGTATGTTTAGTTAACGAGTGAGGGAAACTCGAGTCTGTCAGAAAGCTAACGGGCCTGAGGGTCAATTCGGTTTCATTTAAAGAGTTTAACACGCTAAACGTTAATTTGTAACATGTTTGTGCAACTTTGGGCTGATACATGTCAAGAGTTAAGGCCTTGAAGTATTAGTAATGTTAGTGGGTACACCTGCAGTACCTGCATGAACTCTGAAGCTAACTTTTAGATAGCCAGGTGTCACTTTCAAACTGAAGTCCATTATCTAACATGATTATTGAATCCTTTCTTTCAGCTGAACATCTCCTTTCCCGCTACTGGCTGCCAGAAGCTGATTGAAGTCGATGATGAGAGAAAGCTGAGAACTTTCTATGAGAAGCGTATGGCCACTGAGGTGGCTGCCGACCCTCTGGGAGATGAGTGGAAGGTGATTGTTGTCAAAGTTTAATCTTTGACATCCTGATGTAACTTTGTCAGAGACTGTAGTGCAGGAGGTTCAATGTTTTAGTCTACGTAATGAAAACAGGCACACCAGTAGACCCTTTTTGACTGATCAGTAGTCATTAAGGGGGGACAGAGTGATGCCAGAAAAACTGCAGAGCTGCTCACCAGATACGACCAGATCCAGGTTCAGTGGATGGCCGTAACGGCGATGCTCTCCCATTATGTTCAGTGTACACTAATAACAGGATGACACCTAATGGGTCAGTCGTTATCATAATCATGTTTTTTTAAGAGAGATGCTGTCAGTTAACCCAGCAACATCAAGTCTTATTATAGACAAGGAAGTAAACAACTTGAGTTTTAAAAGGGTATTCAAAGAGGCGCTCTAGATGCAGTGAAGATTGGGGGTTAGGGTTACAAATTCCCATGGTGTCATATTTGGATCCTATGGTACAGGTGCCTTAATTGACATGAAAAAGATGAAACCGTTCATTTTGTCTTCTCCTGCAGGGTTATGTGGTGCGCATCAGCGGAGGCAACGACAAACAGGGCTTCCCCATGAAGCAGGGTGTTTTGACTCACGGCCGTGTGCGCCTGCTGCTCAGCAAAGGCCACTCCTGCTACCGTCCCCGCAGGACCGGCGAGCGCAAGCGCAAGTCTGTCCGGGGTTGCATCGTTGATGCCAATCTCAGCGTGCTGAACTTGGTCATCGTCAAGAAAGGTAATGTGCTTATAAAGGCTCAGGAGAAAAAAGTGGAACAAACTGTCAACCAGTGATTAGAATTTTGAGTCTTGAGCACAGAGTGTGGTTTTAGTGGTGCAATTTATATTCACTCAGTCCACTGATGTCACTTGTAAATGTAGTTAATGGCACACCAGTAGACCCTTTTTGGTTTGTTAGTAGTCATTAAGGGGGGACAGCGTGCTGCCAGAGAAACTGCAGAGCTGCTCACCAGATGCAACCAGGTCCAGTTCAGTGGATGGTTGAACTGCATTGCTCTCCCATTGTTTTACATGTACATCTATCAGATTGACATGAGAGCTATTGCTCTCTTGATTTAGACGTTTGTGTGGCATAATTGTACAATTAGTGTAATACTCGGTTTTGATGCCTTTGACTTATGTTTGTCTGACCTGGTTGTCCTCAGGTGAGAAGGACATCCCCGGGCTGACCGACAGCACTGTCCCTCGTCGTCTTGGTCCCAAGAGAGCTAGCAAGATCCGCAAGCTCTTCAACCTCTCCAAGGAGGATGATGTTAGGCAGTACGTTGTGAGGAGACCCCTGACTAAAGAAGGTAAGACTGGGGCTGTTTTTACTCAATCCTGTTAATTTCCCACAGATCACTGAGTGTTGGTTGTCATTGGAATTAATCGACTTGATAAAACCTTGTAAATGACTGCCTGTGCCTCAGAAAAGAGGGTATTGAAGATGGAGCTCTTGCTTCACAATTGAGACAATTGAGCAGTAGATAGAGAAGTCTGGTCAGCACATGACACTAAGACTTAATTCAAAGCACTGTAAGCATGATGAACACGACACTGCAAGAGCTGAAATCTTTACTGAGTGGCAGAACATGCTTGACAATGTGTTTGCCATCGTTTCTTGATTTGTCGCCAACTCCTATGATTCAAGCTCTTTTTCAGTCGACCGCTTTGAAAACCAAGAACATTTTTCTGCAACACACCTCCACCTCCGAGCTCAAACACCTGCTTACTTCGTGCTGCCTCTTAATTAGTTTGTGTGTCTATCTGTTATCTGTTATGTAAGGTCCTGTTCACATGAGAATGGTCTCATCACAAGCAGAAAAATGTCCTGTGGGTATTCAACCAAATTTGTGTTCGCATGACATCAGTGTAAAAGTGATCTGTACGCACACAGATCTGCACAAGTGATGGAGAAGTCTGTAATATGCATGCCAAGTCAGTAGCTGGCTGTAGTTTTCATGAAGTACCACCAAAGAACACAGAGTGTCTGTGAAAGCTCCAACCGAGCAATGGCAACAAGAAAACGTGGCAAACGCAGCCGACTTACATTTGCATTTTCACCCACCCAAAATATAGTTTCTGCATCAAGAAGCAGTCAGAATGCCACGGTAGTTTACTGCTTTCACTGTGTAAATGATTCAGATTTCACAGTAGTAGGTTATCCATGTAAGCCCGGGTCTTGTTAATGATGTGACCATTAAAACAATCTGACACCTGTGGGGTGTGTTCTCACTAGCTTTTATGAAACAAAGTCAAATCTGGCATACATCAAAAAAACCTCCATTCTGTATTTTCTACATATTAGATTTGACTCTTATAAGATGTGAAAGTTTATTTTTGAAACTGAATTCAGCACTGAAGGCTTGAGGCAGCTGATCATATAGAATCTGAATATTAAATCTAATCTGCATTGTCAAACGTGCTTTGGCTGGCGTTAAGAAATGTGGGTGGCCATTGTTAGAGACACGTTTTTACCTGCTAATGGTGGGCAGTGAGACACATGGGGTATTCAGTGGTGACAGGTTGACAGTGAATTTCTTTAATTGCACATTTCTGTGTTTTGTCCTTGAAAGCCTCCCTGTTGCTCATGGCTCTTTGTAAATTACCAAGCCCTCCACAAAGTGTCTTTGTTAAAATTTCACTCATTACACAGCTTTGCAGAGTCTCTCTGCTTTAGATGCTGATATCAGGACTTTTGGATACTTTGTACCAGGTAGAGATTGGAATTGAAAACTAGAAGCAGCAGATTGATAAATCCTTTTTTCCCAGGTTTCTGTTCAAGTTGTTAACTGTAAATTGTAATGATAAATGTTAAAGTTTTACACGTGACATCAAACAAATTGACAACAGAGCAAAGATTTTATGCTCTGGGTTGTCACAGTTGCTCTCAGTGCTCCTCACTGGATTTAGCCTTTTTTCATGAATTTTATTCCCTCTCGTACAATTTTAAAGGCAAGAAGCCCAGAACCAAGGCTCCCAGGATCCAAAGACTGGTGACGCCCCGTGTGCTGCAGCACAAGCGCCGCCGCATTGCCCTCAAGAGACAGCGCACCCAGAAGAACAAGGAAGAGGCCTCTGAGTACGCCAAGCTGCTCGCCAAGAGGATGAAGGTAACGTCATTTAAAGGGTTTTTTTTTTGTGTGTGTGTGTGTGGCCACTTAAAGATCTTCTCATTGGATCCTTTTAGAACACATTAGTTTTTGCTCCACTTTATTTCCCCTTGAAGGTCTTAAGATCCATTTTGCAATCCCTTTTTCACGGAGGACACTTTTAAACTTTTAAGCATTATCATCTACAATGAAATATTGTAGACAGAGACGTCGATATAATCTGTTGACCCACAGACCCATTAGCTGTCTGCTGGAACTCTCAACATGGTGGGAAAAAAGTGAAATATTAGTATTTGTAGACTTGGAAGTGTTTGTGAGTGCAGGGTACACAGCTGGGCTCTGAATGTTTTAAAACATTATTCTGACTCTTCGTTTTTATCTCAAACAGGAGGCCAAGGAGAAGCGCCAGGAACAGATCGCCAAGAGGCGCCGCCTTTCTTCTCTGAGGGCATCCACATCCAAGTCAGAGTCCAGCCAAAAGTGAAATCAAAAGTTGAAATAAATTCATGTTTTGCTGAAAAACATTCAGTGTTTCACTCTCCATTTTTGAGGTACCCTGAGTAGTTGACTGTCGGTTTATGGATCACAGGTTCTACGGTGTTAAAATACTAAAATTTGAGAGATGAGTTTATTCTCATCCCACCTGAGGAAATTGCTGCCCACTTCTAGTTTAAGATGCAAAATCTTGAGGATTAGTTTATAACTGTACAGTACTTAAAAGCAATTTGGTTCAATTGATAAGGACTTCAGACCACAAGTTTTCTTTCTACCATAGGAAATCAAATGTAAGGCTCAAAAAGTTAATATCACTGAGGTTGGGGGAAACAAAGCCCTTGGAGTCGATACATGAGGGACGATTAAAGTTGTGTCACTAGATCTTAGTTCCCCCTGATTACAGGATAGTTATTTCAGCCTTGAAATAACCCGACCTTATGTGGAGGTGAAATCCAACAAGTATTAGAGGTTTGAGGACAGTTAATGGGGACCAACTCCTTAGTCTCCCACCACTGACACATTAAAAGACCATAACTATCAAGGTTTAAGTGGATGAATCTTGAACATTTATTTTAGGCAAAGTGAATACACACCATAAACAAGTATAACTCTTGGTCAACGTCGAACACACCCTTTAACATTACAACCATTTTCAAAAGGAGACATTTTTGTTGCCATTTTTGTCCTTGCCCTGTGAGTGGGTGTGGCTCTGGAGTGAACCGGCACCATGTCCCTTTGGGTTGAGGTCTCAGCCACATTGAGGCGCGCTGCATCTCGACTGGGCTGTTGCTGATGGGGTTGTGGGCAGCTTAAGCCGTAAATCTGCGAGATAAAGAGGAGCACAGACACAAGCTGATGCTGCAGATACTGAGGCAGCTCCTGGACGCTGGAGGACAAGGTCAGCCAGCTGGTGTGAAGGTCCTGGACCAGACCTGAAGGCCGGGACAAACTTCCCAACTGTTGATGAAGAGAAAAGGTAGTATTACATTTTATTAAGCTGTTATTTAGTCAGGGCATCGTATCAAAATAGAAAAAAATAACAGCTTTAGCTGAAATCTTGGCAGGAGTTGCATTATAACATACTGTAATATGAAGCTAATGTTACATATGTTTTTCAAGTGTCCTCATAAGCACTAAAAGATATAGTGGCTGCTAAGAAATATCCTTAAGTAAAACTCCAAACACTTAAATCAAAAAGTTGGATTTTCTTTCAGCTATAACCATGATTTGGATAAATGTGCATTTTCACTTTGTTGCCCAGTTAAGATAAATATCACCAATACCAGTTGCTGTTCTGTTGCCAGCCAGTATGATAGCATGAAGCAGAAACGCTTTATCACCTGCAGCACCAGACAACAAAACAGCCTGTTGCTTCTAAGTTAGTTAAGTACAAAATTCATCTTGAATGCATGTTTTAATAAGCACAGAAATTTGTTTCAAACCAATCAAAAAAAAAGCCTGTGTTTATTTCTGAACCGTGATAAATCTGTTCGATCTTGATTGGATGGTTCGCTTTCCCTGCCAGTGGCCTGATGGCAAGCAAGCAGAGTCTTTGATGATCATTATTTAACGTTATTTTAGAAAGATTTTAATCCTCTCACCCTTAAGGTGGACGAGTGAAAGAATTAATTTCCCACAACACACCTGAACAGACTGAACCACGTGGTAAGTCCTCCTGCACAGCCTTGCACCGAGCAAGAGGAGCCGTGCGTGATAACTCCTTGTGAGTGTGGCCACCTCAAAACCCCCTAACAGGCGAGCTTCTGCTTCTATGGATTCAAACAGAGGATAGCTTAAATCTTTTTTTTCTTCTACTTTGTCCTCTGCCACTTTGCTTTATGCCACACACCTTTATCTTCTTCTGAGAGAGGAAGCACATGGTCCACCAGGCTCTCTGACATGATCAGAGCAGAGTCTAGTCCTACGCTGGCAACATGAAAGGCTCTCCTTGTAAGTGACTGGTTGGCCTGCTCATCCACCTGCTGCATCCTCCTCACCAGCCATGTGACTGTATCCACAGTCCCATTAGCTGCAACACTCACCCCCTCCTGGATCTTATTCATCTTAGCCCTGGCAGTGGCAACAACCTGCAGTGGAAACAATAGGAGAGATGATGGTTGCTTCTATTTCCTGCATGTGGAGGTTTGTGCAATTTTATATAGCTCATGAAGATTTTTAAAGATAAGAGGATTTCACCTGATCTGTTGGTGCATGAAGCACTGGAAATGTAGTCTCCAGCCAGTCAATACTTCTACACGCAACATCATTCGCAATGGAAACTGTGGAAATAATATTTATTTGCAGTCTTCATACAGCAGAAATTACAGTCGTGTGATTTACATGTTATTTGTGTTATCCTATTGTTCGTACCATGATGATTTTAAGTAAAGCCAGTTATCAATGCATAACACATATTTTCTTCTAACCTAACTTGCGCTATCAAGTCCAGGTGCATCTCAAAAGTGAGCACAAATCATGAGAAACATGTATGATTTATTATCTGGGGAGCCATGTCATCTGTTGTTCCAAGAGAGGTTAGAGCACTTCATTCTTCCATCTGCTGATGAGCTTTATGGAGATGTCAGTTTCCTGTCCCTTGCCCACAGCGCCAAAACTACTACCAAATGGTTTGCTGACAATACTGTGCTTGATTAGGCAGCCAACTTGCCTTACCTGAATCTCAGAGAATCTATGAGGTATCGTCAAGAGGAATATGATGCAGCAACATTGGCATACTCTCCAGTGCTCCTCAAAAAATGCTTTAAATGTTTTACCCATAATGAATTAAGATACACAATCAATTTATTTATTTTAAAAAGCATTTGAGATTTTCTCATTTTTTGAGAAGCACCTGTAGTCTATTCAAACCTCGAAAAACAACAGACATAAAAGAACCCATAGAGACTATAGTCACTAAAAATGCGATGGGCATCCATGGCTCTAGATCCAAAGTCTGAACAAGGACAGCAGTACAAACCATACTAACTTCAAGGGATATTCCAGCATAAAAATAAGTTAGGGTCAAACACACCGTAACACTGAGTTAGACACCCCCTCAAAAAGTGAATGTTGATTATTTCCTCATGGAAATACGATCAGGCCGAGACGTTAAGACAGAAGAACTACCGCGTCTGCAGTTCCAAACGATTAATATGATGATTATTACTTCAAGGAAATGATAAAGAAATGATCATAAATGTTCTTCCTTGAGCTGTGTCACCCCGCTGCAGTCGATGGACTCACCCGAGGTCTCGCTACAAACAAACAGCTGCTGGAAGACAGTAGGTGAGTTGTGTTTAGTCTCTTTGCTAAAGAAATCCGGCAAAGTTAAAAAGATGTTTGGTGGCTAGTACTGTGGCTGTGACCCTATATATATATTGTTGACGAAGTTAGGTGCTGTTCTGAGCATTATTTGTGAATATAGAGTGGTGTTTTGGTTGAGCGCACGGCTCCTCAGACCGCTGTGTATTGCTATCGTGCGGTCGTTACCAAAGTTGGTATAACTGAAGAAGCAAGGGGTCGGCAACAAACATTCATCTCTCTTGGGGGTGTCTAACTTGGTGTTTCGGCGTGTTTGACCCTAACTTAATTTCACGCCGGAATATCCATTTAAGAGTTTGTGAAACTACTCACTCTGAGGTCCCAGTTTAACCATGACAGGTGTCACTCTGTCACATGCCGCTAAGCTTATTGCTGTCACACTGCTCTCAAGCACCTCACACACAGACTTCAGGTTAGGATTGCTGCATTTAGTGTCAATATACAACACTGACAGTCTGCTGCAAGCCGAGCGAACCAGGGGCAGATTGGCCAATCTGGAGGCTGCACTCTGAAACTTCTGCAGGATAACAGGAGAGACAAATAAGTCAAGTGCATGTCACAAACTATCAAGTCAAATCAGACTGTCATTTTGTACAGCAGAATGAGATTTCCCTTGGAATCTCAGAACACTTACTACAGTATGCAACAATGAACATAAATAATGAAGCATAAGACAAGGTTGTCCTGAGCCAGTGTCATGTTTATTCAGTGGAGGTGTATTTGTGTTTGATGTCTGGTGCAAGTTAGAGAGAGTATGGTCTGTCTGTGGAGTTTTCCCAGATGGTAAAAAGTGTGTTCCTGCATGTGACCAAGGAGGGGGTATGCTGCAAAAGGCTCAGGATATCAATTTTTGGTCTAGGAACAAAATAAAGCTCATTGAGAGTAAGTGATAAACACTTAAACAGCATTACTCTAAATTATATAACTACCCTTGAGTCGATTAAAAGCGATTAAATCTCGTCTTTAATGCACTCACCTGGTTATTGTTCACTGGCATGTTTCCTTGTCTGTGTTACATTAGGAGGGAAAAAGAGTGATCTTTACTGAGACTGAAATGTCAAATCCTCTCATTACAGCAGGGGAAGATTCACAAGAAAGTTAAAAAAAAAACTCCCACGAACCTTGTAGGGTGTGCTTTTCGAGATGTAGCCCCCTCCACGTGCTCAGACTATCAATTAACAGTCACCTGTGCTGGACGCAGCTCTGAGGGATTCTTGCTATTCTCGCGATATGTTGATGCCACTGAAATAGTCTCCTCTTTTCCAATCAAAAGCTAAAGCGATGACTGCATTTTAAGTAATAAAATGATCACGGACTAAATACTGAGGATATCGGAGACGCTGTGTTGCAATACCGATCGTTGCGCACTAACAATGCGCCACAGTAACCACCCTGTAGTCCATGATGATGTTTATGGTTGTGTCTCGATATCCTACAAGTCGAAATATGGATCTAGGAGTTGTTATGACTACCTGTTGAAATCATTAAAGCGTAAATCAATCGATTAATCGCTGTAAGCAGGATTTGAACCTGCGCGGGAATATCCCATTGGATTTCGAGTCCAACGCCTTAACCACTCGGCCATCACAGCTTACTTTATACTCAACGTATACACAACTCGATTCACAAACTTGGTAGAATTTCGGTTTTCCCGCATTGATCAATATGAGGAAGTCATATACCATAAACTGGGTTCAGTCCCGATGATCTTGATCAAAAACTAAACCTACAGCCTGAATGATTCATCAGAAACACAGACCTCAGACCTGTTGTTTTGTTCCGCATGTTTGCGGGGTGATCTGAGGTGAAAACTGATGCTGAAGACTTAAAACGATGATCTCTCCAGTCCGTTCAGATGCGGTACTGATCCTCATGCTGCTACCAAATGTTAGTGACCGGAGCTGTGAAAATCTGCAGTGGAGGGAGGCTGTGCTGTGTTGCCTCCAGTAATGACAAAACACGAGAACTATGAGAGGCTGATCCCTGTTTGTAGTCTTTGAGTAAAATGCTGCAGAAAAACCAAACAGCCGCAGACAGATTTCAGAGCTACTGAAAAGTATAGAAAACTGCTCCATTATTTGATGTCAAATCAATCCATCTTTATTCTGCTGTCACCACGTAGAAATGAACTCAAATCAAAGCCAATCCTTTATGAGACATGTATGTATTTGCATTTTTAAAACAGACCTTCTCTCCCCTTTTTGAGAGTCCTTCCTAAGCCTTATTTCATAGTAGGGCTGGGCGATATGAGAAAAAGTGTATCACAATATATATATACATATATATTTCAGCTCAGTTGATATCGATATATATCACGATATAAAAAATGAGATTTAACAGTGCTTAGTGGTAGCATGTCTTTTGCAACACAATAAGCTACTGCATCTGTGAGTTCTTTGTGTCTCTGACATTTTGTCGTAAGGCATTGTGCTAGAGAAAGCGGACTGAACGGTCATCTGTTTCGGCTGCACAGGCGCCATGGGCTCCTTGCTGCATTCAGGGTTTGTAACCTTTTGCATTGTGCATGCTCTGCCGCATGTCACTGCTTCAGGTGGTGAAAAAGATGTGAGGTATTCCCAGACTTTGCGGGAACATGTACTTGACATAATTTGCAGTGCACATTACTCTGCTTCATGTCCGACCTCAAAAAAGAGAAAATACCTCCACACCATCGACATTTTCATGCCAGTGTTGTCAACGATGTCGTCATCTGTTGAGCCTTCATCTGCATTTCTGACAGGGGTAGCACTCATTTTCTTATTTTCTCACCAACAGCGCTGACGGCTTCACATGTTTAAGTGCTATGGTTGCGTGTAGCTGCTGCCTGCTACTACACAGTTGTTTGCTACTTGGTTCTAATTCAGCACATGATTGGTTCAACGTAAAGCAGACCCGGAGCAACTCCCCTTTTCATTGGCTAATTATGTAGTCTACCGAAACATGGGAGAATGCAGACTATCCAAAAGCATATTAACCATGTTTTACATCGATATTGAGGGAAATTAATTTTTGATATATATCGTTATCGTTTTATCGCCCAGCCCTATTTCTTGGTGTTTCTTTTCTGTCTTTATTGGTTATTTATTCCGTTTATGTGTTTGATTTTTCTTTATTACAATGCAGTATAGACTTGCCAGTCCATAGTCTGTATTTTCCACACCTGTTTGACAGTAAGCTGAAGTTATTTTGCCTTCTTTCAGAATAGATCTGACACCTTTGTAATTGATTAACCATTAATTGGCCATTTATTCCGTTTATGCGTTTCATGTTTTTCTATTACAATGCAGTATAGACTTACTCGTCTATAGTCTGTATTTTCCACTCTTGTTTGGCAATAAAATGAAGTTATTTTCCTTCTTCCTCGACAGAATCAACGCCTCCGAGTAGATCTGACACCTTTGTAATGGATTAACCAGACTCGTGTTTACCAACAGGTCTTTTTGCTCGTGTCGTAGCCACTTTCAATAAACCCTCATACTTACTTAAGCAGCAATAATGATGAACATTCACAGCCCACTGTAGCAGCATTACAGCCGCAGTGTGTAATTACAGGGGCAGTAAATGCCGTAATAATAAGCACGTATGCAGGGGATTAAGTTTGGGAAATAACACTAAGGCACAGACGCACCCAGCTCTGTGTCTGCATATTGATGAGCTCTTGAGGTGATTTTCCGTTACAGAGGACGTTTACAGCGAGTGTTAAAGCTCCTGCACAAACACACGGCTGAAAACACGCTCTGAGCCACGAGGATCTGTCCGTGGTGCTGATGATGCTGATGCTGCTGCTGTTGTCGTGTCTGGCTGCAGCCCCACGTCTCCTGCTCTCAACGTGCCCACGGAAATGTTTCTCCTTCGATGTATCGGCATGCGTCACTGACGTCAGCTCCAAGACTTTTAGTGTGTGGCATCGGTAGTCACAGGGTTTGGGACTGCTGCCCGACGCCCAAAAAAAAATTTGAGAAGACACAAGAGAAGCACGTGTAGTGGGTGGTCCCCGGCAGACTCCTTTCACGTGGCTCTAGCGAGCTCAGATCTCGAGCCCGAGCCGTCGATCCTTTAGTCTGGTGCGGCAAGAGCAAGAGACAACATCGACAACATGGCAGTGGAGATGGAACCCGCGGAGTAAGTGCGCTTTCCTTTAAGGGGTCTTCTTAGTTTAGAAGTGAGTTTTAGCTGATAGTTTAGTGATTTTTAAAACAAACTGAACAACCTAACCTGAGTGACTGCCTTTTAGGAAAACATGTAGAGATTCTTAAATAGAAGACTAATGCATGTTTTGGATGTGGAATCTTAAATTACGCATCGAATTGTAAGGGATTTACTACAGTTCATTCACTATTTTCTTGCATTTGTTGCATCTTTCTAAAAGTTTATGCCTGTTATTACAAATGAGAAGTGCATGAGAGTTTTATTATGTAGTGCACATATTGTTATTGAGAAATCTAAAGGTAGGTTTATACATCCTAAGTCATTTTCGGTGACGCTGTTTTTTTTTTTTTTTGGTCGTCTGCGTACAGTCTGTGCCTCCATGTGCTGCTTGTTTTGATTGATACTAGAACCTCCCATCCAGTGTCTAATACGCTTTTTCATTGAGAATACAGCCCGTCTTTTTCACTGCTTGTTCGTCGTTCGGTCTAATTCGCATGTGTTTCTCATTTCACCGGGGAAGTCACTGCGTAAATGGTCGATTAGAACCGTTTAGTTCTCGTTTATGATTCCGTGAGAGGGGCGGGTCCAGACTCTGTACATTGTGTGCGTTTCATTCACATGTGCCTGTTGAACTGATATCCCCTCCACCCCTCTGACAAAGATGTGGGTGCGCTTTTCTTATTGGTTACTGGTTAAGGGGAGGCAGGGGGCTTGAGTTATACGGTGGGTGAGAACCGCAGATGCTGCAAATATAAAATAATGCAATAAAATGAATTAAATTAAAAATGATTTCACAATGTAAGTAACTGATGCAAAAAAAAAGGAACCGAAGCCCACTGCAAATAAAAAAAAAATGGTGAAGATAAAAAAGCTACAATTGAAGTTAACGATGCAAAAAAAAAGTGGCAATGGAAAAAAAAGTTACTTACTGTGAAAATAAAAGGATGCAAATAAAAAAAGCCACAATAGAAGTGAGCTGCCAGGGACCAATAATGATGATGCATCAGTGTTTAACGATCTAGGCACAGAAGACGACGACGAAAAGACGAGCAAAGAAGTTAGTGGAAAGGTTACTGTTTAATTTAGCTTCGTAAACTTTTCTCTGTGTCATTTGGTTTGGTCATGTGGCGCCTGAGTCGATATGAAGTTGAACTGGAGGAGTAGTGTTAGTTCAGTTCGACTTCATACCGACTCAGGAGCTACATGACCGAACCAAACGACACATTGAAAAGTTTACGAGGCGAAATGAAACAATAACCTTTCTGCTAACTTCTTTGCTCGTCCTCTCGCCGTCGTCTTCTGTGCCTATATCGTAAAACTTGGGTGCATCATCATTGTTGGTCCCTGGCAGCTCACTTCCTTCATGGCTTTTTTTATCTGCATCCTTTTATTTTCGCAGTAAGTAACTTTCTTTTTCCATCACCCCTTTTTTTTGCATCCTTAACTTCCGTTGTGGCTTTTTTATCTGCACCGTTTCTTTTTTTATTTGCATCAGTAACTTCCATCGTGACTTCTTTTTTCTTGCATTCTTTTTTAATTTGCTTCAGTTGCGGTTCTCGGCCACTATATAATTCACAATGCTCTAAAAATTTTCAGTCAGGCTGGTACCAGAGAGACACCAAGAGCGCTGTTTGGCTCATGTAGTCTCAGAGCATCAGTAAGCAGTGTTTACCCAGAGTCCAGACAACGCCACTGACCCGTGTCTCTGTGGCAAAATGGCACGTGAAAGAGCACAGAAGTTCCTGCAGCGTGATGCTGATGAGGCGGCAGCAGCAGCAGCAGCAGGGACGATAGGATGAATAGAAAGCAGTTGAAACGTCCAGCAGATGGCTCTGAAGTGGGACGGCTCTCTCCACACGCGGCACGCTCCCCGCTCACGTCTTGTTTTGACAGGAACAGCTCACACATTTTTCTGTTGACAGTTTGAGTCAGAAGATCTGAGTCTAAATGTGTGACAGCGTCTGAGAATAAAACGGTGTCGGCTCTGCGGAGACTGACAGAAGTGAATAACACCAGATACAACAGAAAAAATAGCTCTGACAAAGTGATTTGTAGTTTTGACATAAATCTTTTTTTTCCTTCCCCACAGTGTCATCCGTCTGATCATGCAGTATCTCAAGGAGAACAAACTCTTCAGAACTCTGAGCACCCTACAGCAGGAGACCACCGTCTCTCTTAATACTGTAGAAAGTATTGACAGCTTCATCGCAGACATCAAGACTGGTCACTGGGACTCGGTCTTGCTGGCTATCGAGTCTTTGAGGTTACCTGACAACATCCTTATTGACCTCTATGAGCAGGTGAGTTTTTATATTCATCAGCTGAAACCTTTCTTGGCTTTAGTTGTCAAGGTTGGCTGACGGGGACTGATCTCTTTGCCAGGTCGTGATGGAGCTGATTGAAATGAGGGAGGTGGGCGCAGCTCGCTCACTCCTCAGACAAACGGACCCCATGATCATGATGAAGCAGACACAGCATGAGAGGTACCTCCACTTGGAGAACCTGCTCACATGCTCCTACTTTGACCCTCGAGAGGTAAGATAAGATAAGATATTCTTTTATTCTTTTATTCGTCCAACAAGAGGAAATTTCAAATCTACAGCATTGATAAATACAAAGGAGAAATTAGAAAGAAGAAACTTATGAGTTCAAAGTAAAAGATATATACATGAGTGTTATGTTTATAGCCCTTAATTGCCTTTTGTATCATATTTGATACATACTTTTATGATACTTCTATCAAATCAATTTAATCAACGAATTACTAAAAAAAACATCTTAATACAGTACAATAAATGATAAAAATGTCCTCTTGTGGTTTATCAGTTTCCAAAAACATCTAATGTATCAAACAAGATAAATAGATAAATATATTTCTTTTAAATTTTAATGACATTTTGATTTGTTTGGTTTTCAGTAGTAAGTGAAATAAACATTTCAGCTCCCAAAAAATTCAAATTTTCTGGTCATAATTTATGGTTTCAGGCATTAAAGGGATAGTATAAGAAATTAAAGGATGAGACTTTCAGAAATCGTTCCCCTCTAGGCTACATTTTTATAGAGCACCTCCCTCTCTCTGTCACTACAGGCGTACCCCAAAGGCAGCAGCAAGGAAAAGCGGCGTAGGGCGATCGCCGAGGCTCTGGTTGGGGAGGTCTGTGTGGTGCCTCCTTCTCGCCTCCTTGGGCTCCTGGATGAAATCGGAGTGAGTATTCATATCAGTAACCCTCTGGGTACTTACTCTAATTATCTAACAAGGTAAATCAATAATCATTGCAGTCTTTGAAGTATTTTCCTCATTTTCTTTCTTTTTTACCTCAAGCCACTTTCTTTATCCGTACCCTCGGGTTCATAGAGGCCCTGAAAGAGTTTTTTTTTTCAGGGCAGCGACTTAGTATAAGTGACGGTGACAACAATAAACATGCTGTCCTGCCAAAGTAAGAAAAGAAAAGAAATGAATAAATGGCACAAACACCAAAGCCTGGGATCTTTCACATGTTCCCCCTTTGTTGATTGATTTGATATCTAACACAGTTGAAATAATACAGCCTTGATGCACCTCTGCATGGATGCTTGTTGGAGAAATAGCACCACCAACTGTTTGTTTCGATGTGCCCAACTCCCAATACCTACTTGCATGATATTGTTAAATGGAAGTACTCTGGTGTCACGTTCACAACAAGCCCAAGTAGAGTAGTCTATTCGCTTAATTTGCTCGTATCCGAACTCACGAATATTGTGTATGTGCTCGCTCAATTCGTGATAATTGTCTGCTCAATTCGCGCTAGTAGAATGCGCCGTCTATCGTCGTGCCTTGACTTTACATATAATTCACTTGCGCAATGATTGTACTGGTGCTTGTTGTGAACGTGACATAACTTAAATAGAGTTGTTATGTATTTTTATATTTTCTGTATTTTTATACTGCACTAAATCCAACTGACTACCATGAATCGACCAATTGAAACCCCACACAGCTGCACTGATGCCGAATTTTAACTGGGGTTCAGCTCTTAAGTATAATGACCACCTTTTATTACCAGAATTGAACTTGAAGAGGAAGTAGATCAGAGAAAGTCTGACCTTCTGTCAGTTCATTACATAAAATGAGTCGCACAGATTGGTCAAGTTACGGTTCATACTGCAAAAGTATGTGTCTATGTCAGCAGATACATCACCCCTGCTCTGAGTCAACTATCAGTTTTCTGCTGCGAGTCATTCAAATAAATTGCTGCACCCCAGGACATTTCTTTGCACTCTGGATTCAGTTACTGTTGACAAAGAAAAAAGCTGCAGCAGCAACTACATAAAGTTTCCTGTCATCCCTGTTCCTCACAGTCTATGAGACTGCAGGAGTCTTCGGACAGCTCCCCGGACTCCACCATTGACTCGTACGGCAAAAAGGAGAAAGAGAAATGCCCAAACCAGCTGTACCGGCACATCAAGGTAGACCACCACAGGCTCTGCAAAACAAAATATCAAGTTCTTCTTCATTCTTGTACTACACTTGACTCTCTGTATGGAAATGATTTGGTAAATGTAAGACCTTTGGGAAAGAATACCTTCTCTGTATACTAGACTTCTCTTTTATTGTTGAGTCACAGAGACACATAAGTACCAAACTAATTGCTTTGCCCTCCTGAAGGCTCTAGTCTTGGTCTCTCGCTGTGCTTTCATCACTGGCGTCCAGATGGAGCTGCATGTCCCGCTTGCTTGTCCTTTCCCTTTGCTGCCCAAGGTGATGAGAGGTCCGGTCAGACCCAACGTTTTCACATCGCTGCATGCTGGAAAACCTGCTTTCATGCTGTTGTGTCTGATATTTATTCCTGTTTGTGTATAATGTTGGTTTTCTAACAACAGACAGACAGAGATGAGCATGTTTTGCAAATCTGTCAACAAGGTGTTGCTTTTTGTCGTTTTAACCTGCAGTTCGGACGGCGGTCACATGTGGAGTGCGCACGTTTCTCTCCTGACGGCAGGTACCTATTCACTGGATCAGTGGACGGGTTCATCGAGATCTGGAACCACGCCACTGGGACAATTAGTAAGGTGGGTGTCATGGGTGTCATATACTGACAGTGAAAAACACAGAGACATCTCATATTCTTTACATTTATTTCACTTGTTTTTTAAATTGTTTTTCTCTGCTTTTGTGTGTTTGTATCAGGATTTGAAGTATCAGGCACAGGACAGCTTCATGATGATGGACGATGCTGTGCTGTGTATGTGCTTTAGTCAGGACTCAGATCTTCTCGCAACTGGAGCACAGAACGGCAAAATAAAGGTGGGATATTCATTCTCTAAGTCAATAAATTGGAACAACTGTTTCACATTAAGGCCTTTTTCATGCTAAAGATTTCCACTAGTGTAGGGAAATTACTATTAGTCCAGGTGTTGTCAGCAGGTTAACACTCATGAAGTCTTTGTTTCATTACATCTCTGCTGTCTTATTACATCTTCTTTCCTGAAAATTGTTTTGGAAAGGTGTGGAAGATCGCGAGTGGCTTGTGTCTGCGCAGGTTTGAGCATGCCCACAACAAAGGTGTGACATGTCTGAGCTTCTCTAAAGACAACGACCAGATCCTCAGCGCCTCCTTTAACCCAACTATCAGGTGGGATTTAATCACGACATGCTCTGTATACAATGAACTGCTTACTAATATCCATGTTCAGTACTTTGAAAACTCAGAGCAAACTATGAAGACATGATAAACATTCTGTATCAACGATCTCAATTGCACAAAATATCATAAAAACTTAAAAATAAACCTGAAAGCAAATGGGGAGATGGGAAAACTCTTAAAGAATAGATTGACATATAGATAAGTGTTACATATAGGGAAGAATACATTAAATATAACAGAGAAAGGCTTTAAAATAGAAGTGCAAAATGACAAAATCAAATTTAACACCAGTTTATTGCCCAATTACTTCAAACAGACACAAAAATAAACCAAGATGGCTCCTTTTCAAGGTTCTGCAGCCAAGCAAGTCTTCGTTTGTCTGCGGTGGGAGGAACGGAGAGCTCACGCTGACCTCAGACATGATTCACAAATGTTTCAAAGGCGTAAACACAACTGTGAGTTCAGCTGGAAGGCAGAAAACACTTTCACTTCCCACATTGGATTAGCCAAATGTTGGCTCAACAAAGCATGTAAAAGACAACAGGTGTGATGAGTAGAGAAGTAGTTGAGAAAGGCGTCAAAACTGCAAAAAAACAAAACAACAAACTACTATTTTCTTCATGAATTTTGTAGTAAAAATCTCTGTGCACTTTGTTTTTCTGAACAGTGGGGTACAGCACATCTGAGGTTGTGATATTTTGTTAATTAATCACTTGTAATGAAGGGATTAGGCCTCTTTTAAGCTTCAAGGAAAATGAGTTTAGCCAATAACTACTCCCACAGTGTGCAGAATGCTCACAAGCAGACCTTGGCACAATATTTCCCCCTCGGGAGTCGGCTGCAGAGATTGATTTTGGTCACGTTTCAAGGGATTTCATTTTCAAGGTTTACTTCATAAAATGATGACTGTCCAACTAAGTCTTAATATCTTTTAAAAACATACATAATTAAATGTTTATGTATAACCTTTTTGGGTATATCAGGAATTACAGGAGTGCTGCAGGATGTTGCATCGAATTGCAATGCATTGTGAAATTACTGAACGTTATATGTTTGTGTTATTCCTGGATTTTTTCATGTCTTCAATCTAATTAGAAAGTGTACACTGAAGACCTGCATTATAAGATCAATTAAAGCAGCTCTGGTTATAATTAACATTAACAGTAACTGTTGGTTTTGAAGTTAACCACTATTTAAAATGAGCATTATCCAGGATTTCACTACAAATCTTTGAAAGACTCTTAAATCCTCTGCAGACGGTAGCCTCCAGCAGCAGATGGTACCATATCACATGTTGCACATGAGTTGTGCATCTGAGTGTAAACAAGCCAGGATAAGGTGCCTCTCCCTCCGTCTCAAGCACACGTACGCACACACGCAAAAAAAAAAAAGAGCGAATCTCCTTCAGACTTGAGGAGCTGAATCTCTATTTTTGCCTGCAGGGGGGTGTGGGCTGAGCCTCTCCGCTGAGGTGGAAGCACATGTGCTGTGTGGGTGTAACTCAGAGACCATGTGCTCAGGCACAAAGCTGCAACGTGTTCCTCCACTTACAAATCCACGAGCCGGGAGACTGAATTGTTTACATATGCTCAATCATCCTCCAGAAGACGGAGTGAATCACGGAGCTTTAGACATTTTGTCATGGTTTAGCTAATCTGCTCCCAGTCACTGTACTCCAGAGCTAAAAATACACCACACCCAGAGTGGTGCAACGCGTTATGCCTGCTCTTGAGTAAAATTCCCTTCCTTGCGGAATAAAGATGGATTTGTAAATGAATCAGAGCTGCTTTTTTTTATTTGAAATACCTTTTTTTGTTAACACCTGTTATGGCAAAATGTCATTTTTAGAATCCATGAACTGAGGTCGGGCAAGACACTAAAGGAGTTAAACGGCCATTCATCATTTGTAAATGATGCAGCTTTTACCCAAGATGGAGCTCACATCATCAGTGCATCATCTGATGGCACAGTTAAGGTACAGTGAGCACCTTATATGACAATCATTGATGTCTGGATCATATCAGTATTATAAAGAAATCTCTCATTGTTTCTGTTTTCTGTGTATGTTTCAGATTTGGGATGCAAAGTCCTGCGAATGCATCCGCACTTTTAAATCCCTGAACTCAGATACCCCCGTCAACAATGTGATTCCCCTTCCGCAAAATCCAGAGCACTTTGTGGTCTGTAACCATTCCAACACGGTGGTCATCATGAACATGCACGGACAGGTGAGAACACGAGCACCGTCCACGCTGTAGCTGTTGAGATACGATAATGAATGTCTGCTAAATGTCCGCTCTTCCTCCTCAGACTGTGAAGACTTTCAGCTCGGATGTAAAAGAGGGAGGTGACTTTGTTTGCTGCACTCTGTCACCTCGCGGGGAGTGGATTTACTGTGTGGGAGAGGACTATGTGCTTTACTGCTTCAACTACAGGACAGGCAGGCTGCAGAGAACGCTGACTGTAAGCTCCACTGTGCATTATACCTCTGCTCTTGTGAGATGTTTTTTATTAAAAACCCGGACAGCCGCTATTTTCTGAAGTTATATCTTGACTTGTTTGACTTTGCGTGACTGCTGCTATGTAGTGATCCTCCTGAGAGCTAACAAGGAAACATCGAGGCTGACTGGAAACTGTGAATGTGTGGTGATCTGTGTCCCTCTGTACCCACAGGTTCACGAGAAAGAAGTAATTGGCATCATCCACCACCCACATGAGAATCTTGTCGCCACATACAGCGAGGATGGTCTCTTGAGGCTATGGAAACCCTAAATAAACTGTCACCTGCATCATGATATGGAAGACCCAGACAGCTCTACTCTTGGTTATAAAGCAACTCAGTCATTTCTGTGTAACACTTTAAAAAGGATTCATGCAAACAGAGGCATTCATTCATCTGTAAAATATAAACATATTCATTCAGTTTACTCATACAATCTTTTCCAGCTTTCATGAAACTTTCATGGAAAATGTGTCTGAGTCTGAAGTGTCTCGTTAAAACTGGACCTTGAACAGCTTAGAAAACCATCAGTTCAGTAGCAAATGAGTAAACTCCGTGTGACGGGACCAAACGCTCTACGACGGCTATCAATTCAATGACAGTTTCCAACTTCAGATCATTTAAAAAAATGATTAGAGCCAAATATTATGCTTCATTTTGCATACTCACTAAATAATGCTGATGGCAAATGAAATAATAGACTCTGATTTTAAGGCCATCCGTTTTCTACATATTCAGATTTTGAATGAATATAACGCAAACACCACATCCAACCACTGAACTACAACTCATTTTGACGTAGTCATCGTTTATATCTTCCCATCACATGCATCGTCACAAATTTATACATCAAATTTTTGTAATGATTAACGTCTACATCCCCTGCTGTAAAAACTTCAGTAGCACCGTCTGGGCCCTCCATACTGTACACACACTTCCTCATGGATCCAACTTCACCAGTGCAGTTTTAATCCCCATTTTCATCTCTTGTCTTTTTATCAGACATGAAAATGCATGATGGTGAACTGTCGTGAAAATAGTATCATAAAAAGTGCTTCTTGTTTGGGCATAAACAAACAATATCAGGTATTTGATTTGCCAGCTTTGGATTTTAATAATACTTTTGTATCAATCGAAGAGCATTGACTCAGATGTAATGACTTGTATTGTCCTGTGTCCCCTGCATGCTACCTCAGTACAGTCTATATGTGGCTCTACAATCATTTTGAGTATTCTTAAAAATATGCATGATGATTACTGACAAACCTCAGTTGAGCTTCCATGTTAGTATATAATGTATTTATAGCTGTCATATTATTGTCAGTTTGTTGCATTGACTGTAAACTGTATCCCTGTGTATCAGATATGACTGCAGGAAATGGAGCTACTGCCTTGGTTAATGTTTTGTTTTTGGTACAATCTGTGAAGGACAAAAAGGCGTCACAATAAATCAATAAATGAACAGATAAATTAATAAAACGGTAATGAAAAGGGCAATTTATATTTTTAGATTATTTACAGCTGCATTTTTGCAGGCGTTTAGTTGTTTTGTTATCTCAAAATATTTTATTCCTATGTTTGGTCATTTATGAATTTGTGAGATAAAAGGAGTAAATATATTTCAGGATGCATGAGACATCCTTTCCTTGAGACGTCTCCAAGGCAACGCCCGTTTGTGAGAAAAGTGTGAGCTGATTATATTTTTGAGTCAGCTCTGACGGCTGTTTGTGTCTGCACAAGTGAACTGTTTTCATTCTAATAAAATACACAACAGTGATTTCTCTCTTTGTGTTAACTTTTTAACAAGCACCTGAAGATGGAGAACAACTTCAATACTGAGCTCTGCACCTTTGAGTTTTTTAACCAATGAACAAGATGAATCCACGTTTTTTAGCTGCGTTGCAGATCCTTGGTCTTGTTTCTAGTAGTATAGCTGGAAGGTAGGTGAGAATATATATGTACTGCTATTAACAGCACGTTTGTCAGATGAGACCCAATGCCCGATAGAATAATATTTTAATGCACCACGATGGGAAGTTTATCTAATAATCTTTCTAACAAAAGTTGGAATTAAGATGAGCTAGCTGCAGTTTGTGACTCCAAGGAATAACAGGTGAATAACAAACTGCTGTCAGCTTTATATTTGCACTGTGTAGGTTCACTTTTTAATATCATAATTAGCTTTCTTACGAGCATTACGATCCGCTAACGCACATGCTTGTTCCGCGATTGTCCTATCTATTTCTCAGAGTGTGGCTTGCATAACGGGGCTCCGGGGGCGGAGCTTGGATTTGTGATGTAAGAAATCTCACTGAATCTGAGCCTGTCATTTGGGTCTGCTAGAGATTCACAGCAATTTAAATGCAGAAATACTCAGAAATGCAATTTTGCACATATTTTTCTCATGAAATATCCTGTAGCATCAGAAAAATGCCATATGAACAAGCAGACAACAAGAAAAACATCCTTTTCATCGGAGTGGGTCTTAAAGCCATTTCCTTGAATTGATTATTATCAGAGGCGAGTAAATCCCAAACTTTTGATCTAAAGAAATGCACTCTTTAAAGTTCAGTGGAGCCTCAGGTTGAAACAATATCTCACATTACAGAAGCACAATGTAGAGAAACCATCAAAATGCATTTAATTGGAAAACATAAACAAGTATATGATTGGTCCTCACATGCGTACAGTCAAATAAAGAACTTGACAACACTTAAAAAGTTGAGAACCACTGATTTTTATCCGCCTCAAGAGCTTTTCTTTAATCAAGGAATGTCCATTCTGGTGAGCATAGATTAGTCTTGCAACATCCAAGGCAACACACACAAAAAAAATCACTGTAAAAACAATAACAAAGACCTGCATAATAGAGCAGCTTCAAGTTAAGGCTTTCCAACAGGCAGACTTTAAATAAGGTGTTAGATGTGAAGATTTCAAGTCCCAAATAATCTCCCACCAACCTATTTGGCATTTAATATAACAAAAATGCACTTTGTAGAGATATTAATCTATTGAGTTCGATTTAAAATTTTAACTTCACAACAGAGGAAAAACATAGCTCTCGAACTTTCTAATTTTAAAATCTCAATAACTTTCAACCTCCTGTGAGCTACTTACTTTGTGTAAAAACCAGGGAGGACCCTGGCACTATGAAGGGAAGAAATAAAACTTTGGCCATCTAGCTGTTGGAGGCCTGTTAATGACGCAGATTTACAGAGTTATTCTGATTACTAAAAACTTAAAAACAACCTCAAATCTGGGACAAAGAATCATATTAACATACAGTAGACTCATGTTATAATATATAAATTCTTGAAACCCCTCCCAATCCCGTCAAATCAATCCTTTTCTAAATACAGTGACTCCTTCGCTATCTTTGATGCTGCTGGATACCTACCCTGCAATAAACTGCATGCATACTTGGCTCATATCAATTTGTGTTTTGTATACACATGAAATGTCTGCTTTCCACACAATGTCTCCAAAACAAAAACAAAAACATCTCAGTCTCCCGATCAGAGCTCAAAAGTATAAAAATCCAAACCAATTTAAGCAAGTTCAAACAATCCTCTTCTTAAAGGCTTGAACCCACCTCCTGTCGCACCTGAATCATTATTACTTTTACCCCAGAGTCACGTTTACAAGATTATTCGAAACTGTCTACAAAATAGCCCTTGAAAGGGTAGCACAAATGTTCAATTTCAATCTGAATGCACATCTGTCTCAGCCACCGCCTAAAAGTTAAGCCTCCACACACGACAGACTGAAACAAGTCAACGATTGGTTCACAACAACAGCTGATTTTGTAACACCGTACAAAATGTTATTTTTATGTTAATATTGGCATCATTTTTAGTGTAACTGCATAAAAGGCAGGCAGTCTGTTTTCTTTCCTCTGAAGTCTCTGTGTTGCCAGCCCTCATCTCTGGTCACAGTGAAAGTGAAAAATAATAACAATAATAATAATAATAATAATAATAATAATAAAATCAAGTCCACAGATGACATGGAGTCTCAATCTCCAGTCCATCCAGTGAGAATTTGTGATGGTGGGACATAGTCCTCTGACTCAGCGTAAACTTAAACAAGTAAACTGCTACAATTAAAAGAAAAATAATAATTAAGTCAAAAGTGCATAAACTTCCAGAAAGGTGCTTTACTCGAGAGATGAGGCTTTGCAGGCTTCTGAAACAGGAGAGCCCAGCTGATATTTAAGACGTCTGGCACTGGACCCCTCCGGTACTGGCATAGTCATCCTCGTCCATGTAGTAGTATTGATGGTTGCGTCTCTTCCTGTTCTCAAAGTCACAGTCCTCCAGGTCTGCGTAGATGTAGAGATCTTCGTCCATACTTTCGGGCTGATCTGCATCCAGCTTCTCTGGAAGGTAGCGCTCCAGCTCCTTCAGCTTGTTGTCAGGGAGGAAGTTGGCTTGTGGGAACACCACCTAAAAAGAAAACAACCAAATAATAGGATTATGAAAAGAGCGTACAGCTCTGTGCAGAGTCACTTTAATATTCTGGTGTTAGTCTAAAGAGAGTTGAGTTCATATTCCAGCGATTGCTGTTTTATTGGTGAAGCTTTAAGGGTGCTTCATGGGGTGGATGTAGCTTTTGACTCTTCAGGGGATTAGATGAGCAGTTTATGTGATCATGAGGTGGATGTTTTTCACTTTTGAAGAGAGCTGGTGTAAGAGAGTAAGTAAAAAATGTGCATTATTGAGAAAAGATCTCACCGAGAAATGAATGATGAGGCGCCCTTTCTCAAACGGTCTGCGATGCATGGGCATTCCTTCATTCAAGACACACTTGGTGTCTCCTGGCTTGATCAGTTCACCTGCAAAAAAAACAACAAAATAAACAAAAATTAATCATCAAAATAAAATGACATCAGTCTCCCGTTGAAAGTACGACTATCAACATCATCTTGTCATTTAAACCCAGGAAATGAAAAAAGATTTTCATTATCATCTAATTATTAGTCATCCCTCATTACAATTTACAATTAAAGTACAAACTCATTTCCATGAAGGTTGAGGGTTCTTGTACCAGGATAGCTTTCAGTGACGGGGGGATAAAAGCTCAGGGCCTTTTCCAATAGAAAGTGCCAAACCAGTTTGACTGAAATATCCTACAGATTTTTATAAAATGCCACACTGTAAGATGCAAACAAAAATTACACAGTTTTTATCAGACTCCTCCAGTTTCCAACAAAAAAAAATCTGTATCAGTATTCAGACAGAAAACCAGGAGTAAGAGTGGCTGATCTGTTTCCTGTAACAATTAATCCTAAAAGATGAGAACAGATGTAATAAAAGTACAAATGAATATTATATTAAAGACAGTCTGAACCAGTTCAGCAGAAAGAACCACTACAGACATTTACTTCGACCAACTTACTTAGTCCTAATCTGTAAAATTCAGCCCTACACACTCCTTTCTGTACAACCTTGGCTATGGATTAATTATTAAAATCTGCTTGTGCAAGTATTTTTCACATATAACGTTGATATGTTGAATGCTTAGGTTTACCTGGATGTGAGGTAATGAGGAGTATTCTGTTGTCCAGTGTCTGAACAGGCTTCTTGAATCCACACAGAGCTTCAACCAGCTGTAACTCCATCGACATGACCAGATTCTCTCCTTTCCTGAACACAAGAGCAGGAGTTGATTTCACTGGATGTGTGATTAATGTGGACCAACCAAACTTTTAATTCTTTATGTCAAATTTTAATCGTTTTTTACTTAAAAGTTGAAAAGTCATGTAAGACTCTCAACTTATCCACATTTACTGATCCTTCTTTTAACAAACTTGAATCAATATGTCACCTTTAAGCGTGGATTAAACCAGAAACTTTGACATTTTCACAACTGGGTACTTAATACCTGGTGAATTGTGGATGTTCTCGCTGGTCCAAGACGATGATTATGTCACCTGGCTCAATTCCTGGTTCTTGGTCTCCTTCTCCATGGAAAACAATCTTCTGGCCGTCTCTCATTCCTGTGTCACATTGATAAACAGATGATTCATTCACAATATCTGTGTTTTTCTGGTGGATGTTCAAATGGCTTAGGATAAAACTAAAATCAAAGAAACCTCCAGCCCTTACCTTTGTCAATGTGAACCTCCAGGATCTTCTTCTGGCGCATGATCTTTCTCCCTGCACAGGTTTTGCAGCGGTCTTTGTGGCTGATTCTCTGTCCTTGACCCTGACAACCGGGGCACACTGTGGATACCTGCTGGACCATACCTGGTACAAGCTGGTGCATGCGGACCTGCATGCCTGTGCCGTGACAGGACATGCACATCTGTGCAGCTCCTTTCCGACTCCCACGACCTGCAGATAAAAATAAACATGATCTGCTCATTGGATATAAAAGATGAAGGCTTTTTCAGGGTTTGGTTTATGACATGAACTGTAGTAACCCAGTGAGAAAAGACTGGATTACATTGACAAGACTGCTTTTTTTTATGGGACAAAGAGTCTTTCATGGCCGGTTGGGTATGCGTGTTCTGAAAAGCCTTTTTAGATTACAGAACAAATGCAGTGACGGACACTTAACAAGAGCAAAGAGTGACTTGCACAGCGAGATCGTACCTTCACATCTCTCACAAATAGTGTTCTTCTGGAGAGCGAGCTTTTTTGTGGTTCCGTTATAAAGATCTTCCAGCGTCACTGTAATCTGATGCACGATGTTCTTTCCTGGGGTGAGAAAAATCACAGATTTCAGGAATATTGTTTTTGGAATACGATTTCATTCACTTCTCACTTCTAGGGTTGGATTCCCAAATACCTGTTCCTTTTCAAATTAGACATCATGACACATTTGATTATACAAGATTTAACTTTCAAAATCATATCAAAAGATGTTAACATCTTACGAAATTAAATTAGATTAGATCTGAAATTAAAAATCCAACTAAATCAAATTTCTATACTTCTGCCCAATCACTCAAAAATGACTGTATTGTATGTAAGGTTACAATATTTAGATTTTGACTTCAATGAAAATGACCTATCTAAAAAAATAAAATTCAAAACCTATTGGCATCCAAGCATCACATGAATGTCAAATGATTGTGGAGGAGAAAACTGTGTCGGGGGATGGCCTTACTGGGCTAACTGTGTGCAGACTTGTTTGAATGTGCCTCAGACTAATGTGCTTCTCAGGAGACAGAATAGGGTGACGTAGAAGTTGATAGAAGATGATACACATCAACTCTGGAATAGTTCTCACAAGGATCTGTCGTTCTCACTCCACAGCCTTGTATTTTGGCCAGCATTTGATTTGTGTGGACAGAATAAGGAAATGATTCAGTGCTGCATGTAGACAAATTTTCTCATGTATAGTTGAATAAAAGTATTAAACGTAAAACTGCCTGACTTGATGTAGGTATTTTGCAAAAAGTCAATGTTGGACAATCCTTTCAAACCACAAACAGATTACTCTGCAGTTTTCCAACTCATTACTACAGCTTAGTCATTTATGATCTTTATTCACCTTTTCGCTCTCTGTGCATTCGGCTCCCTCCACCAAAAAACAGGTCAAAGATGTCCATGGGGGACGCGAAGCTACCCCCGCCACCACCGGTCCCCCCTTCCTTTATGGCCTTTTCGCCTCCGCGATCATATAGCTCTCTCTTCTTGGCATCTGACAACACCTCATAGGCCTGTGAGATCTGCTTAAACTACAAAAACAAGAGAGATTACATACATTTTGTGAGGAGACTCTAACACACAGGTAAAATAAAGATTTATATGATTTAAAAATATCTGGTAATGACTGAGCAAAACAACTATAACTTTGATATTGCCTTTACAAAACACACCAAGATGATAAAAATAAAACCAAAACCGACCAAAAACTAGAAAACAGCAGAATTATAAAAACTGATTTTGTTACAAGACACCCTCCACCAGAAAAAAATCAACAAACAAACAAAAAAATAACAACCAATGTTTTTCAGTGTCAATGAGTGTAATGAAAGCACTGACCTTCTCTCCTTCTGTGGGGTTTTTGTCAGGGTGATATTTTAAAGCTAGCTTGCGGTAGGCTCTTTTCAGTTCATCAGGAGTAGCATTAGGTTTCACCCCTAATGTGTCGTAGAAGCCCGTTTCCTTGACCATTTTGTCTTCTCTGGATAACCTTGGACAAATGGAAAAAAAAAACTTCATTGTTTATATATTTCAGTTGCATCCTCTGTGGCCTTTGACACCCAAAAAACCTACAGCCCTCAAAGAGTAGCTGAGCAGCAAGAATTTTAAAGACATTGATTTTTTTTTTGCTCCTGAAGAGGAATCTGAGACGTGAATTGCAGAGAAAAGTCAGTAGTGCAGCAAATACAAAAACAAAGTACATATTCCAGAACTGAAGCTAATGAAAGGATTCATCTGAATATGCTGTCAGCTTACTAAAAATTAAAACCTGCAAATAGCCGCTCCTTTCTATAACTTACTGCAAGACCATTGCTGCAGCTATATTTACATGATACTGTGGAATTTAGGATGTATTACTGGGCTCAAAAAGAACAGCAAGGTCAAATATCTAAGCTTCATTTATTTTCTCAAAATTTTCACAAAGGTATATTATACATGTCTTAGTGTTATAAACCATGATCTGAAAATACCTCAAAACAATAGCCATCACACAACCAAGGTGGGCTGAAAAAAAAGCAATCTATCCAAAGTGTTGTGGCATGGTTTTGTTTTACTTAACCTTTACTCAGTCCGGTTGGTTACACTGAGATCAAAGATCTCTTATCTGAGAGAAACCTGGCAAATTACGAGAGCAGCAACACAAAGAAAGAATCAACATCAAAAACAACTAGAACTGGGAAATTCATTAAAGAACTACACAAATATCTGAATACAGAAAGCCTGAAAATCAGACGAATCACTGAGGATTTAAAAACATTCACTCTTAGCTCTGCTATTTGATATCAAACAGTAGATTATAACCAGTAAAGGTGCAGAAAACCTAAAAGCTCTTTCCTGAGAACAGATTGCACAATGTTCATCTAACAAAGGCTGTGAATTCCATACCACAAGATTAACAGGAAGGTGTGTCAGTCTGGAAATTTGCCCCAAATGATATACCAATGCTGGAGCCAGAGTGTAATTACAGCAGTCCAACTGGCTTTGAAGTATCAAGTACAATAGTGAAGAAAGACACATTTTGTAATACCTCTCTACTGTTTTTGCAAAGGCATTCAGGTGAAACCCAAGTAAAACCTTCAGTTTATTAGTAACATACTAAACATTCTCCTTAAAAGTCAAGTTGTCATAAATTTAACACTGTAACTCATTAAAAGTAGACACTACCTCAATATTTCAACTATCTTTTGCAAAGTTTTTCCCAGGCAGACTGTTTTCACTTCTCTTGAAGATGGAAAGAACGTGAGTTTTGTTTTATTTCAAATAAACAGAGCTGATCTTGAACCAAATCAAATGAAATAAACAACTGCGTAGTAGCAGGCTGCAGCTATAAGCAACCATAAGACTTTAACACGTGGAGCCGACACCAATAAGCACTGTTAAATTTCATTTTTTATATCATGATAAATATTGATATCGACTGATATAAAGACAAAATATATTGTGATAAGCTTTTTTCCCATATCACCCAGCCCTACCTTCATATATATAACAGAGAGAGGAGATACTTTATTGACAGACTCAAAGTCCATAACCTATCAATATATATGACCATAAATGAATTTAAAGCTTTGTGTGAGGATTTTACTGTTTACATAAACTTTCATTAACTCTACACTCTGTCCTGTATAGATTCACATCGTGTTTTCTGACAAAATGAAACTTAACTTTTCTCCCAACAGCCAAACGCGATTATTTGCTGTGAAAAATACTTTAAAAAAAAAACTTTTTTTTTTTACATCTCCCCCCTGAATTTACCATGAAAAGGGTCTCAGACTTGTTGCTGATGGTCTTGTTTGCCTTTCTAAGTCACAGAGGACTCGTCGATCATTTCAGTGTTTCGCAGGAGATCAAAACCAACCTTCACATAAACCTTAAATGAGGCACAGTTCCCCTGATTTAATTCATTTCATCGATATTATTATGAATCAAATATAGGTCGAATAAATGTAGGAGTTACTCTATCATTGTTGAAGAATAAACACCGAAACAAAGACATTGTACATGTTTTGACGTGGTTAAATTTTACCCAGATTAAAGCCACCAAACACGAGTTCAACAAACATAAATATCATTGTTTTTTTCACATAAAAATGTAATCATATTAATAAATCAGTAACTATCCATTCCTCCTCCGTGATCACGAGAATCAGGCCCCGAGGACTAACGTTAGCGAAGCGGCTAATGCTAGCGGTAGCCTGAAATGCTAACACGACAACTGGGCTGTTTTCAATGTTGGGCTAAATGAATTCAACATTCCTTTTGTATTAACAGAATATGTACAATGAAACAGTTTCCCCCCTAAACTTTGGTAGACAGCGTTAAAAATCATCCCAATGTCAGAGCTTACCTCACCTCGGTCTCTTCCAGAACCTTCTCACCCGCCTCCTCTGAACTACAATGACGTCAACTTCAGGCGACGACACAACACACCAACACAAGCGTGTGGCTGCAGTCCTGCAGCTCCGGTGGTAGATCCGCTAAAAGAGATGATAAAATGCCTACTTGCTGGCTCGTCAGCGAGGAGGGCAATCATAGTCCCATCAGACTGCCACATCTACAGCCAGTTGTGCTGGGTCGAGGTCCAGAGACGACTATTAAAGACAAAAAATGCTCGCGGCACCAAGGTAATGTTTATGTTTGCTACACCTGCTGAGTCCACAGTCAGATAAAAAATACCAGAGGACAGTGGAAAAAGTGACTAGTGGGATATTCCATCGTAAAATGAAGTTTGGGTCAAACGCACCATAACAACGAGATAGACACCCCCTCTAGAGATTAATGTTGCCGACTGCTTGCTTCTCTAGTTATACCAACTTTAGTAACGACCGCAGGATAGCAGTACACAGCGGTCTGAGGAGCCATAAACAAACCCCAACCAAAACGCCACTCTATAGCCACAAATAATTCTCAGAACAGCACCTAACTTCATCAACAGTACATATGGGGTCCCTGCCATAGTACTAGCCTCCAAACATCTTTTTAACTTTGCCTGATTTCTTTAGCAAAGAGACTAAACACAACTCACCTACTCTCCTCCAGCAGCCGCTTGTTTGTAGCAAGACCTCAGGCCAGTCCATTACCGACTATAGCGGGGTGAAGCAGCTTAAGGAAGAACATTTATGATCATTTCTTTATCTTGAAGACTTAAAAAGCAGCCAACTGGACTCTACACTGTCCAGTTGGCTGCTTTTTAAGTCTTCAAGAAAACCATGACCTGGATGAATGAGAATCTACATGGACATCATTTCTTTATCATTTCCTTGAAGTAATAATCATCATATTAATCATTTTGCACTGCAGACACAGTAGTTCTTCTGTCTAAGCATCTCGGTCTGATTGCATTTCCATGAAGAAATGATCATAAATGTTCTTCCTTGAGCTGTGTCACTGTAGTCCATAATGGACTGGTTGAGGTCTCCTTACAAACAAGCGTCTGCTGGAAGAGAGTAGGTGAGTTGTGTTTAGTCCCTTCGCTAAAGAAATCAGGCAAAATTAAAAGATGTTTGGTGGCTAGTGCTATGGCTGGGACCCTAAATGTACTGTTGATGAAGTTAGGTGCTGCTCTGAGCATTATTTGTGGCTATAGGGTGGCGTTTAGGTTGAGGTTTGTTTATGGTCCCTCAGACCGCTGTGTATTGCTATCGTGTGGTCGTTACTTAAGTTGGTGTAACTAGAGAAGCAAGCGGTCGGCAACATTTATCTCTCGAGGGGGTGTCTGACTCAGTGTTATGATGTGTTCGACCCTAAATTAATTTCACGCCGGAATATCCCTTTAATTTATCGACGTACCCTATTGAGTCTGATAAGTTTAAAGCCAAAACTACTGTTAAGTGGTGTGAAAGCAAGTACATTCAAGTTAGAAAAATCTTCTAAATGAGACAAATTTAAACAAATGCAAATGTTATCTCGTCTCAACCAGTTGAACTGAAAGCAGATTGCAACAAAGGATATGTCAAAGTTAAACAGGTAAGAGAAACATAGTTTCTATCAGAGTGAACATCGTAATAGATTATAAAGCAACTGTTAGGCTGAGCATTACTAAATAACTACAACCTAATCTATGACTAACAGCATTGATTGCCCTTCAGTTGGTAATCCACTATCCTTAATCTTTTCCCCATTTCTTTATTTCAAAGCTTGGCTTGAACCCGACCTCAGTTGACTCTGTGGTGATTGGTAAAGGAAATGAGGTCAAAATGAAGCCCGGACAGCAGCTTCTTATTGTCAACCAGCTCTTCCCATATACTGTACAGTACAAGGAGGATCCAAGTGGGAACCATAGTGGTTCTAAGAGACCACGAGAGCCCTCAGAGGACAGGATGATGGACAGGGAGGTTCCAAGTACAAAAGGTACAAAAGCAGCCAAACAAACAGAAAAGGAGCCTGTGCAGCCCAAAAATGAAGAAACCACAAGAAACAATGTAAGAGACAGAAGAAAATACCATTAAGAATATATCCTTGTATTAACTTATACTTGATGTGCTTGTGTTACATTTTATTAAAAAACTTGCGTACCTTACATTTGCGACAGGAAAGTTTTGGTCATTGGAGTCAAGGTCTGAAAACTTCAATGCAAGACCCAAAGATGCAGGTAACAATGTTTTAAAAAAACACATTTACAGTCACTGTTACCTTAATCATGACTGCAAGACTTTGACTGAGAATGACCATTTTAAAACCTCTTTCTAACAGGTGTACAAAGATGAAAAAGTAGTGGTAATCAAAGATAAATATCCCAAAGCGCGCTACCACTGGCTGGTCCTACCATGGCAGTCCATCTCTAGTCTGAGGGTGCTGCGTGAGGAGCACACTGACCTGCTGAAACACATGCAGAAGGTTGCGGACCAAATGGTTCAACAGTGCCCACATGCTAGCTCTCTGCGCTTCCGCACAGGATACCATGCCATCCCCAGTATGAGGTGCGTAATGATACTGTGGATAGTGACATCACATGAAAGGGCTGTGTTGTTTTTTTTGTCTTTAGTTTTAATGTTTATGTGGAAAAAATGTTGACCCAGTGATGCAATATCATGTATTTGAATTACTTTTTCGAGGCAGATTCATACTCAAAGCAAACTCAATGTACTTTACGCACAAATATTTAAGATTCTCTCAAACTGATAAAAAGCAGAGTGCATACATTTACACTAACAGAGCATGGATTAATTTTAAGAGAAACAGAATCAATTCAAGAAAAGTAAAATTATATAACAAATTAATTACTTAATAAATTGTACAATTATAGAACATCATTGATAAAAAGTGATTTGTTGGCTAGAGATGTAATAAGTGAAGTCTGGAGTTTTCTTTGTAGCAGGTAGCAAGATTGAATTGCTTGCCTCATAAGTCAAATGTATTCAATTTCTCCTATTTCTAATTAATACACAAATGAAACTTGGCCCAGACTATCTATATCTTCATGCCCTCTTTTACAGTCATGTACATCTCCATGTGATCAGCCAAGACTTCGACTCTCCGTGTTTGAAGAACAAGAAACACTGGAACTCATTCACGACTGACTACTTCATTGAGTCACATGGTAAGAGGAAATCAAATGCAAGTTTTTCAGCATGTCCATCACTGCAAATCTGTCTTTATTTTTCTATTTTCTTTTTCCAAATCTGCAGATGTGATTCAAATGCTTGAAACAAATGGGAGGGTCACTGTCAAAGAAGGTGCTAGTGAGTTGTTGAAACTACCTCTACGATGTCACATGTGTGGAAAAGAGCTTACCACCATACCAGCCCTGAAGGAGCACCTGAAATCTCACTTCCCCAGCTAAGACAGACACCTCAGAGAAAAGATAACACTGCAGATGTTAATTTGTTTAACATTTGACTGTTTTGAGGCATAGATGTTGCCTGTTGATCGTGTTAAAGCGTTAGACTCTAAAAACTGGTTTTAATATGACAGAACCATATTGTCCAACCTGTCATTTTTCAGTTGTTTTCAGTAGAGGCTCATCTGTGCCATGTTTTTTTTTTTCCTCCAAAACTTGAGGCTGTGAATGTTGTTAAATTTTCCAGCATCGTTCAATATTTTGTAATAAAATTTTTGATAGTTCACAAAAACTATTTATGCGGCTGGTTATCTGTTCCTCTCTGGTGTTTACAGATAATGCTAGGTGGACATTTTCTTAACCGTCTTTTAGTTAATACTGATAAATTTCATTGGTTCCTGTGTTGTATTAATTTAAAACTGTTCAGATAAACTTGTAGTTGAGCAGAGGCCTTGTCCTCTTACTGTCAGTGCTCTGTCGCCATCTAGTGATTATTTTTGCTGAGGTGAGAGCTGCCTGAAAGAAAACGCTGTAGGATTTGGCAAGTTATCGGCATTCAAGTCGTCGTTTACCAGAAATGAAACAGAGATGGTGACAGGAGGATGATCGACAAGTTGTAAAGGAAACCAAAAGGTAAAAACTACTGGCCCGTACGGGGATCGAACCCGCGACCTTGGCGTTATTAGCACCACGCTCTAACCAACTGAGCTAACCGGCCATGTTGCCCTTTGAAAAAACAACATATGAAGAATGATAAGACTTTACGTTGGTCGTGTCTTTTGGACCAATTTACCTTGAAAGGTTACTACTGCCCTGCTTCCTGTTAGTATAAAACTTAACAAAAAGCTTGTATGCATTTAATAGCTTTTTTGAGCATGGCCTATGGCTGACATGTTATCTTAAACATGCATCACCCGAAACAATGATTGTATTATTTGTTTATTATATCAAAACAAACTGAAATGCTTTGTCAATAAAATCGTTACTACAATAGTTCAACACAGAATAAATCAGGTGCAGGTAACAGTCAACATTCAGAAGCAATGGGTACGAGCAAATATGTCACTGAAGTGTTCACGCTGGTAGTTTAATGACTTTGTAGTTCATAGTTGTAAACTTATAAAAACACTGAAGTACATGCCATCATCTCCTCAGCATTAACTCCCTTTCATCATCATCCGGGACCATCAGGTTGTCCAATGAGTAATGTGCATCATCCCCTATGTCTTGAAAGAAATACTCTTCACTTTCACAGCTCTGAGTCCCATTCACACAGTCTTGGATTTGTTTCAGCTCAGCGCTGTCACTGGCATTACTGTCCTCTGTGCTTTTGCTGGCATCACTGCTGTCACTCTCCTCACTCTCCATGGACTCATTGCTTTCTTTGCTGGTGCTCTGGCTGCTGTCGCTGGTGACAGATGTGTCACTGGTGTCTGAGCTGTCGCTGGTGGTGTCACTGCTGTCTGTGTTAGCCTCCACCAGATGCAGGTCTGTGTGACCTTGAGCTGTGTTTTTGTGCTTGAGGGTAGTGCCAGTGGCGATGTGAGGAGGCTGTTTCCCAGTGAGCTCCATGGACTGACTCTTGACTTCTGTGCTGTTGTCCTCTGCGCTCAGGATTTTGATCACACTTGCGAACACTTGTACCCAGCTCTAATGCCAAGAAAAAGAAGACAAAAGAAATTACAAAGCAACTCAACACAGCGAACGTGGAAAAACTTTCAAACTGAGTGAGTGAGTGAATGTGGAAAGCTTTTATCCTACCTTTCTGACATTCTCCTCACTGCCCATGCTGTCATCTCTGGTTTCAGCCAGGGAGTCAGACTGTGGAAATAGATATTATAACTTGAAGAAAGAGGGAACCAAAAGGATGGTGTGTGATCCATGATAGGAAGAAATGAGGTAGATTTGATCTAACTCTTGAGTGAATCTGTCTTACCCCATCAATCTCTTCTGACTGGCTATTGCTCTCCTCTGAGGTCTAAAGGGAAAAACAACATTTCTGTGAATAACGCGACACTTAAACACTACAGCAGAATCAAAATTGCATTTGCCGCCATATATGTGTAAACACAATGTTGCTTCCTCTTTATTTTAAAGACTATTTTAAAACAGCAACTATATATGCAGCATATGAATCCAACAACAGCATGCTAAGAGTAAAGTAGTGTTGAAGAAACTAACGCTAAAAGAAATCAAGTCAACCCACTGTGTCTTCAGATGTGGATTCTGCTGATTGTGACTCTGAGCTCTGTAAAGATAAAACAATTCAGACTGTAAACAATATTTATATCACATTGTGGGATTAGTCTAAAACAAAATTATTCACTTGATTTCTCAATTTTTGCAGAGCAGAAACCAATTAAATGAACTTACTGGATTTGAGACGTTCTCCTCGGAGCTCTGAAACAGAGACAAGAATACACACCCATGAAAATCCAAAACTGCATCTCAAAACAATAATCGAATCTTCATTAGAATAAAATATATACTTTACCTGAATCTCTGAGGTGTCATTTTCAGATGATTGTGAAACAGACAAACTTTCAGTCTAAGAGAGATAAACAAGTAAGCACCAGCCGCAGCACTAACCATATTATGCTTAATTATACCCTGCAACTGCAATGCTAACAATTATCACATTCGAGACATTTATCACAGTCATTCAAGATCCATTTATTTTGACAGAGTAAAATACATAAACGAGCCCAGACTCTCAGTGTTGTAAACAATAGTCTGAGAAATGGTAACTGTCTGGAGAAATCTTGAGTAACAGCAGCTATTGTCAAGTTTTCTGCTGACCTTGTCAGACAAAAATATGATGTGTAAACTGTGTTAAGTCAACCAAGAATCAACATGTAATATGGGGTAAAACATAAACTGATGTTGGAAAATACTTACTGAGTTTGAGTCTGAGTTTGAGTCCAGTTCACTTGAAAGCAAAACTGCACTGAATGAAATCTGTCAGAGGAAAATCACAGATCACATTCATGAGGAGGAAAAGTATTTTACATGGCAATTTGCTCATAATCGTTTTAGATTCATATCAAGTCATTTGAACTCTTTATAATGCACCATAAATAGGAGGCATCCTGCTGTGCAGATATACTTGCTCAGAGGGGAAAAGCTCACATTTTATTGGAGCACGAAATGCATTTTAAAAATAGTGCAATTGAGGTTACAGAATCGACCTTGTGCGAAAAAAAAAAAGATTGTCATGTGTAAATAAATTAACATAGACAGAACACTGCAGTATTTCATCTGTAGAATAAACTATATGTCTTTTTAATCACATTTCATGTCAGAATATTACATCTTAACAGTATTTTTGAAGAGTTGTATACTCTTGTTTTCATACTTACTGGGTTGGCAAAAACTGCTCCAATCAGACAAAATGTGACAAATGTAACCTTCATTCTGTAGTGGACATAAAATATGAAAATCAATGTTATATATTATAACAATTTTGTTCTGTTCATTTATAAATACCTTTCTACTGAAGATAATTGATACCTTGAGATTGTAAAAATGTGTAAACATGAGCACAAATCACCAGTAAAAAAGCTTAGATTATTAGAAAATCTGAACATGTAAAAACATGTTGTGGAGACTGGTTACAAATTGAGCGCCAATGATCATACTCAGGTTGTTGTCCTTGATAATGTAGACAAATGAAAACATTCAACAGATACTCTAGAAATGTAAATCAACATTTAGATATAACAGTCACCACTGAATCAAAAGCAGTACATATATAACTGTGAATCAGTTACCTTTCAGACGGTTAGATTCAGAGTTGGTGTTGGAAATGGTGCCAGTAGTCCTTGTTGAGTCAGTGTGAGCAGAATCCAGACTGAGCCGACTCTGAACCTTGCATGAAAGCTGGTGGCAGTAAAAGCTAAGAGTGTTCGAATGCTGAAGGAAATCCCTCAACATGACTGTATATATGTAAGCTCCATTGAAATCATTGCATCACTTCCTTCCGGATGTCGATACACCAAAGGTGTATTTTTTTTCCAGCAAGAAAGCTGGAAACAAACACACACTGGTGGCATGATAATGATTGCACACAACCACAATTACACTGACACACACACACACACACACACACACACACACACACACTCGAACAGAAGTTTCATTGAGGCTCTAAAGTTCCTCCACCCCCTCTGAAGTCGTCAGTGAAATACAGTTTAGTGTACTCAACCATAGGGTTTGTGGCCAGTTGAAAAAACAAACGCACCCACTCAGAGAGGAAAGGAGGGCCAGACAGGGTCATGCTTGTTTCCGGTTTTATATGTTTTCTCTTCTTCTTGTAATCAGCCTGGATAATTATCTTCAGAGTTTCAATGCCCTGTTTCGGTCGGTGAAAGGAGCAGGTGAAAGGAGCAGGTGAAAGATAGGGCATCCCCTGATGGAGAGAAAAAGACACAAAAGACACATAAAAGTAACGAAAAGCACCTGATTTTTTTTGAGTTGAAAGGGAATTTAAAGAAAAGAAAACTTTTGCCCTTGTTTATTGTAAAACCCCAAAACTCTACTTTTTTTTTTTTTGACATTTTGTCCCGAGTGCTACGTGATGTTTTTGAAAATGGCACTTGTTCTTGGAAAGAGGGCATGTACAGTAGAAAACCTAAATACAGACTTCCATGTTTCCCACCCTGATGCTCGTAACTGCTTCCTGGAAGCCCACATATGGTCAGGCCTTAAAATTAGATGACAGGATTCCTTGTTTAACCTCACACTGGATTTCAGCCATGCAGTCGAAACATGTAATTAGACTGGATGTTCAGCAGTCTGGAGCTGTTTGCCAAAACCACGAGTAACAGTGGTTGTCAGGTCTCCTGTTTTGGGACAGAATGGGAGGAGTGAGGACACGACGATTGATGCCCATGACTGCACAGACAAACAGTCAACAATGTCTGCGCTAAGGTCACTTAAGTTTTCAGGAGGAATGACCCTAAAGGCCCTGAATTTGGGTCATAATGTTTTCCTGACATTTTACGAGAAATGGAAGGATCAGTTTTACATAATCTGTTATAAGAAGAGGAACAGAAAATTGCAGGGAACTGGTGCTTCAGATTCAAGTTTCTCACCCTCAGAAGATAACAGTGGTTAAAACTGAACAAAACATGTTGCATAAAAAATGTTTTCAGGAACTTTTACTGACTTTGGCTCTTTTTAAGCTTAATTCTTCAACTACTATTTCACTCACTACACTCATGAGTCTTAAGTAACTTTGTTCAAATTATAATCAAGAAATTCAGATATCATTGCTTCCATTAAGTATTGTCCGTTATAGTTTGTTTCAGTCCTGCTTTGGGGGCCTAAATAATGCTTTGAAAAGAAACTAAAATAAAATAAAAAAATCTAAAAATGGATGATTTTCCTAAGTAGGAACCTGAATTTGAAGCTGCTTTTATGTATAAAAATTTTAGGATCAAGATTTTCTTCATCAAAAGTTTGATAGTTTTTAGTTAATAGTTTTTTCCCCTGGGGCCTTAGATCTGTATGATTTATACATTTTGGATGAATAGATCGATGGAGGTTTTCCACAACCCTGTGTGGTTCCTGTCCCAAAGATTTCAAGCCCCAGGGAGCCCAACCACTTCAAACCTGTGGCCCTCACTTCTCATCCATTAAAACCTCAGAGAGGATCATCGGTCACAGCCTCCGCACACTGGTGTGGCCAAATCTGGACCCCTGGTATGGGTGGATGGATAGATGGATGTATGGGTGTGTGTTGCATTGCAACTGGAAATAAGGACACTATCTAATGATGGTTTGAAATGATTTGAAGCTTCGGGTCAGCTGCTGAACGGCCCCTGATGTGAAAATTTCCAAAGAAATGAGTTCACTGTGTTGAGAAGGGGAAAAAAATGCAAAAGCAAACAAAATAATCATTGATGCCTTATTTTACCAGCAGTAGATGACAGTAATAACATTAACTAGAGCTGTAAGTGACTGAAAACAGCTGCAGACTTATAACAGAGTGACATCTAGTGGCTAAAAAGTATTTTTTCTGTAACCCAAAGTTTGATGTGACATACTTCACTCTTTGGTGAGCTTTGGTTGCAGCCTGAGCACCTGAAGAAAACAAACACAAAACAAATAACTGTATTTTATCTTAAAAATAAACAAACCAAACAACGAGAAATTATGAGGTAAAACAGACAAACACTGCTTGATTTTATAGGCAGAGATAGTGCTGGTGGGTGAGATGAGCAATCATCGAATATACATAAATACAGAAGTTTAAATTCAATGATTTTAAATTTGGATAGATTTATTTTAAATAATTTTTTTCAATATTGCATTTTCAGAGAAAGCACAAAGGTAGATAAAATAGGCTGAAATACAAGAGCTCACTGCAGAAGCCCTTTCTCTTTTTCTCTATCTTTGTGGCTCAGTGACTCTCCCAGTGTTAAAAAAACGTCGGAACAATTAAGCCCCTGAAAATGATGTGTGTGTGTGTGTGTGTGTGTGTGCGTGCGTGTGTGTGTGTGTGCGTGTGTGTGTATGTGCGAGCAGCATGCCATAGTGTGGACAGTGGAGCGCTGTCTGGAATACAAAAGGACATCTTCACAGGTTGGACACAGGCGTGGACTGCTGTTTGTGAACGGTTCTTCTATCTCTTGCGACTGCCAGCCTCAGGTAAAACCTCCAATACTCTAATATTTGGTTTGATTTCAGGAGAGGTTAACTATTGATTGACATTGTGATCTGTGTTTACGGTTAAATTAGATATATTGTGCATGCATTATCTGTTGGTGAGTTATTGGTATATGTTTAGAAAGTTTGTAAATAACTACAGAAACTTTACTCAAATGCTCTGTAATGATGTTTATTATTCTGTTAGTTTGTAAGTACAAACTTAATGTTCATATGAGATTTTTTTTAATGTACTTTTTTTTCCATAGCAAAGACATATTAGTGTTACTCCCAGCCTTTTGCATAACCATAATTCATAGCTGTTAATAACATCAAATATGAAAAAAACATTTCATTAGATTGTGAGAACGAGGTATTTATTCCTATCAGGTGATTAAAGTGTTATACTGAGCATCAAATAAAGTCCCTAAAAATCGTAAAGATCAGATAAAACTGCGAGGTAAAACACTTTGAGTATATTTTTACAGACATTCTCACTCTGTCTACACCTATCTGGGTTTTTCTGGTCTGATCCGGTGATCTATTGTTCTTCTGAACAGTTCCCGTAGTGTCTGTTTTGTTTCCGTCCACAGAAACAAAAACTCTGTGAGCTCAGTCAACTTTTTTCCAGTCTGGTTGCTTCTGTTTGCTTTAGCTTTGAATGTGACTTTGAGAGAGAGAGAGAGAGAGAGAGAGAGAGAGAGAGAGAGAGAGAGAGAGAGAGAGAGAGAGAGAGAGAGAGAGAGAGAGAGAGAGAGGCACATCTCACAGGCTTGTAACCTTGACAACAGTGGCGGACCAATCCTGCATCTAAACTTGTCATGAAAGAGTTGGCAGCATGAAGAGGCACTCATCTGTTTCAAGTTGGGAGAAGTTCACAACTTTATTGTCACCAGTCAAAACTCAGAATATAATGATCTGATCATTTGATTTTTTTGATTTTTTTGAGCCTGTTGTTAAGTCAGTTTATCAGAATTCAAGTCCTGCAGTAATATTCAATCATGTGCAAATACATTAATATCCGACTTTGGTAGGATTCAAACTTCTGGATTCAATGTTTCAGGTATGAGGGCCTGTTTGGTATTCATTTGCTTCCTGGCAGCAACGTTTGCCTTGTCTGTGAGTAAATATTTATTCCTAATTTAAACTTTGCCTATAACAAAAAATGTGAGATTTTTGAATGTGCAGCCATGATTAAAGGGATATTACACCGTAAAATTAATTTGGGTTCAAACACACTGTAACACCGAGATAGACACCCCCTCGAGAGATGAATGTTGCCGACCGCTTGCTTCTCTAGTTATACCAATAAACAAACCTCAACCAACAGCACCTAACTTCATCAACAGTACATATAGGGTCCTATCCACAGCACTAGCCACCAAACATCTTTGCCTAATTTCTATAGCAAAGAGACTAAAAGAAACTCACCTACCCTTTTATAGCAGCCGCTTGTTTGTAGGACTGCAGCGGGGTGATGCAGCTCAAGGAAGAACATTTATGATCATTAATTTTCTTCATGGAAATGCAATCAGACCGAGATGCTAAGACAGAAGAACTACAACGTCTGCAGTGCAAAATGATTAATATGATGATTATTACGTCAAGGAAATGATAAAGAAATGATCATAAATGTTCTTCCTTGAGCTGCTTCACCCCGCTGCAGTCGATGATGGTCTGGTTGAGGTCTCGCTACAAACAAGCGGCCGCTGGAAGAGAGTAGATGAGTTGTGTTTAGTCTCTTTGCTAAAGAAATCAGGCAAAGTTGAAAAGATGTCTGATGGCTAGTGCTGTGGCTGGGACCCTATATGTACTGTTGATGAAGTTAGGTGCTGTTCTGAGAATTATTTGTGGCTATACAGTGGCGTTTTGGTTGAGGTTTGTTTATGGCTCCTCAGACCGCTGTGTATTGCTATTGTGCGGTCGTTACTAAAGATGGTATAACTAGAGAAGCAAGCGGACGGCAACATTAATCTCTCAACGGGGTGTCTAACTCAGTGTTACGGTGTGTTTGACTCTAACTGAATTTTACGCCGGAATATCCCTTTAAATCAATGTTGATCATTAATGCCCCTATTTACTGCAGGTCAACAGCAAGCCTCATGGAAAACGTCATGGACTGCGAAAGAATTCCCACCCAGCCAAAGAAAAGGTAGAGCAGGGCACTAAATAGATGTATCCAAAAACATTTTTATTTATCTATTTATTTATTCATTGTACAATAAAAAATTCTTCATTTGTTTTTCCAAAACAAAAAAGGATGTTATTACAGAAGAGGCAAACAAGCCAGAGATCTTGCCCACTTTAGTTCCTATTGAGGCCAGCAGCCAGGAGCAGGAAGATGAAGAACTGAGCTCTGAAGACAACGGCAATGCTAACAAGGAGGAAGAGGAGTTTCAACTGACAGAGAGGAACGACAAAAGCTCTGCGGTCCTGCTGAGTGAAGAAGAACTGGTTGACCTCCTGAAGAGAGAGGCGAAGGAAGAGCAGGAAGCAGAGGAAAGAGAGCTGGAGGAAGAAGAATTGGAGTCGGAGAAAGTCAAGGTGGAGACAGATGAGGATGAGGAAGCCGAGGAGAAGAAGCTGAATGATGGACTGAAGACTGAGGAAGATATAAAAGAGGAGACCAATGAGGGGGAAGGAGTTAAAAAAGAGAGTGCTGATGATGATGAGAAAAAAGTGGAGGAAGTAGAAGAGGTGGAGGTGGAACAGATGCCCCAGAAGAAAAAAGAGAAGATACAGGAGGAAAGTGATGGCAGCACAGAGTCAGAGATCCCAGCTGATCTTGACTATGCTGCAGACGGTAGCATCCTACAACCTCTACAGATTGTTCCTACAAAATTAAAATCCCTTCCAGATGACATCCAGCCTCTCTCACAAACAGATGCAAAGGAGACAGAAACCACTGCTGCAGATGATTTTGAACACGAGGTACAAAACACAGAGGCAGCAAGCAGTGAAGAGGAGTCTGATGGAGACATGATGAACAAACACCCAAAGGCCCAGTCTAAAGGTGAAAGCGCAGGCAAGAAAGAATCAGCAGAAAATGTGGACCCCCAAGAACCAAAGAGTGGGACTGAGTTTGATACAGAGTCTCGACCAGCTGTGGAAGGAGAAGAGAAAAGTAAGAATGAGAGCGGTAGTCACAGCAAGGGGAAAACAAGGAAGCAGAAGAAGAACCAGAGGGCGAGGAAGCACTCTCCACAGAGTGACGAAACGCAGCCTGCACAGGAGCCCAGCCGGCAGGATGACCAGGAGGCCGAGGGTGGCAACATTGATAACGCTGTTCACAAGACCAAGAGGAGGAGGGCAGGAAAATGGGTAATGTAAAATCAATCCTGATATTTTGATCTTTTGAAGAAGCTCTTATCAATAGTTTTATGTCATAAATAAATGATCACATGCACTCCAAAAATCAAAATAGAATTCTAGGGGAGAGTGGGGTAAGTTGAGCCACCCCCTGTTGCTTGGAAAAAGTAAAAGAAATTGATCATGTGACCAAATATTTAGGAGGTGAGCATCAATACATGGGTGAAGGAGTTAGACATTTATTTCCAAAAAAAACCCAACATTTTTTTACTCTTGAAAGTGAATTTAATCTGTCATAAGTTTTATTAGAATTGTGTTCGGATCAAAAAAGATCATTTTGAATTTGTTTTATACATCAATTGTGGTATCTATGAGCTACAACATGAGGTCAAAAACCTAGCGTAAAAGTCCACCATTTTAGCTTAGAGGACTAATAAAGTCATCATAGTAGTTCTGGGGTAAGTTGAGCCAGTGGCTTAACTGAGAAAGTAAAGGAGTCTGATGAGAGGATCAGAGTTTCAGTTCAGATTGTTAAAATGTGTTACTTTTCCTTTTAAAAATACAGCTGTGAATGTTCTGAATCACTTAAAGACATTCTCATGTTAAAAGGCTCTTTTACAAAACAGCTTTTAGCAGTTAAATGCAATAATAACAAAAAGAATTAATGTACAAGATACACTAGTTAGAGACAGAACTATGATCACCTTGATGTAGTGATCAAAAATATGAAAAATGGCTCATCTTACCCCACTCTCCTCTACCTCAAATCTGCATCGATAGAAAGCTGATCAGAAATATATGAAATTGTCATGTTGGAGGTCCTGGTATTCATATAGGCTATGGTCCTGAATCCTCGCTCTTACATCCTGATCAGTGCAGAATTGAGTTTAACATCCTGCACAGTTGGGTCACTATCTGAATTTAAGAATTTAGATTCCTTGAAATTGAAGCTAACCTGATCTGATCTTGAAATCAGTGTTGTTGACAATCTAATGCTCATAGCTTTGCGCGATAGGAGATTCTACTTGTGTTTAATTTTCTTAATTTGTTAAAATTTCTCTACAAAAGTAAATCTCAGCCTTATAAATTAAAAAAATAAATCACATCCTGACATTTCCTGTGTATTTTTCCAGGGTCCTTTGGTAGGAATGAATCCAGTACAGATAAGAGCCACAGTGGATCTCTACCCTAGTTCCAGGTCCTCTTTGGGTGGAGGCGCTCATCGCTCAGATGCCCCCGAGGGTTTGTCACTACACTGACTAATGTGTTATCCCAACAGCCTCATTGTGGAATCTGCTGACCAGACCACTCTGCCCTAAAACTTCTGCATGAGCAGTGTCACCCAGTTTCATGGTCACTACCAAAACACAACTCTGTGGGCTTAAGGAGAGAATGATAGAGATCAAGTTGAATTTAATCACTGTACCAACTCAAATGGCAGAGGAATGTAGGAAAGGGCTTGTTGTGGTTGAAGCTTTAGGTTTCCAATGATCAATCCACTAAACCGGGACTAAAAGGGATTATTGATGCCATTGGATTTGAGTTCATGGTGAAGGTCAACGCAGTACTTATCTTTTTTTTCAGATCCATGTGACAACTTTCCCTGCAAACGTGGAAAAATGTGTAAACTCGACCCAGACAACAAGCCAAGCTGTGTGTGTCAGGAGCCGTCAGAATGTCCTTCCAGTGTGAATGAGATTGATCATGTAAGTGTGGATAGAAATCAAATGTTTCTCAAATGCAATCGTTTGTAGTTGATTTTTTTTTTTTAATCACTTTTGGACATTCTTCAATTTTGTAGGTTTGTGGGACAGACAACAAAACGTACGACACATCCTGTGAACTCTTTGCTACTAAATGCAAACTGGAGGGCACAAAGAGAGGACATAAACTTCATCTGGATTACACTGGGTCCTGCAAATGTTAGTTACAAACTAGAATCATTGATCTTTTAACTGAGGTATGATACAGTGTAGGTAACATTTATCTGTCTGTGATCTTTTTCTCTGTTTTTCTCAGTAATTCCTCAGTGTGTTGACACTGAGCTGATCCAGTTTCCTCTGCGAATGAGGGATTGGCTGAAGAATGTCCTTCTGCAGCTCTATGAACACGACTCCATGTCTCCTGGCTTCCTCACTCCTAAACAGAGATTTAGAGTAAGATGCACTGCTCATATAAATATAACTGTGACTCTGGGGATGATTGGTCTTAAATTAATCCAAATATGGTTCTCTGTGCTCTGTAGGTGAAGAAGATCTTTGAGAGTGAAAGGCGTCTTCATGCTGGAGATCACTCTGTTGAACTGCTTGCACAGGACTTTGAGAAGAACTACAACATGTATATCTACCCTGTCCACTGGCAGTTTGCTCAGCTGGACCAGCACCCCTCTGACAGGTACTAAGTACTTGTTTTTTTAAACTTCCTTCTGCCACAACCTTTAAATTACACCTGATAAGTCTTAACATGGTACTTATGAAAGGATGTGTGTTCTGTACAATACAATGTACTATGATTGCTGTTATTATTTGGCCATGGTGTATATTTGTTTTACCCATAGACTGTATATAGAATAGACAGCATCTGCCTCCTCACTGGGTGAAGCCACAAAGAGAACAGCACCCTCTGGTGACAGGCTGCAGTATAGGTCATAAATCCTGCCTCCTCCAGCAATCCCTATGGAGCTGTGGACAAACTTTAGAAATTTATTACACAGAATATAATTTTTCTCCCTCTGTTTGGGATTTTGACACGTAGTTACAGTAAGACTGGTTTGTGCTCAAGTCCTCTTTTTTCTGTAAAACCATTTTTAAAAGTTATTAGAGGGTTCATGTTTTCTATGATTGACACTTGATACAGCCTATGGGCGTACAAGGATTGTGTAGCTCACCTGGGGGATACGCTGTTTGAGCCGAACGTCATCACAGCGACTCTCGATGACTCTCCCGCTGAAAGTGTACAATGCAAGTGGTGGATCCAGGAAGTGGAGAAAATCCTGGAAATACCGAGAGCTTTTTGACTTCAAATTCGTATAATGACCGAAGGCAGAACCAAGTTGTTCATAGTATAAACAGTCTATGGTTTTACCTAGTATATCAGCTGTAAGTTGAAAAATATATGTATTTGGATTTCATCTGGGTGAGTCGATAATTCTGTAGTTGTGACACTTTTAGCTGAAAATTTTCTGGCGATTTATTCATCTTGTACAGAGTGTTGTCCCACTCTGAGCTTGCCCCTCTGCGAGTCCCTCTGGTGCCGATGGAGCACTGCACCTCTCGCTTCTTCCACGAGTGTGACGCTGACAAGGACAAGCAGGTATCCTTTAAAGAGTGGACTTCCTGTTTTGGCATCAAAGATGGTAAGACCAACATCATATCATCAGCATACAGTGATTTAGACGCTCACTAATTCATGCTACAATACATTTTGTTTATTTCAATCATTTAATAAACTTTATTATAAACTTTATATATATATATATATTTACTTGAATTTATTTTAAATATACCATGCTGTTCATTAAATCTTTTGAAACGTGACCAATTCTGTTGTAAATTTATGATTTATCTATGATGGACACGTATTCTTGTACCATAGCGAAACTTAGGAAAACAAATTTTTTTTTCACTCTATTAATGTGTGTTTTCTTCTTTTTTTTTTACAGAGGATATGGATACCAACCTGCTATTCTGAGCCCTCCATCTATCCGCCAAGCTTTTTGTTGCACCGACAGTTCAGCTTTAGACAGAAACTTCTGTGATCCTCTGTTATATAAGAAAGTTGAACACCTTCAGATGGAGAAAACTCCTTTCACCTCCCACTGCAGAGGGCAACTGGTGCTGTTCTTCACATTTGTCCCAGGCTTAGCTTGGAAATTTGGATCGTTGTTTTGTAATGTAGTTAAAACTTCTAGAATTATTTTCTATTAGAAAAAAAGAAAGAGTTGATTTTAGTTGGTGTTATCCAGACGCTGTTTTCTAATGCATTCCAAACCGGGAATAAGTTTACATAGAGAAATAAACTTTGTACATATAACAGGCTTCAAAACAGCTGTGGCTTGTATGTAAGAGTGATGTAGTTCAGACTCTCTAAATGAAGGTTGATTTCAGTAGAAAATGTTCTTAATTATTTTAGAGGTAACCTCTGTAAATGTTTGTCTTTGCATCCTTTGTTTTGTTTTAATCTCATTAAAGCTTCACAGTATAATGACAGTATATTTTAGTGCTCAGTGTTGTTAATAATATCCTTTGTAACAGTGAAATAAAGTCAACATGTTACACTGGTGGATCCCAAAAAGATCCAGTTCTTGCTTTGATACCATGTTTTATTGTTGGTCAGGTTTCCTCACAGTACCATGACACGAAATAAGACCACTGCAACAATAGTTTCTGAGAATACAAGTCAGTGATACATGGTTTACGTTGGCCACATGATCCTGAATAATGACCCTCTTTCAGGTAACAAAGCAGAAAATAGCCTGCAGCATGGTCATGATGATTACAGTGACCTGTTGTTTTGACATAAATTACTGGACTCTGATTGGACCTTTCTCTGTGATCTCCCAATCTGATGATCTCTATAAAAGCGACCAGTGAAGCAGCCCTTCACCTGTTGACTGTGCTGCGACTCAGATAAAACATGATCAGCCTGCTGTGTGTCATTTTTCAGATCTGGTGTGTTGTAGTGGAGGGTGGTGTAACCTCAGGGAGTGCTGAGGCTCTCGCTAATAGGAGAATGAATAAAAATGGAGGAGCCGCTGGCAACACCGCCAACACTGGGGGTCAAACTGGGGTCCAGCCAAATGTTGAACCGGTCCTGGCACGCTTGATCCAACTTGGTGGCTCACTTTTTATCCAGCCTGTGGGTCAAGCTCCTGTGCAGCAGCTGCTCCCTATTGGAGCTCTCCAGCAGGGTACTGTTCTTCTTCTGGGACAGACAGGTGGTGCTACTGGGAATCCACCAGGGCAGATGGCTCAGACTGGGACAGGAGGGCCAGTCACGCTGTTTGCTGTACTGCCGCAGAGGCACACTGGAGGGGCCCAGCAGGGAGCCCTGTTGACCCCCGGCCATGTCCAACTGATCCCGCTGTCTGTGCTCAACAACCAGCAGCAGGCGGGCGCTGCGGTTGGACAAGCAGCTGGCAGACTAAGGTTCCAGCGCTCTCTCGCAGCTCGCCTCAGGGGGATACAGAAAGCGCCAGGCTCGACAGAGATCGCTGATGAAGATGATGAAGACGGCTCTGCAATAGAGAATGAGGACATTCAAGAAAACTGAGAGCAAAGATCTGTTAGACACCAAATATCCCATGATTTACTCTTTAATCCTGATCCTGTCTTGATACAAGCTGTTCATCCCACTTTCTCAAAATCACTGCAATCATGACAAATGATAAATAAAAGACTGAGGTGAAATAGTGAATCTTTGTGAAGTGTTTATTCCAACATGAGTACACATTTTGTGTTTACATCATCTGCTTAAAATGTCAGCACAACACCACAACAACAACAAACGGTGTCCTCAGTTTTGCTCCTCTGATAGTTAGTTTTGTTTCATAGACTGCCACAAATGTGCTCAAATTTATATTTACAGGACAACGCTTGAAACTGCTACATGGTGATTTTGGTCTCTGAATATGATGCAAAATCCCAAACATGTTATTCATGTGATTTCAGAATTAATCCAGTAAAGGATTTCATGTAAAAAAAGAAAAAAACAATCGTGAAAAGGTAAATTATCTTTGTTCATAAATCAGTTTGACACACTTTAGATTAACATAGAAATATCATATCAAGAGTGTTTTAAGTGTAAGCAGGGAGAAAACGTTCTAATTTTAGCTGGGTGACACTGTGTAATTAGTATGAAGCTTCAGACCAGACTACCACAGAGGGTGTTTACCTGGTCTGCTGTGGGCTGCACAGTCAGCAGCCAAAAAAACACCTCAGTTGGTGACAGCATCGACAGCCAGACATATTGGGAGGAATGTAAGGGCTCTAAATATCAAGAGGTAAAATGCTTCTCATGAACAATCTGAATTTTACTGGGGGCTCGAAATAAAAAGAAGTGCAACATATTTTAGTGATAACAATTAACGTGTGAGTGCAGTTATTTTAGGGGTTAAAACTTTAGACTATCTTAAATTTGACTAAAACTTCATCCAGGTCCCAAGAAACGCCAAGGTCACTCAATCTGAAACATTTGTGCTCTGATTATTTTCTGGAGTTGAAAAATAAGAAGCTACAGGTGCCCACAGGGTTCATTTTTCATTAAATGTAAGCACACATGATCTCCGTTAGCAAGTCACTATGATGTCAGATGTTTGCCTCCTTTGACCACAACCCACAACCTTTAGATGGCTCATGCAGGTTCACGACCAATAGCCTCAATAAAATTCCACAACTGATCCCAAGATGCTGAATCACTCTATAATTATTAGTGGTCACTCAGCCATATGGAGAACAATGTCTAGTGGTCAGCCCTGTATGAAGGAGCAGCCGGCATGGTTTTGTTTCTTTACATCTTATCCATGCAGAAGAGGAAGATGTCATATCACAGACTTGCATGACACCAGAGTGACAAATATAGTTCATGAACAAACTGCTGTTCTCCTCTCTAATTGGCTCACAACATCCTTAGGGAGCGATAAAAGGTGCTCTAAATTCATGCCACAACTACCGTCCTTCTTTGCACAAGAAATTTGAGCATAAAAAGGGAGAAAGAGGTATGTGTTGCGCATTTAAGATTGTATAGATAATTCGAGTGAAATCAACAAAAAACAAAAAATATATAATTCTGCAATTTTGCAGGTTTCAGGTTGCAAAATGAAGCTTCTCCTCCTAATAACATTTGCCGCAGCCATCTGCTATGTGAGTATCTGTTCATCTGTAGGGCTTTCTGTCTGACAAACTAAACAGTTCATGTAACTTCTGCTCTTTCAATTTGTTGCAGGCCAAGGCAGACAAAGTAAGACACATTCATTACGATAAAGTAAAGATGATTTGTTCCATAATCTCTGAAGGCTCATGGTTAATGTCTTAAGTTGTTTGTCCCCCTGTTACGCAGTCACACAGGCTGTTGGCGGCCATCATGGCAGGTATGAACGGAGGAATGGCGAATGGAGTGATACCTATCAGGATGGCTGGAGGCCTGAACCCTCCGATGGTGGCTGTTGGTGGGGCAGGTTTTGCAGCACAGCCACAGTTTGCACAGGTCAGTCTGCCATACAAAAATGTACCGCAATAATCAAACTACACCACTGGATGGTGCTCTTCTGTTGTCTTTCTTCATCTTTACTCGTGTTAAGAACAGACAAAAAAACTGAACACTTCAGTTAAAGTTTAATTGGCTAAACTTAAACAGCAGTTGGAATACAACGATTTCAGAACAAATATTCAGTCTGATTTCCTAAATCAGCAGTACAGGTGAACTCCAATAACCCTGATAGAAATGTAAAGTAAAATGATACCCTCTTTATTTCCTCCTAAGTTTGTTCCTGGAGCTACTGCTTACATCGTCCCAGTCCCAGTTTCCAGTGCATACACCCTTCCTGCAGGCAATAACGTAAGTGTTGCACATGTTGCAGAGATGCCTTTCATACGATCAGGTATTTTTCAGGTTTTATAGATCTGCCTTATATGTTTTCAGGTTCCTTTCATTGGAGGCCCCAACATTCCACCAATGAATCCTCCTCAGCAGCCTCTGATGGTATAAAAAAATATCACATATTGTAGGATGACCTGATGCGACTGCACAAAAATACCTACATCTTATTGTTTCTGTTTAGGGGATTGCTGGTGGCACCATGCAGCAGCAGCTTGTTCCTCTGTCTGATTCATTTAGAAGATTCAGGGTAAGTAAAAGTAAAAACATTAATGTCGACCAATGCTCTTGAAAAACGCTCTGGCTTACTGTTGTTCTTTCACTCTGCAGCGTCAGATAAGGAAACTAGGAAATACTCTGACGACCACTGTGGATACTCAGGTAAAACTGTGTGGATTAAAAAGAAGAACAACATTGCAAACATCATCATAGGTTCATGATTTCAGTGCCTTTAATTCCTGTGTATTCACTCAGTGTCTGCCTCCTCCCCTTTATTTCCTCAGATTCCAGCTCCGACTGAAACACTGGCACCAACTGCTTGCAACAAAGAGGGCCACCATGAAGACAACAAGAGTGTTACTAACAGCCTTTAAACATGCAAGAACACCGAAATAAAAACAACAATGTTCAATAAACTTGAATTCAACTGTTTAGTCATTGTCAGCTGTGGATTTTTTGACTTTAAAAAAAATGATAATCCCATAAAGTCAGTGATAGATTTACTAAATATGTTAACTGTTGAATAAAAGTATTTTAAAAAAGGATGTTTGAATCATTGTGCAACCACTTATCCAGACAACAGGTATTAAAAAACAGTGACCATACTCACAATGCATAGTGGATCTCTGCTGCCATCCAAAGGAAAATGAGTTTAAAACACCTGTTAAAGTAATTTGATACCACAATCAAACAATAAACTTGAGGAAGTTTGCTAGAAAAAAAATCACTTGATTTTTTCAAAGCATCATTAGATTTTCTCCACTTCTTTGGATGTGGAGAAGTCTTTGGATTCACAATATAACCTACAAGCCAAAGCAGAACAGTGAGAATTGTATCATTTTCTGTAATTTTCTTAAGGGGGCAAAAAAAGAATCTTAAATTAAGATCCAGCTTAAATCCGCCATTCTCATAAGTTTAGGAAAAATGCTACATTTTAGCATCAACAGTACTCTCAGCGTGTTGAAAATCTGATGCTGAAGGTTTGATTTCAGTAAAACCAATATCAGATTAAATGGTCAAATCAAAATTCTGAATCCTGATTTTTTAATAAATAAACCTATTTTCCTTAATTTTCAGGATTTGGTTCAAAATGATACACAATTGACTCCCAAACTGAAGTCAAGACATGATCAGTTAGTGATTAATGCAACCAACAGTTCTGCACTGGTAGACCACCAAGTTAATGTGGGCAAGTTGTGAATCTACACCACACATCATGACGGGTGATGGGTTTCTCTTACACTACAATATTTAAAGTTTATTGTTGCCGTGTCTCTGTTTCTTGCTTTTTTCATTCAAGTTGGTTGTTGGTTATCCAGTTTGTTGTCTGACAAAAAAATTGCAATTCGGTATCTATATTTTTTGCAGTGTTCCATAACCCTCAGAGATACTAGAAACTGTATTTCACCAATGATAGAGAGTTTGAATGTAAATTTAATATGGATGTATCTTCATGTGTTGATCAAGTGGCAACCTCTGGGCTTGGGAAATGAAGCTGATGCAGCAAAGAAAAAACTGTAGTTCCTTGAGTGTCCACTGTAGGCTGTCTGAAAAGCCACTAAAGACAGAACAAATTTACAACCTGATTCAAAAATTGGTCGGCTTGTTTTGGTTTGAATGTACTTGCAAACACTGTAACAAGGTGAAACTTATTTGTATTTACACGTAGCTATGCCTAAAGGATTAATACGGGTAATTGGAAGGGGTGACTTAGCATAGAGGGCCAATAATGAATCCTTTCTTAACCTCTTCTCTGTTTTGGTCTGGCTGCCAAAAGTGTCTTTTGTGTGTTAAAATTTACAATCCACAATAAAAGATAGTGAAATAGTTGCCGGAGAAGAGGTTAAGAAAGGATTCATGATTGGCCCATATGCTTTCCAATCACTCACATTAGAGTAAAATGCTGTGTTACGTGTTGTTTACAACTGGTATAGCTAACAACAACTAACAACCGCTAACAACAGCTGACAATTGTAAACATCAGCTAACAACACGTAACTGTAGGCGTCCATCTTGGTTTTCTGACTTGTTAACTGGAGTGCTGTCAACTCGGGTGTCCGACTTCCGAGGTAACTGCAGGGCTCTCAAGTTTTGAACTAAGCTTAGAGTGAGATTTCTTCGGGGGGGTGGAGAGTGATTGATGATAATTATTAGTATAATAATCTCTTAGTGTGAGGGCCACATTAAGAAAAAAAAACATTTTTAAATCTTAGAGAATAAAATTATTATTTAGGAGAATAAAGTCATTAATTTATAAGAATTAAGTCGTAAAGTTACCTGTTGTGGAGGAGAGTTGTTAAAATTAGCACTGTGGAGCATTTAGATGAATTGTAGTATAGGTTTCACAAACTCTCGGAGAAACTCGGTTGATTTCTACCTGTTCCATTGTTAAAGAGGTGCAACGTGGTGGACTTAACCATGTTCGTTTTTAAATGCGTGAGAAATACAATGTGTGGTGTGTGAGCGTGTGAACAGGTGGGAATGCGTGTGTCACACGCTGAATGCGTGAGACTTGAGAGCCCTGTAACTGTAACACTTGACTGACAGGTGGGAACACTGTAGCTGTCATTAGACTCTTGCTGGGCCTCCTTGCCTCTTGGTTGACCAAAAGTTAGATTGAGTAAGCATTTCCAATATGGCAGCTGCCGTTGACAGGCTTCAAAACTCTGCTCCAGAAACCAGAGAGTGATGATAGAGTAGCTGCTTCTACTGTAACAGTGAAGTGTGAATAGAAAACCAATGGTAGTAAAAAGTTACAAAAAGTGCTCCACTTACATCCCAGCTCAGCCAACTTTCAATACCCATGATTTACTAATTATATTTCAACATCAGTCAGCATAAGATGAACAATCTTGTGACAAATGTCTGATTATAAACTCCCTGCTCCTGTTTTTCTATTTTTCCCATGACAAGACAGAAATCCTGTCAGCCTTAATGTCTGTAATTACACCCTGAAACGCAAGGATTTAACATAAACTTTATCTAAGACGGCCAAAGCTTAGAAGGCGTAGACAGGTTCCCTCTACAGAAAGTTGTTAAAATGCTGACAATAAAAGCACAAGTCAGTTTAAATCTGATGTGATATGTAATGAGTAAGGGAAGCAAAGCTGTCAGGTTATTTGGAGGTTTGTTAACAACCTGACGAAGGCCGTGTCACTGCGTTCGGAGACATGACTTACACGTTGTAATTGCCCACTTACCTGTCGTGTGTTGTAAGAGTCTGAGTCTGTTACTATGAGAAATGTCTGTCACACTGACCACACATTGTCTGTATGGGCTGGCGAGGAACTACAACAGCGCACACGGCTAGAATTTAAAAGGGGGAAAGGAGCAGGGTGAGGAGGCAGACGCACTCAAACTGCAGGCGCAACCAGAGAAACGGTAAGTTGAGCTTTCACTGCAGCAGAGAAAGTCTTACATCTATCTCAGGACATCCAGTGAGTTGGTCAGAAAAACGTGTTTTCCATGATGTTTTTGAAACATGCCTCATGTTTTTGTCAGATTGTGGACATCATGAAGCCCCAGGTTGCTCTTCTGTTGGTCTGTATATTCAGGACAAGTTTTGCTCTTCCAGTAAGTTTAATCTCTCTCATACTTTCTCTAATCAGTTGAAATCAGCGGAGTCTAAATTAGCACAGAGTCATATTTTAATGTCTTTTTATCAGGTGCAGATTAGATATGTTGGAAGCAGCAGTAATGAGGTATGTGTGATATTAAACTTTTATTTTTGTTGTTGTAAAAGACTGAATCTCTCATTTAGGAACAAGCATAGCCTACTGACTTTTATGCAACTTTTTGAATGTTCAGATCCTGAGACTGAATGGATTAACTCTTGCTGCAGCTCTTGGACAAGCACAGGTAGAACATATTTGGCAGAGATAACACAAACAGACATCTTACAAACACGTAACCTGTGTACTTAACCAACCTGTCTTCTCCAGGCCTCTTCTCTGTTACCCCAGTTTGTGCTGCAGCAGCAGCCCGAAGTGCTGCTCACCCCGCAGTTAGTGAACCTGAACCCTCAGATGGCTGGTCCCTTTCCTCCTCAAGGGCCCCAGCTGTTCCTCCCCGCCCAGGGCAACCAGCTTACACCCGTGATTATCCCTAATGGCCAGCAAGAGCAAGTCGGGACCCCACAGGACCCCAACTCTCCTATTGTCCCCCAGCAGGCCCAAAACCCTGTCCAGGTGAAGAAAAAATAATAGCTTTACTTTATATTTGACATCAGCTGCTGCCTAGGGGGACTAAACCTTATTCCATATTTCCTTCAGATGTTTCCATCTTTCCAGTACCCACCTTATGGTTTCCCCCAGTTTCCCAGACAGCAGGTATGATGCAAAACAAGCTCAAATCCCACTGTCATTACTTTGATGCTCAGCGCTGATTTAATTGAACTCTAACTGAACTTTATCATCCACAGGGCTTCCCTTACTTTATGCCTCCTTACGGCTATCCCCAGCAGAGGAACCCTGCGGTGCTGCAGCCCAACAATGCTCAGCAAACTCTGGACAAAACCACACACAGACCACAGCTCCCTCTGCAGGTGAGACGTGCAAGAAAGCACAGCAGACAGAAAAAATATGATTCAGGGTTTTTTTTAGTTATGGAAATGAATTTGAAGAGAAATGTTGGTTTTTATTTTCTGTTGTTATTAGAAACAGAGACAGCGGCAGTAAGAAAAGAAGTGACAGCTCTTTACCACTTTAAAATAAGTACACAATGCAGCAGACTGTAATGACTGGAGATACAACTTAATGATAACATACTGGTATGAATTAAGTCATCTGTGGTATCTGTAATGTGGCGTCTACTGTCTGCTATACTGACTACTTAGTCTGGATTAGAAGGAGACTGCTGAAATACTGCCAGACCTATGTAATTGTGCAATGAGTTTTTTTTTAAAGCAGCTAAAATATTGACAATTTTTATGAAAACTCACATCTTTAGGGGCTGTTTGACAGTTTGAAAATGAAGTGATCCAATAGTAGATCTGTATATATAGGTTTAATATGTTTTTCCCTTTAAAAATGGAGTCTAATTGAATATCATTTTCCCCCCTTTCAGCAAGCTTCACAGCCAAAGGTGCAAACAGAACAAGTAAGTACATTATATGGTTTTGGCAAAACAAAGAGTCAAGAATACTCCAACGATGGTTAAGATCTGTGTTTATTAAAACTCCTCGCTCATGTCAGACTTGGCCGATGGGGACACAGAAAGAGTCTACTACAATTCCTCCTGATCCTCGTGGCGACACATCTGGCCCTGGAGTTGATGAGGTTTGATTTTTATGAACTTACTCAAGACTTTTAAAGCTTTTATGCATCCATGAAGCACTCATTTGTTAGATGTGCAAGATCTGATTTTTTAAAGAAAATTTCTTAATTTGATTTTTCTTCTGTTTTCTCCAGGGCAACTCAAACTTCCCTTTCCTGTTTGAGCCTTAGATGTCACCTTGATGAACAACAATTTTCCATTTTCGGCCACACGAGTTCATTTTTTCTACAAAATGTTCAACACTGTGCCATTTTTCCAAATCCACTTCATTTATACTCATTTGCTTTGATGATGTTTTGAAATGGTCTGACTTGTTACAGAAAACTCCTTCCTGCTTTTACATCAAGTCAAATAAACAACTTTGACAAAATCATGCCTTAAAATCATTTATTTTGGTTCATCAAAATCATCCTTTTAATAGGAAAATGCCAAATTATACGAGTGACTCCAATAATATGCCAAAGAAAGTCTGATTTGGAGCTTGTTGATCAAACTTGCAGCTGTCAGTTTCTTCCTGAATAAATGTGGGATATAAAAAGTTGTCATCAGCAGTCAGCAAACACTTACGCATAGAATGAAACTTCATCATACTGTTAGCGTCCTCACCTCTGAAAGATGAGAGCAGTCTTCATCGTCTTCCTCTTAAAAAACCACCGGGCGGTTTTTCTGGAAAATAAGAAAGATGGTTGAGTGAACTGCACAACAGCCACGACAGACACCCTAGTATAGTGCGAAAAGTTGTAAAAAAAATGTTGATTCCACGTATGAATCATCGATCTACTCAACAAAGAAAGTTAAAATAATGAGTCGCTCGTATAGTGTGGACTACAGCTGCATAAAACAACAAAGTGCCTGGGTAAATCTTTTACAAGAACAAGCTCAAACTGTGAAAATTTGACATTTTAACGACACGTATTACATAGAAAGAGTCTCACAGACAGAAGATACTCACAGGTTTCACAACACCAAACTGGATGGAGACTTGGTTCTTTACATTGAAAAGAGACATTGTGCTGATTATCGCAGACAAACGTTTTAAGTAAAACAACATAATGTATGAATAGAAGCGGGGATTACCAGCTCTGTGGTGTTGAAGATGAACTTCACACAATTCTGAAATACAAGTGATGAGAAAATCTGATCACAAAGCAGAAGATGTCAGATTTAATGAAGATAAACTCTCTGCTAAGTGTAAAACTGAAGCAAGAGGAGAGGAAACTTGTTAATTTCAGGTCAAGCAAATACACCAGAAGCCTGTTATTTCCTTAGTCAAACTAGGAACAATACGCTAATATACTCTGTAACCATGTAAGTGTATGATTTAATTCCTTTACATACCTTGGGATAGTGAGGTCTCCTGTTGCCACACTGCAGATGGATTGACGCATTTATTAGTGTTCATAATGCCATTCAAAATCGTTCATCCCGTGGTACTGATATTATTCTGTCACCTACCTTCTGCTCCACAAATATGCTCTCCCCCTGCAAGGTTTTCACACAGAGGGTCATCTTAATGTTTCATCTTTACATAAATCTGCTCATGACTTGAGGAGTTCTTCCCTAAAAGGCAAATCAAGTAACTAAACCATGATGTTTACCTGCTGCAGAGTCACACCAGAGTCAGGCTGTAGATACAAAGAAAGTTTTCATTTTCACTAATGTGCCCAACATGAATATATTCTCTAAACATCTTTTGTGAAGGATCTCACCTGGATAGTAAAGTTGCCAACCTGAGTGATTATAGGCAGAAGAAAATCAGAGTTTTAGCTAACTTCAGTGAGGGATTTGAGTGAATTTATTTGAATGAAGATAAAAGTCAGCCTACCGTGAATGTTGACACACACTCCTAAAACAAGAATGCAGGTATTATTTATGTTCAATGATAGAAAAGCACATTTGTAAAGTTTTTGAAAACCTTTAGAAAAGAAAAAAACGCAACAGACATTAAACAGAGGCTCTCTAAAATTTAAGATCACAGTCTGAACTGGAGAGTTTAAAGAGGTCTCGACCTTGAATACTACACTTGAATCATTCCAGTTATAATCTCACTACATGCCATTGTGAGCTTACCACTGGACCAAACCACCGGCCAAAGCCAAACCCACGCAGAGGGACTCTTGCACCATTAGTTTGGAAACCAGGAGCCTGTGAGTAATACAGATTATACAGAATAAAGTATCAGGTAACAGCAGATCATCTTGGTCACCACAGTCTACGGTAAAAGCCTGATGAAGATATCCACACTGAAAAAAGTGACTTTTTGATGCAATAAACTCTATTAGAGTCATAATTTCTACCTTGTATTTTTAAGATTTAGTGAGAACTAAAGTTTCTTAAGTAAAATTAAACATTTTTTTAAAGTAATACGTGAATTATGGGGGAAGAGTACTGTATATTTTACTTAGGTTTCTTTATACTATTTAAATGTTTAATAGTTGTATGTACATAAACCTAAAAATCCTACATAAACTTTACTCCCACTGTAGCCTAGAACAGGACTGGCTCTGCCCTGATTTTGGACGCTACAGGATCACAGAGGAAGGTCGGGGGCAGCAGTAGCTTAGGAGGTGGAGCGGTCGTCCAATAACTGGAAGGTTGGCGGTTCAATACCCCCCTATTCTTAGTCTGTCTGTTGTTAAACTTGGATGTAGTTAAGTAAATGTTACATAATATTACCACAACTGATATGTTTGATGGAAAGTTAAATTTACTTACTTCAATCACTTGCGTGCAAATACTTACAATATATTTTTTAAGTAAATCTTTTTTTCGGTGCAGACAGGCTGAAATTTTAGAAAGTTCTGACAGTTTTGGCTCCTGAATCAAAAAGAAGTACAACAGAGTTGATGCCTTAATTTCTGTCTAACTGGGCTGGTGGAAAAAAAAAGAACACAAAGATGTGTAAATATCCCACCTAAGGAAAGGGCACTGGGTTCAATAAGTGTCTTTTGCAGCCAATACAAAGTCATGTAACCATCCGAACAATAAAAGGAGACACTATGATTATCTGCAGCTAGCATGTCATCACTAATTCATATCTACAGTATCTGTTATGATATACATACCCTGACTGCGGCCCATTCTGGCCAGTCTCCACTCATCCACTGGTCCTCCGCTGGGCCTGTCACCACCTGCACATCATCACCGAGCTAAACAAATAATTTATTCAGTGAAACCAAAACTAAACTAAAAAGGGATAAGTGCATCATTTTACCTCTGGGTCTTCAGTGTATTCCTCTTTTCTCCCCTACCTGAGTGTCTTGATCCAGCGTGAATCCATCCGCAGGTGGAAGCGTCTCATCCTGAGCCCACAAATCTGGCTGAAAAAAACAACAACAAACAAACCTTGTAACACGTGTTTTTGTTATTATTTGAAAGCCATCCATAAGACTTCACACATTTTCACCTTTGAGAGAAACTCACCTGGGCAGCAACTGCTGAAAAAAGTAAAGCTGCGACACAAAGGAGCTGCATTGTCTCTGAAAACTCTGCAGAGAAGTTGCACATTAATATCGAGATCGACAAATGAACCATGAAAAATAAACAGCTGAAAACAGATCAGACATTTCAATTAGTGAGTCACTTACTGCTTAACATGTACAGCCTACCGTGCCGCGTTAGTATGTGTGTGGCTCGTCACGCATTGTTACTTTTATCGGACTGTTGACATTGAGTCACACCATCTATTCCTCAACAGGAAACATATTAATCAAGCTTAATTGTTTGCAAAACAGCACTGACTCTGCATGCTGTTTGCTAATGCCTTTCCAATTAACTCTGATCCATGTTCCCAGCAACAGCCATGAGTGGCAGCGGATATTTACCACACTGGAAACCTCGTAAGATCTTTTCAAAGAGTGGGATGACCATAAACTTTGGTAGAAGGGCTATAGGGGCAAATCATGTCCTAAAACAAGAGGATGCAATGATAACTACAAGCTTTTTTCGGGTGTTGCCAGTAATCTGCCAAAGCCATTAAATCTCTTTATTTGTCAAGGACCCGGTTGTCTTCTGTTTGTCTTCTGATTTGCTGATAGAAATAAAAAAAAGATGAACTCTTAACTGAGATTTACAGTTTCCTAATTGATTTGAGTATGCGGTTTTTATTTGCAAGCTGTTAAGAAGTTGACGTGTACTTTTTGATCTAGGTGTGGATTTTGTCTCTGATGAGTAGCCACTCCTTGAGTTATAGAGGAGGAAGATTTCTTAACAGTTTCCCAATAGTTTCCCAATAATGCTGTTTGCTTATGAGTTAGTGTCCACTCCTGTAGCTGTATAAAAAGGAAGCACCAAGTTCAGAGCAGCACTTCAAAAAACCTGCTCGACCATCATCTGCTATAAACTACACTAAGAGGTAAAGATTTGATTGTTTTGACTATTTGTTTTGTCTCAAGCTGCTGAAAAAGAGACTTTGCCTGTACTGAGAAAAATTCTCCATCTGAGATTTTATTTGTCTTTTTTCAAACAGGTGTGATCATCGTAGCCATGCTGAAGGTTGTGCTTGTACTCGGACTCCTCCTGAGCTTGGCTCTTGCTCATAGCGTAAGTATGACGACCTCTTACGAATTATCAATGCCATGGATCTAAAATGTTGTCACTGCCAATGAAAAAAAATAAACACTTAAAACTTGTGGATTCTCTACAGGACATGGGACACAGACGTTTTGCTCGGTCCAGCGGATCTGACTCTAGCTCTGGCTCAAATGAGGCGAATACCTCTACTACCTCTTCTACCGCTAATGCAAACAATTTTCTGGCCATACTTCTGCAGCTTCTCAATGCATTTACCACAACAACAACCACTGCTGCTCCAACTACAACTGCTGCTCCAACTACTACTCCTGCCCCAGGAGGCTCTGGCTAAACCTTGACCAGAGATCAACATTTGAATGCACAAAAAAAAAAAGCCTGTCATTGATTCCTGACATGTATTTGGTCATGTGCTTGTTTGTTGGACATTGTAAGCATCCATCATTCCAGCTTTAATAAAATGTGGATCAAACTGCATTTTGTTGTCTTGCTTCATATTATTGATTGACCTGGCTTCTTCTAAACAACCTCATTGTGTGGAAAAGGGGTCCACATATGTTTTCACATCTTATAGATTTGAAACAAGACTCTGAAATCTGCTCTGCCGTTTAATAAGTACAACAATGATAATGAGAGTGTTTTTGTATGTTGCACTTATCTAAACAGATGTTACAAAGTGCTTCAGAACCCTAAAAGCACAGAATATAGAAATAAAACAGGGAATCAACGATAGCAACACAACACAACTAAAACAAGAATAAATTGAATCATAAAAGAGGGAGCACTGAAAACAATTAAAACAACTGTAACAATGAATGAAAGAAGACAGACACTAAATGAATAAAACATCATGAGTAAAATGCAAAAAAAAATTCAAAGAAGGGTGTTGAATCCCAAGTTCTCACCTCACCATCACCATACCTGACTCCCCTGTCACTCAAGGCCAAGCAACACCCCCAACATTATAAAAGCCAGCCCTCAGGCCTTCTCCTCCTCTTGCACCCTGATTATGACAGCAGGGATAGCTAATCACACACACACACACACACACACACACACACACACACACACACACACACACACACACACACACACACACGGAGGGAGAGCTGCAGAGATTCAGTGATGTTATTGAGACAAAGGAGGGGGACTTTATTACGATACAGTCAATAGCCTCGAGCTAACAAGGCTATACATACAACGGAGTCAACAGACTCCCCAATTTATGTTGTTTACCCCTATATAATAATTTAAAACAATACTTGAAGATGCTGCCAAAATTTAATTTATGTATGACGAAATAAAAACGTAAATAAATATTGATTTACCCATTTTTAAAGCGCTCGTAAGTGTGGAAAACTGAGGACAGACGGAAACGGCCGAGCACTGCCGGGCTCAGTCGATGTCTGACCGGCATGTCAGAGCGCAGCAGAAAACGCTTTATGTGTGAACAGCCAAGCGCAAGCCGGCGCTTCCTGTGTGAACCAGGCGTTATAGCAGAGGCCAAGGCTGTGTCTCATTTCAGAGACCGCATCGACCTAAGTGCCCTTCTGCACCGTCGAACGGTGCATTTGAAGTGTGCATGACGTCACGACGGTGCGAACGGTGTCCCGTTTGGCACGAGATGCTAAAAAATGCTAAGCGCGCTTAGCATGTTTTCAAGCGTGCATTTATCCACGCTTTCGTGCCGTCGGTATCCCAGAATCCTTTGCGTGCCGCTGCACAGCTGCGCATTTCAGGTGAGAGGCTGGACTCGCTTGGAGACGCAGCGCGATTCTTCATCCTCTGGCACATCAGCATAACATTGTCATAAGTATAAAGACTTTAAAAAGAATATATGAGAAATACGTCTTTTCCACGGGGAAAAAAACTGGTGTACTTGAAGGAAATCGCTGCTTTTGTGGAGGCAGAAATGAATATGCTGAGGATATATCTGTCATTGCAGCCGTTAATATCCGTGAATGACATTGAGCTTTAGTTTATGATATGAATCCATATGCCATAATAAGGTGTTGGTGTCTCTGCAGGTGTAGGCTACGGCCGGTGTCAGAGACGTGGTGCTCGTCGGAGCTCGACTCCCTCTGGATCACAAATGTTGATTATCATCAGTTTGATTGTTTCTTCAGAAACCACAAAATCTCTCTTAATGACCCGCTGATACATCCACAGATAACCCTGCAGATGACCAGCTTCAGTCATTTCCCCCTCCGCAAAAGCAGCTTTATGACTTTATTTACTTTATGACTTTATTCTCCTAAATTTACAACTTTAATCTCTAAATCTTAAAAGAAAAAAAACCCTCAATGTTGTCCTGATACTCTGCTGTAGTTTTGTCAGCTTTCTCATTTCTAATGTTTTTGATAGTTGTAACACAGCGGATCAGTTCGTCTCTAAATCTATAATGTTTGGTTTACAGATTTTAGTGAGTTCAGAGATCATGCTCTCATACAGCCTGAGCTGACTGTCTGATGGTTTTGGATTGCTTGTATTTTCTTCGAAGACGCGCTGTGTCTCCAAGCGAGTCCAGCCTCTCACCTGAAATGCACAGCTGTGCAGCGGCACGCAAAGAATTCTGGGATACCGACGGCACGAAAGCGCGCATACATGCACGCTTGAAAAAGAGGCGGGGGTAGTGTGGTTTTGAGACCGAATTTGAAGCGCGCTTAGTATTTTGTGCCAAACGTGACACCGTTCGTGCCGCGTGGTGACCTCACGTACGCGTCAGATGCGCCGTTCGATGGCTGCTGTATCTGAAATGGGACACAGGAAGGGCACAGAACGGCGCAAAACGGCTCAAAACGGCAGTGCACTCAGCTAAGCGCCGTTAAGTGCGCTTATCACGATGCAGTCTCTGAAATGAGACACAGCCACAGAAAAAATGTTCTGTATCAGTTCAGGTCAGGAGAGACTGCGAAGTTGACTATACGTCAGGCCTTGTGTTTTGGGACCAGAAAGATATTTTGGGGAAACCTTAAAGTGGAGCTACATTTCTAATACATCTCCTGATGCTCTTAACTGTGATACACTTTTTTTACAGTTAAGATGCTAACATTTTTTCTTACATTTATTAACATAATATTGCCTGTGAGAAGTTATGGTACACCCATTAAAGGGCCAAAAGTGCTGAGAGATTCATCTAGTAGAACTAAAGCACAATGTAGCACACACATTAATTAGAAGAGGCTTTTGAGAGGACCATTTTTGAGAAAGGCGATCTAGTTCTGGATTTAAATAGTTGGATTTAAGGAGTTGGATTTAAATACCAAACACTGTGATCTCGTAATAACACTGCAACAGAGAGACAGGCAAGTAATGCTAAAGAATAGGAAAGTTATTCAATACACTAGACTGACAACTGATGGCTAAAAACTAAAAGTCCAGCAAATAAGTGCATCCTTCTGCTGTTTTCCCTACTTATTGACATTCAGGAATTCAAAAGTGGGTCCAACAAACCTCTGATTCCTCAGGGTAGTACAAGTTTTAATAAGAGGCACATTTTTTCATAAATGGACCATCTGTGGAGAGAAAAAAAAGGATAATATTTAAAACTAACTTGACCAAAATGTCTAAAGCCGTGTTTGGCGCTTTATTGTTTTTAGGCATAAGCAATCTACTTTTTTTATTGCAAATGCAAGGTTTAAGTAGGGTGTGATCGATCAATAAATTAAGAAATAGAAAAGACAGCCAAATCCCAGAACTTGAGACACAAAGCTTAATGAAAGACAACACCTCCACCTTACTTGAGAGCTCAGTGCTTATGACTCACACAAAAACAATTAGAAAGCACATGAGCTTAAAGTATGTTCATGTTAGATGAGGCCATTTGCTGGGAAAGACACCGTGAACTTGGAAAATCAGTTCTGCTGTACACAGCATATTAGGCAGCGCACTTGATTGTTTCATGTCAAAGAAGAATTTTCATACTCAGAAAATAAATGTGTCCTCAGGAAAAACAGAAAAAGAGCAGGGCAGAAGTAGACCAGGACCTACGGGCCACAGCTTGAATTTCTAGCATCAACATTTGGGCATAAATTCATGGCAGGTTTATGGGCAAATTTACAAAAACATGGATGCCCACCACCGCTACCTACCCTGTTGAACCTTGCAACTCAGACAGTCCATTATATATAAGGTTCAAAGTGAAAATATTCATCCTGAACCTGGTGGATAATTTGCTCGATTTACAGATAGAAGTAACCTAAAATATTATTTATTTGCTTTGAGAAAAAAAAGTGACTTTTTCCTGTCTTTTTCTTGGGTAAAACTTTTTTTTCTCCAAAACTGATTTATTCACACTATTTTTTTTTTATTGCTGCTCTTTCATCCCATTTTCTAAATGAAGCAAGAATCCTGGCTTGGCATGAACATGAACATGAACATGGACATCAGAAGATGTGCTTCACACTTCATGTCAGGCTTCAAACTAAAAATTCCAGGTCATTTTTTTATTGGCTGAGAGTAGCTGCTAAATATCTCTCTTTTTTGGTGTCTCCTTGAGTGGAGCTTTCACCCTCAACCTGACAGGGCCTCAAGCTCGCCTGTGGATATGCAAGAAGCTGCCATTTGAATCGGTTTTCCATCCTCTCCTGTTGTTCCAATTTAAATATTCAGAAGTGAAATCAAAGTTATAAAAGTACTGGAAATTGTTTTCCCTTTGGTATATTTTCCTGTACTGAGTCCACTTTGGGTGAACTCTGGAAAAACACTAACCACTGCTCTCAGGCTGTATGCTGGGGTTTTGTTTGCAGACCATGCAGAGCAGTGGCACACAGGAAGGACGACTAACTCAGAAGCTGAATTTATCTCTCTGTTTTTGAACTGAAGATTAGATTGAAAAAAATCCCATTGAGAAGAAGAATATGAGTCAAATAATACAAAACAGCATCTTATTAAACCAAAAGTAACTGAAGTAAAAGGTTTCCCTGGTGGTTTTTCAAATTAATGGTCCAACTGAATCTTTTTTCTTTTTTCTAAATCACCAATAATCAATACCTTGCAGATTAACAGACAAGCGATGCTTTACATACCAGATACCACTGACTTACACACAATTTTGGCATATAAAAGATGTTGTTTCGAAATTACAGACTTCTGCATCAAATTTTCATAAAGCAATTCCCATCAACCAAGTTTTTGGAAATGCATGGTGAATTACTGAGCAAGTGAAATGCACAATTACGGTCATGGGGTGGTTTTTCATTTTAATGATGTTCATATAAAAGAGGTGCTATGATATTTAGGTAACACTTTACAAAAACCATAATTTATAAATGGTAAATAGAGAGTTTATTAATGTTTAATCATCATTTAAAAACAGCATATAGACCAATAATAAATGGCATATAGATAGTTTATACATGTAATTTTATAGTTACTTTACCATTATCACAATCAATGAAAATGTGATAAATAATTTTCATTAATTATTAATGGACTGTTTATTAAAAGTTTATATAGCGTTTAAATATTGGTTGTAAAACATCTAAATTAAAATGTGTGTCAGTACCACTTTGTAAATAGTTAATATTTGGTTTATAAACCATCTATAAACATTACTTAGATGGTTATTGTAAAGTTAGGGTTAGGTTTTTAAAACTGTAAAATTTACAATTTATTAATGGTCTATATGCTATTTATAAATGATGATTAAACATTAATAAACTATCTACTTACTGTTTATAAATGGTCTATTTATCATTTATAAATTATGGTTATTGTAAAGTGTTACTGACATTTAGGTTATCAGGCTTAATGAACATTGTCAAGAGACATTTTTTCTAACTTGCTTTGAACAGTCTGTGTAAATAGAGGACAGTGAACAACCTAATTTAGGGATTATCTGCCAATCTATGTTAGGCAATCTAGTTTCAAACCTTTTTTGTTTAGTCTAGGATTAAGAATCAAAGACATTTGAACCACCAGGGCACATTAGTTCTTGAGCCAGCAGAGATAAGAAGAGTTTAAAGGTGTTTCAGAAAGACTTAAAGGGGAGAATGACTCAAAAGAGCTGAGACACCACACCACACCACAGTACAAATTTCCTAATGAGATATATCATATCCATTGTTCTATCCAGGTGTGTTTCAGATAATAACCACTCACATGTGTTACCAAACCGAGAGCAGAGATTAAATATTTCCTAACTGTAGTTTCCTAACTCTGCTCTCTGTGAATAAGATCACATTCTGTTGCTGTATAAAAGAAGGTCGCACATTCAGATCTGCACTACAACCTTCACCACCATCTCCAGTATACTCTTCTGAAGTTGTGAGGACTTGAAGGTAAATTCCTGTACCATTTTTTGATTGATTGTTCTTCCAGATTTAGAGAAGGTAAATGATCGGTAAAAAGCAGTTGTTTTGTTTTCCATTCAACAGGTGTGATCGCTGTAACCATGCTGAAGATAGCACTTGTTCTTGGATGCCTCCTGAGCCTGGCTTTTGCTCATCCCGTAAGTCCAATATATTCACTTGTAATACGATTGTTTTTCATGTTCATGGTATGAACGTCTTGGTGAAACACAGAAAACTATGATGGAGGAAATGTCAAACTTTGTGGTTCTTCCTCAGGACATGCAGCGCAGACGATTTGCTCGGTCTAGCTCTAGCTCTGGCCAAGATTCAGACTCAGATGAAGTGAGTGCTCTCTCTAATGACCAAAAACTCAACATTAATTCAGTCTGAAATGCAATGACTGTTATGCTGTGAATAAATGACTCTTTTTTTGTTTTTTTGTAGACCACCACTTCTACCACCACCACCACCACTGCTAACCCCACTGCCACCACCGCTGCCACCCTACCCCAATTAAATTCACAGCAGTTGGCTGCACTGCTCCAAGCCTTACAAGCCCTAATGAATTCAAGTGGATAACAGCCAACTGCCTGCTTATGCATCCCTGATGTGAATTCAGTGTCTTAATATAAAACATGAGTCAAATGTGAAAATGACTTTTGACACCAGCTTTGTTTTGCAGTGGTTTGTGACGACTCCTGTTGTCTGTTTTCAAACTTGTAAATCATGTTTTTGTCAAATGTAAAATAACTTTGACTCTGCAGCATCTACAAAATAAACAAAAACAAAAAAAAAATTGCTGTCAAACTTGTTCTCTTTTCTCATTTTCTGATAACATTGATGATGTTTGATTAAGTGTATGTGAAACATGGAAACAATCCGATCGTTTCCACACCTTTATAGTTTCCTGTATAACATTTCTGTCTGTATAAGATGCCATTAAGCATATTACACATCTTGACACATGATGCTGCAAGTGAACTAACTACTGTTGCATTCAATATATTTCCAATCAGTGCAACCCAGCATAATCTAACATCAAGAGAAATACACATAACATTAAAACAGATGAGGAAGTAAAAGCCAGACCAAACAAGTGCGTCTCAAGTTACTATTTAAAGGAATCGACAGTGTCTACTGATCTTAAACCAAAAGGAAGTGAGTTCCAGAGAGTGGGAGCAATGACCATGAAAGCACAGTCTCCTTTGGTTTCATATCTGGAGTGTGAAACAGCTGGAAGACCCTGATCGGAGGACCTAAGAGTCCCACCTGGGGTTGTAAGGTTTTGATAGGTCTCTAATGTAGGCTGGTGCCTGACCACGCAGGGCTTTAAAAGGAAACATAAATGTTTTCTGAAATGTTTGGGAAGCCAGTGGAGAGAATACAGAAATAGTGTAATGTGCAACGTTTTTGAAGACTTGGTAAGTAGTCTGGCAGCAGCGTTTAGCACTAACTGCAGACGACTTATAGATGTTTTACTCAGACAAGTGAAAAGTGAGTTACAGTAGTCTAAACGGGAGGAAATGAATGTGTGAATACATCTCTGTCTGAGCTGCAGGAACCATAAGTCTTATGGGGCGTTCACACCAAGCGTGAGTATTACTTGCTTTATTCGCGCAAGTAATTAGTACGAAGATCGCGTAGCTCACCCGGGGGATACACTGTTTGAGCGGAGTGTCATCACGGCGACTCTCGGCAACTCTCCAGCCAAATGCATAAATGCTACTGAGCAAGTGGTGGATTCTGAGAGCAATTGGGCTTCAAATTCATATAATGACAGAAGGCCGAGCCAAGCTGTCCATAGTATATACACAGTCTTTGTGGAAGGCCTCATAACTGTCGGGGATGAAGGTGCTGCTGTGTCTGGGTCTCCTCCAATAGCTGCGCCTGGATGACAGACATTTCGGTATTTTCTGGTTACCTGAACCCAATTTGATAGAGCAAGAATGAACCAGATTACTGGCATGTTTGTCTAAAATCAAGGAGTGGCCAAATGAAACACAATGTGGAGAACAGGTTTAACACAAGTGTACAAGGTACCAAATTTCTCCTTAATTCCTGGCTTTAAGCCATCTGGGGCTGAGACAAGGACCTCTAATTTGACAACATCTAGCTCAAGAAAGTTATCTGCTATCTTAACTGTTATGGCACTAAAACAACAGAGAAAAACTGACACTTGAGTATAATTTTGAGGAAAAATAATGCAACTAGTCAAACAATGATCAATGCTCCTATTGCTGCGCATACAGACCACAATCAAAGGTTTGAAGCTGTCAGATTTATTGACGCAACTCTATCCCCTATAACTAACTTACTTTCACAATACATTGTGGTGATTAATGAAACACTTGATGCCTGTTGCCTGCACTGTGGTCAGAGACGTCCTCAAGTCTCTATGAGTCAGTACATTTTTCCAGATGTACTGCTGTGATGTTTCTACTTGGCCAAAGAGTTTCACCGATTTCACCTCAACACTTCTCTGCTGGGGTCAGACTATATACGAGTCTGATTCAATATCAATAGTATTGGGATTTGACACCTACATATAATGAAAATATGGTTATCATTCTGTAACCTGGGAAGCCATTACTTGCAAATAGTTGAATAGAGGAGATAGCTGTATCAATGCATGCAATACTGATGAAATGTTTTTTTTGTTTTTTTTTGTCTGATTTTTAGCACATATATAAATGCTGTAATCAGCTGTAAGTGCTTCAGTGAGCAGCCAGAGTACAGCTGACAGAGCCACATATTCAGTAAAGAGATTAGAAAATATAAACAAAGAGAAAAACAAACTATGCAGGGATAAATTACAGAGAAAACTACCTCACTATTAGTGTTTTGGTATCTGTTTGTCATGTAGTAGTATGATCAGAGCAATACTGCCACCATGTAGCTGTTAAAGGCAACTGCAACCACAGTAGAGTAGAAGCATGCACTGATAATACAGCTGCTTTGGTGGCATTTATGAAATTAATCATGAAATATCATGAACATGTCATCCTGTTTGATTCATTTCTCTGGGCCTGTCCTCAGATTATTTTACAATGTATAGTATCAAATTCTTTGAAATAGAAAATGCTTTAATACTTCCTATTAGTAATGACTTGGTTCAGGACCAGAGATGAAACTAAACCAAACAAATCAAAAAGTTAGCAGTTTCCTTATTGAATATAGTGAATTTCCCCTATAAAGTTTTCAAAAATGGCCTGACAGGCAGTGTGAGGTTGCTCATTGACAACCATTTATTGTGTGAGTGAACGTATTATCTTCAGAAATCTGAGTCGATCCGAAGAACATGCAAGGAAAGAAAAACAACAGCAACTTAAAGGAGTATAGCGACATTTTTGCCTCACAGTCAGACTCAACATGTTTACGGTAGCTTCAACTTATATTTTTGTTCCCTCAGTTTGCACAAACTTGACTGTGTATCATGATCCCTCACCTCATGTGATCAGATGCCAGAAATGTTGTAACTCCTGTGATGTTAAACTTATATGTGCAACGCATCATAAAACTGAAACGAACTTTTTATGAGCAGCTTGTCCTGGTACACTTCACTTTTATCCCTGAAGGCAAACTGTTCTGATTTATTGTCTTTATCCTTAAGTATTACTGAGAAGATACTCACTTAGCGAAAACACAGCCCTTTCTTATTACAGCTCAAATTTTTCTGTATTTAACCAAGCTGTTTTGGGGTGTAAAAAATTGTACAGGGGTCTGAAGATAACTAACTAAACAATGCTAAAAGATCAATATTTAAAGCTCCTGTGAGGAGGTTTTTTTTATGTTTGTGAAAAAGACTGAAATTCATATTGATGCTGTTTTATGATAAACAAACACAAGCAAGACCATCACTGGCAAGAGTGACGATTTTTTGAACAAGTGTGAGAGGACAGGTGCCAGCCAAGCAGCAGCTTAAACCGCCCTGTATTTAGACTTTCGACATGAAATATCCACAATGAATGATGCCCCAAGACATTACTTTAGCATGTAGAAGGCAAAACAAGCAAAAATTGATTTGTCCACAGGGGGCGCCAAAGTTGACGCAAACCAAAAGTTCCTCAAAGGAGCTTGAAAAAAAAAAAAACTAATATAATGTAAGTGAGTCAAAAAAAACCAACCAACCAACCAACCAACCAACCAACCAAACAAACAAACAAACAAACAAACAAACATAACAGATCAAAAAGCCAAAAATACTGAATAAAATGCTTGATAGGCTTCATTTTAAATCACAATTTTAACATTCAAGGTTAAAACTGAGAGTTATTTTATTTGCAAACTTGCTCCATAATGGGAAATTACTCTTCTAATACCCTTTGTCGGCCCTGGGGAAAAAAATTCAGGACATTTGAAGCAGACCGTACAATGTAATGACCATTATAAGGAAATAAAAGAGGTCCACCCTCTGTAAAGAAGATAATTACAGTATTTGGAAATAATTGAGCAAGTTTTTTTTACGCTCTTTTAGAAATATTACAGTTTTGCAATCTCGTGCGTATGTGTGTGTCAGAGTGTGATCAGCAGTACAAATTGGGCTTAGTGGTTAATTCAGCTCAGCATGTGTCAGTAAATACTTTAAGTCTTTAAGGATTGTAAACAGGATGTGGGCCTTTAATATTACAAAAACACCGTCTAGTCTGGGTAACGAAACTGTGTTCACGCCTTATGAGGTTTTGTCCGCGGAAGTTGCTATGAAACCTACCACAAGTGACATGAAGTAACACACCTTTTAAGCGTGAGAGCAATGTGTGCAATCACAGGCTGTTTAAAAGCTAATGGGGTTTCTTAAAGGGACCAGCGTGAAGGTTGCGAACTCGGGCTAAATGTGTTCTTCATTATTAAGCTGTTTGCACTCTGTGGCACTCAGGCAGCTCTGACTATTAAGGGAGTTGACTAACACTTAACATGCAAGATGAAGTTCCTTGTGCTGATGATATTCTTCTTGATCAATTCCCCTGTGGCTGTAAGTATGTGCATCACATTTCATAAAGGCACTTATCTTGCTCCTAATGTTGTATCTTTTAAATGACTTGCTGCTAATATCTATTGCAAATCTGTATTGTCTTTGATCTGTTTTGTATTTGATGTTTATGCAGAGTTGTGATTCTAGCAGCAGTGATTCCAGCAGTAGCAGTGAATCTAATGAGGTAAGAAAACCCTTTTTAACCCTATCATTTAAAGACTAAAGTGAGTGAAATGTTTAAATGAGGGGTTTAGCCTTCTATAAATGCTTCACTGCTTCCTTTGTCTTGTTATGGAGGGGGTCCAGCAGCCGACTGATCCCTTATTGATCCTTCTCTTGCAACTGTTACCTGGACTGCTTCCACCGCCTCCTACTATGCCAACGACACAACCAACCACAACCACACAAATCCCTGCAACCACCGAGCCCAGAGGAGACAGCGGTTGAACTCTTCTGAGCAGATACTTTGCTCTCAGCAGATTCTCGTATCAATGAGTGAGGTTACATTTACTGCATACATGTTGTTGGTATTTCACCATGTCGAAGCAATGTGTAAAATTCATGTTACCTACTTTTATGATTATTAAAATCGTATTCATCTTATGATTCACTTTTCAGCATACAACCTGCAGCTTTTCCACATTTCTGTGTCCTTCTGTGTACCTTCTTTTTTCCATTTCTAATAATATCAATGGGCCAGATGTCAGTCACTTTACCACAGTCCATATAAAAAGATCAAGAATGTAGTAATAGACTTTTTATTTGGGAAGTGTTCAGGCACTTTGTCAGGGTGTAATTATGAGCTTGCAGAGGCGCAGACACCTATGGCAGGATGCTGACGACACCTGGGTGTAATATCCACTCACACAAGCCCATCCAAAGATCACCAGGGCTTAAGAAAGGGATGAATGTTGAGCCTGTAATATCTGACTGTTTGCTTCATCAGTGAAGTCCCACTGTACTTTTACTCTGACTCAGCCTTTTGACGTATTGCCATTTATAGAACTGCACTGAAATGCTGTCCTGCATTTATTTACAGAAAACTAAACATAATATAAACCGGTTTTACATCCACCCAAATAAACTTGTGGTTTATGTATTTCCTAATGCATGTCGGTAATACTTTTTATAAAACCTGCTCTGCATCATGAATGTAATCCTGTTTCCCTGTTTCTTTTTTTATGTCTGTATGACTCGCAGAGATTTTTTAATAACACAAACCAACCAAGCAACAGGCCGAGGTTGATCAATTCATTTTGAATCATTCACCAATGCATCTGATGACAGTTTTGAATCATAAAACTCTCAAGATAATGAAAATGCTAATGTGTGGATAATTTAGAGAGACAGCTATCTCTCCTTTGTGTTGTGGTGTTAAAGCTAAACTTCTGGTTTCTGCTGTTTTGGGCGCCCCCCTGTGGGGAAAAAGTTGCACCTGTACATGCAAAGGTAGAATTTTATTACTAAATTTTGACTTTTGTTTTTATTCAGTCAGTTAAATGTTAAAACATCTATTGTCTGGTCTGAAACCTACCACTGAACAGCAGTTTCAGATATTAGAAATTGAAATATAGATATAATTAATCTTGATGATGACAATCGTGTTTGTGTTTGTAGGTCCTGGAGAGGCACCAGTACCAATTTTAGTCTGTTTCACAACCAATCAAAAACTTCTCACATTGACTTTATGAGAGATTTTAGCAAGTGAGACTTTTTTTTTTTTTTTTATAAATGGTGTTAAGTATCAAGTAAAAGTTATTTAGTCCTGGCATGTGTGTTTAAGTCCAACATGCATGAATAAAGATAAACTTTTGTCTGTAAACTTTGACCATTTGACAAGTTCTTGATTAGTCCAGGATACCAACTCCCTCTCAGGTCATGTCGTTACAAAACTTTTTGAATTCTGAGCAGAAAAAAATCAAACAGTTTAAAGACAAATCATAAAACATCTTGAGCAATAAACAGTCAGCGGACTTTCAGCAGTTACTGTGTTCGTTGTTTTTCTTGGATAATTTGTCAAACATAGACTGACAGTTAAAAATGTCGTACGTATTTCTTTTAGCCTTCAGCTTCAGTCTGCACTTGTGTGTACATGCAATCTCACGAGGGTGCGGCTAAGGAGACATACAGTAAATGTGCGGACACAGCAGCAGGAGTTCACACAGTAACAGCAGTGTCAACCTTTCACAATAAAAGCTGAGTCAAAATATAAAAATGCAAAACATGCCAGAATAATGTGAATTAAGTGCCATGATTTCAAAATAGATCATAAATTTCTTACCAGGACTTCAATTCATAATATGTAACAAAAGTGAACTGCAGTGACATGAGAGCAGTGAGAGCTAATTGCTCATATTGCTTGATAGTGTCAGTACTTTTTAAAGTAAATTTAATGACAAAATTAGGTCTTTGAGCTCACTACTAAGCAACGACCATTTTGTAAGACAAATATGAACAATTATTGCATTATATATATGGTTATTTTGTAGAAGAAAACATATAAAGGTCCAAGTTATGATGAGTGTTAAACTGTTAAACTGATAAAAGACGTTTGACATACAAATGAAGTTTCCTGTCCTACAATGAACTATCAGCAGGGTTAGATATCTATCTTCAGTTAAAAGTATTTGGTCTTTTTAGTTTTTATTTTTCCAGCCCTTAGCTGTAATGTGCACTTTTGTCTATGCAGTCTCGAGTGGGTCCAGCATGCAGTCAGCAATCAAAATAAGCACCTAAAAACCAATCTCACAACTCACTGGGTGAATCGCTTTTTTAACCCTGAAAAGTTTGCAGATTTATTTGTCCCGTAGACTCACCAATTTACTTTTTTTCATGATTGTCGCCTACGTGGTCCCACTGAAGCGCTTACAAAGACATGGAGGGAACAAGCAAACTGGTCTGAACCATCAGGTTCAACCCAGTCTTCTTGCTTTGAGACCTCACGCTAACTACGACACCTTCAAGTTGCTTCCACATACATATTGTTGCTTATAGTTTCACTGCAGATGAAGCATATTTTGACCATAATTAGAGAGATGAGACACTGACACATCAACCGCACCCAGATATGCTCTGAGTAACAGGAAAACCTCAAGGCCTGGCTTCTCGGGGGTTTGTTTATTCCATTCTGTAGACATTACTGCATTGTAATTGAAGGAAAACAGACAGTTTAAGCTCTTACACCTCGTTACTTCATATGCCTGAGAAAATTAGGCTGAATTTGTCTCTTTTTTTTTTCTAACATGTCTGTCATATCTGTTCTGTCATTGGTTGTTTTGCACCGTGAGTCGTGCATAAGTCGATGCCTGCTCTCACAGCGTTTCACTGAATTTTCTCCAAGTGCTCTCAGTGGATATCTCTGTCTGCTTGTTGACCTTTGTGGGAATCAAGTCCAAACCACAGTGACTTTCCTGTTCCTCGTTTTGGAAATGTTCATCATACTCCTGCTGTCATGTTTAACCATAATAGGCTCTGCAGTACCAGTAAGTCTCTTATTTATTGGTGATACTCTAACAATACTTCCCATGTTGTCTTTGACTTTTTTTTTTAACCTGATGTGCAACCTGCTTTTGCATTTTCAGGTTCTTCCTAGTGACCCTCCTCTCGAGGTTTCCCAAGGGGGACCCACTGAAGCTCAAACAGCTCAACCTCTTAAGGTCACGAATCAGAAGCCTGATGCTTCTCAGACACCAGCCCCCCAGGTGGAGCAACCACCGCCTGGGATCTCCCAGCAGCCAGGGTTTCAGGCTCAAGGTGGAGTCCAGTTTCTGCCTCCTGCACAATTCTACACCTGGTATCCACTAGGGGGCAGTCCAATGTTTATCCCTCTGCAGCCCAGCATTGGAGGATCAACTATGAACCAGCCGTCAGTCCCACAGCAACCCCTGGTAGGACAAAAAGAGACGGAAAAGAAAAAAAAACTTAAAATTTTGATAAACAGTGAGTCAAAATGAAACTTTTTTTTTTGTTTTTCTCTTCAGCTTTTCTCTCCTTATAGTTACTTCCCCTTCTTTTCATCCCCATACATGAATCAAATGGTGAGTAAACATTAAGAAATTAACTTTCTACATTCTTAATCCAATCCTAATCCAATCATTATGCACTGCAGACATTACTTTGTGCATTGTACAGCTTTGTGCACACTGTATTGCACAAGTATTTCAAACCACTCAGTTCTTGGCCAGTTATACCCAGAGGTCTTAAAAGAGTGCCTGCAGTGTATGTTTGGCTGTCATCACTCACATAGCATAACAGTCAGTGCTGTTGAAATTGAGACGTCCTTATTTTGCTGTTACATGATTTATGGCTTCGATATAATCTGAAACATAAATCCTGGTTTGTCTTGAAAATGTTTATCTGCCCTGAGCCATACTGCTGCTTTAACTCTCTGTCTTTAAATGTCTGATATTTGCAGAGAGAGAGAGAGAGAGAGGGTAAAAATAGCAGTATGGACTCCATGCAAAAGATGATGATGTAAAATATACATGTCACTTTTCTCTTTGCACAGTTTTCTCCACATGGATGGAACATGCCTCCACAAAATCTAGCAAATCAACCTCAGAACAGTCCGGCGTTACCTGCAGAAACCCCTGCTGCTGCCGCTGCAGTGCAACCTGTGGGGAATGCACCTCAGCCAGTGCAGCAGCAGCAGCAACAACAACAGGTGACTCTACTTCTATAGAGCTGAAGAAAATAGCAGAACTTACTCTGCTCAAAATTGTGCAAAGTCAGTGGAAAGGATAAGTTGAAGTGTTCTCAGACTCTTACATTCTTCCACAGAATTCTCAAGTTGTCTACATGCTCCAGCAGTCCATGGTAAAAGCAACATTAACTCTGTAACCCATTCACCATGATTTACGCTCAGTCTGGATTCATACTTCTCTTAGTGATGATGTTTTGTTTGACATTTGCTGTTATTCTTTCCCAGAACCTTCCAGTTGGCAGTCTCAGCTCAGAAGAACTCGAGGTGACTCCGCCAAGATTTTAACCGCTCTTCAAGCTTGTTCAAACAATCTGCGCTGTGAACTCAGTGATCCCTCTGATGTTTCCTCTTCGCCCTCCCTCGCCTCTAACAAACTCTCTCTTCTCTTCTTTGTTTCAGATGGCGGCTAACACGGGCCAGCTGGGTGTGTACCTGACTTCTGTGCTCACAAGCCCACCTGCAGGTGCCGTTCAGCCTGTAAACCAAGCCGCTGGACTGAAAAACCCAGAACAGCAAAGCTTAGTGCCAACTGTGGGGACCTCGTCAGCTGGAGCGGCAGTGACACAGAGCCTACAGCCCCACGCTGAAGTGATCCCTGCAGGTCTGGAGGGACCGACAAAGTCAGCAGGAACAGTCCAAACACCTGTCCAAGCTGAAGTCCAACCCACACAGGCGAACCCTGTCTGAGGGAGCTGCCAGTATCAAAGATAACTCATAACCTAGGGATAATTCAATTACACAGAATCACTGATTTAACACATATTGTACACTAATGAAAAGTCAGTGCCTAACATGTTGGTATTGGACCAAGCCTACTTTACGTTTTTCTGCATAGAATAAAGGTTTATTGTTTACAGGATTTAAATCAATAATCTGCATCTTACACCAAATGTTTTTGACACTGAAGTAGCAGCTTCTTTAAATCTATGATATAGATCATCTTTAACGTTCATCTGAAGTCGATTTTGTGTCCACCGGATCAATAAACTTCCAGTTCCCACTCTTTCCTTTTTACTCTTGTTTGGTTTGTTATTTTATCTCCTCCAGTTCCCGAGTTAAATATCTGTCTCTTCAGCCACTTAACGCTTCATTATGTTTAACAGATAGTTGCTAACTTGGTCTGTCTTCTTTTTGGAAGTGCTTTGGTGCACAACAGGTTTTTAAATGTGCCCTCGACTTCCAAAAACAAGGCTGACGACATCGTGAGTCTGGACCAAAACAGTAATAAGAGCGATGAGCTATGAACCTAAAATACCTGAGCTAAACATGCAAAATCTTACCAAGGAGCGAGGAAATTGACTGTGGATACCAAGGTATATATATAATATGATAGCAGATTAGATCAGATTGTTATTTTACTGGGTAAAAAAAGCAGTGAATTCATTGGTTGAACCAACATAATTTGTGGGACTACAAATGGAAATCAGCAGATCACTAATCTTTCTGTTTTACCATGAATAAATGGTTCTCACTGCACACTGTCTCTGTTAAATAAACCAAACTAAAACAAAGTCAAACACTGATTTAGCTCTACTTTATCATTGTGCGGATGAAATGTTCTCCACTTGTTGAAAACTGGATCAAAGTCAGACTAACTCAGTCCTACTTTTTTGATTAATGAAATCTGTCATGGACAACATGTTCCCAACAGCCCTCTCTTCACCTCATTCATCTTATCAAAGCCAATCAATGACAACCCATTTATAAAGGATATTCCATCTGTTCAGAACATAAGAGTAAGATTTGTTTGAGCTTTATCAACTGATGCAACATCTAAAACTTGGACGGAGTGCAAACTCCATCATAAATTACATTCAGACGACATTACATTTGATTTGGGGTGACACAGTGCTGGTCTTCTCAGTCACTATGGCTGGCTGTTTTCTCTATGGAGTGAGGCCAATGGAAATCTCGGCTGTGTTCCTGCAGATCAATCAACATATATGATAAAAAACAACCAAGAAGATGAGCAGATCCCTGCTAATATGTGCAAACAAACTATAGAATAATCCCACTAAGCAATAGACATCTAGTTAGTTTTTTTAAAGACCTAATTTCAACCGCCTAGATTCGTTTTTAGACGGAATTTAGACATTGCACTTTAACCCATTATTCGATAACTGTTTATCTAAAAAAAGCAACTGTGAGTTGCATAACTGATCTCCAAGTACTTCACCAAAATAAGTTTGATAGCCGTTGAGCAATATACAGTGTAGTATAGATATAGCCCAGATTTAGACTTAGTCTAAATTTAGACGTCTAAAAAACGTTCATTTTTAGACCTGTGGTATCCTGATTTTAGACCAGTTGTCTAGGCTACATTTAGATCTCTATTAGACCTCTTTTAGACCAAAAAAAGCTCAGTGGGAAACTAGAACTTATTCATTCAATCACCTGGAATTAGTCATGATTATCCGTATCTTTTGAAAATATGTTTAAGTCATTGACAAAAGATGATTGAGGGGTTTAATTCACAGTCTGGAAGTCAGAAGGAGTGAGACCTGGCACAGCAGCTGCAACTGGTATAATTATGCTTCCAATTATTGATAACTTTAAGGCTTGGTGTAATTAAAATGGGTGTGTTATTAAAAAATACTGTACAGTTGTGCAAAATGAGCCAAAGTGCTTTGTACCTTTTTTTTTGACCTGGCAGGACAAAAATGAAACATGTTTAATTCTGCTCTTAAGGTCATTTCAATGTGACGGGAAGAAAAATGACTACTTTTTAAAAGCTAGCCTCACATGACCCCTGTACTAAATGCAGTGAGTGCGTGTCTTCATTTTTCAGCCGAGGAGGTCACTGTTGTTGTGAAGTCTGCAGTGTGAACCCATAGTTTCTTCCTCCATGTTAAAGAATAACAATTTGTGTCATTAAAAGGCCTGCAATTGCAGTGTTTTTCTGCACACTGACAGCATAATGTAGGAGCTGGTCGCACCATCGTGCTGAGCTACCTTTTCTTCACAGATAATGGATTTTGTCCAAAGTGCAGCACTTAAGTGTCTCCGCAGGCTCATATTGAAGTGACAGTTTGAATTCTGTACTAGTTGGCTGTCTGAGTTTTACTGCCATTGAACCAAACAAAGCCATTAAATCCATCTGTAGTTAACAAAAAGTGAGGGGGTCCGTTAGAAACAAGAAGGACTATCCATTTAAGTAGGCTTAAAGCAAGATGTCAGTAATGTAGAGTGTTTCTTATTTTAAAAAAAGGACATAAAAGGATTGTGATAAACAAGAGTGTCAAAGATTAGGCAAAAATAGGCGGGTTACTAGATTAAAACAACATTAATCTTGGTGATTAAATACAGGTTTTGATCATTTTTAAAGCAAAAAATAGAATGTTTGCTTTTTCCAGTGCACTGAATAAAAGGAAGTGCCTTTTTTCTTTGTGACATTATTATTGTAGTGATTGTAGACTTTTAGGCTTTAGACAGTTGTTAAGACAAAAGGGGTAAAGATATTAGTAAAGCAGCTTTCAAAAGTCTAACTTTTCCACCTCTGTATGGACTTAACCCTTTTTAAACAGATGCTTTTTTTAAAATACAAATAATATTGTATATCAGCTTTAATTGGGGGATTAAAAATAGCATTAACGTGCATTCCTAGACAAAAATGAGTATGAGGTTTCCCACAGAGATAAAGCAGCCAATTTTGTCACTGTAAAAAAGTGAAATATTTGGCATTTTACCAACGCCCGTCATAGGTTCGCTCGCCCTACATGCCCTCTGCCGATAAATAGAAGAAAATCTCTCCTCAGTAATCACTCCCCTCCTCAACAACACTCCAGTGCTCGTGTGCTGCCATAAAGCAAAGGTAATACTGACAGCTAACATCACATGGCATTTAAAAAAATAATTATCTGTTTGAACATCGTTTTTTACTGCATATTTTTAAGCCTGATGACTTAAAAAACTCTCTTTGACAGCCTCATTCAAGATGAAATTCATCCTGATTGCTGCCTGCATCCTGGGGATGGCTGTTTGTGCGCCTGTAAGTAATATATATCTTTTCTTATTTATTTTAGCACTGTATCATTGAAGATAATTGGAAAATTATAACCTTCTCTTTAGACCCTAGTTGTAAGAAAGCTTGAAATCACGACATCTAATCCATATCCGATGGATTGTGAAATCCTTTTCTCTGTTACCTTTAAAAAACTTGTATCCATAAAAGTTTGAAGAGTCAAAGGTTTCAGACTGACCTTCTGTCCACTGATCCAGCAGTATTTTTTTCCACTCCACAGCCCGAGATGTACATGGAGTTCGACATCCATCACGCTCCGGCTGAGGTACAATAAGGCTTAGATCTGTATCATGTCACGCACTCAAACCACAGTAAAAGACACATTTTAGAAACACTGCCGCGTAAGCTCTGCAAACAGGTCAGCTATCATGTGTTCATCACTGATGCTTGTGCCTCTACTTGAAAGTACTGATGGCTTTTTTTTTTTGTACTGGTAGATTGCTGTGTTTCTCATCTGGAGGATGAAATGATTGAAATTATTTTCACAGGCAATTCAAGCTATTCCTGCTGGAGCTCTACCTGACTCTCTGGATGTGGTTAGACCTCATTTCTGTTGTTGACTCCTCTTAAGTTTATTTTAAAGCCATAATCAGTGTTTTGACACTAACACTGTGTTTTCTGTCCCAGCTGCTACCAGTTGATGCCCAGAGACGGCTTCTTCCAGGACCTGTGAGTCTCAGAGTTTGATTTGCATTCAGTACTTTACTGTACGGGCTCTAACCCAAAGAATTCAAGATGCAATGAAAGCCCACAGTGGTTTCAGGATAAATACTTGATAGCTTTTACAGTCCAACTAGAGGCAGTTCATAAACCACAGAGTTGATCCAGATGAACCTCGAGAACTGTCGTTTTAAGTGCTTTCTGGAGATGAAGTGTGTTTTGATTGGAGTTGCTGTCAGTTTTTATTGCTTGTGTAAGACTGCGTGTGTTTTTATTGGCGCTTCTGTCAGTTTTTATCGCTTGTATGAGATTGCATGTGTTTTGACTGGAGTCTGTGTCAATTTTCAACTCTTATTTGAGCCCACATGTGTTTTGATTGGAAGGTCCATGGCTTCATCAAGCATGAGATCCCTCATCCAAGTGGCGTAGGGACCAAAGATGTGGTAAGTGCCTGCTGATATTTGTTACTCTGGCAAAAAGAAATGGGAAGTTTTATTCAAGTGCATTTTTTTCTTACACTTTCTCATCTCCTCCAGTACATCCCCTTTGGTTTTGCTACCGCCCCTGCTGCTCCTGTTGCTCGTGTCGTCCCTGCTGCTCCTGCTGAAACCATCATTCCTGTAGTCCCTGCAGCTCCAGCAGCTCCAGCAGCTCCTGCAGCTCCTGCAGCCCCTGCAGCACCAGTAGCTCCTGCAGCTCCAGCAGCTCCTGTAAGAAAAAACCCCAACATATTTCAGTTTTAAATTATGTAACTTTGAATGAAGACAAGAAGTGTTCAGGGCAATGAGTTCATTCTAATGAAAGCCTATTGCATCACAGACTAACCATCCTCCAACTATTTTTTGCTGAGGTGTGACTCATAAGCAAACACCCACGAGGTGACACTTAGTTCTGATAGGCTCAAGAGAAATCCACTGTCATTTCAGGCTGCCCCCCTCGGAGACGATGACGACGATGATGATTAAAAAATTCAGATTCAGCAGGATGCTTGCAGAATTATGCATGGACAGGTACATGTCAACATACTTATTAGTGTTTGACTAACACTCAGTGTGAAATAATTTTCAATGCATGAATGAATCCATCAAAAATATGAATGTTTAAATCTGTTTTTCCTCTCCTGCTATAGTTGGTGTTTGCAGTAAGACCAGTGGCCTACCTTGCAGAAAGATGACCCATGATGCAGTTTTTAAAAGAATAACAAATATGGTGCTTTCTTTCCTTCTAAAAGAAAATACTGTCATGCACTTTTAGAAGGAGACAAAGTGCTCTGCAGATTGTGCTTTGCTTTTCAATGAGAAAAAGTGTAAAGAGTGCTGTGTATGAAAATAAAAAAAGGTGCTACGCAGTGACATATGAGCGCGTTTTTATTCCAGTTATCAGTTACACTCACTTGCAATCATATATTTTATTTCTATAATGCAACAAATACAAAGAAATCTTACACTCTCTTCTTCTTTTCTGCTTCAAATAAGTTTGGTTTCTGGGATATTAAGAATGAAAAAAGATGCACACTCATGTACTCATCCTGCTTCCAGCTCAGTCATAGTGCACAAACCAAGAACCACACTTGGCATGAACCACCCGATCATTATAAAAGTATGCTAGTACAATTCTGCTGTTTTTCACCACAAATATGAAAGATACAACTGAAGACATGGGAAAAGATTGGCATTTTAGGGTTATTAAAGTGAACACGTTAGACAAATCATACTTGCAATAGTCCTGTCCCCTAAAATTCAATGAGTAGAAGTAGAGTTTCTGTAATCTGTTGTTCTCAGAAGGTCTAAATTCTTAATTAGTGATATAATATTGCAGAGTTTGACATTCACACTAAAGTTGCACTGAACTAAAAAAAAAATAAGATTGCAGAACGATGAGCAAGCAGAGTGAAGGTTTGCACTGCTCTAGACAGTGTAATCTAACAGAGCCTACTATTAGACAGAAAGTGGATTTGACCACTGGTCATTTAGTAAAGCTGGAGACTAGACATCTTCCCTGCACCTACTCATTGGGTAACATCACTACCACCCACTGTGATTGGCTCTCAGGTGAGTAAGTTCCCTATAAAAGTCGGAGAAACTTGATGGAAGATACGATTGACTGGCATCACCTCCTCAAACAGCCACATCCATCAGCCTCTTCAGCCTGGTTTTATCACTGAAGGTGAGTAACAAAGAACTTCAACATCAGTTCAAAAAAGGATATCAATCCTCCAATATAACTTTGATCGGACTTTCACTGATTTGATGATGAAATGTGTCTGTAGGACTTAAATTATCTGCAAATATGAAGCTGGCCATCCTCTGCCTGTGTCTGGCGAGCACAGCCGCAGCTGCACCTGTAAGTTTTTGAGGAACCAACAGTGGGTCACCATGTCTTTCAACTCAGTGTTCAGCTTTATCATTTATTTCTCTTCACTTTTCTCTTTCTTTCAGTCCTTTTTTCATTACCTGCCTCATTATGCAGGTGCCAGACAGGTGCCCCCACAGCAGGTAATCCTGATGTTTGCTGTTTAACTTCTGTGCAAAAAGGGTTTTGGTTTAATTATGAAAAATGTCCGCTGTTTGCCACACTGCATGAAAGGATTCCTCCTGTTGAATCAGTGTTTTTATTTCCGTTCAGGTGAAAATTCCCTACACTGCTAATCAGGGTCTGCCACAGCCTGGATTGCCTGGTGCCTACAGCGTGGAGTTTGTAAGTCACACTCCTTCTTAAAATCACTCATTTTGGTGATAGTCATTGAAAACGCTTACAGTACATGTCTGTTTGTTAGCTCTACCCACACCGGCCTGTTGGTGGCGCAGCTGGATCAAACACAGCCCAGGTCAGCACTCTTTAAAAAAAATGAAAACAAGCAGTTAGAAACCACAGCCTCACAATGGGCTGCTCCTCACTGATTTCTTTTGTTTTCTTCTCTCGCTTTCCGCAGCCTTTTCCCTCCCACGGTTTTATCAAGTACTCCATCCCTCAGCCACCAGGCAGACAGAGCGTGGAAGTTGTAAGTGTTTTTTTCCGTCTTGTATTTTCCCCTCTTTCAGGTTTCAGACTCTAATGGAACTGAAAACACTTCAATTACTGTTATAAACATGCCTGGAACAAAAGAAAATTGTTGGGTCATTTTGTTCTTGTTTTGTCTTTTCTACATTTGCAGTACTACCCCTATGACTTCTATCAGCAGAGGGTACATTTCAGACTTCTTTTATTTCCATTTGCATAAAAAAATATAAAATAATTGATCTGTTTTCACTGGGACTAAATGCTGACTGACTGATTTTCCTTTTGCTTCAGATACTTACAAACATCCCTCCTATGACGAACGTCCCTCAGATCCCAAATGTGAGATTTCATTTCTTTATTCTTAATCCTGCTTTTTGATCTTTCTGTCCATATTGACATGAGAGGTAGAAAAATCAACTCTTCAATCCGTCTGTCACAGGTGCTGCCATTTGACCATCCACCCCAAACTGTCCCACAAATACCAAACGTAAGAAAAATCTTAAAATACATGTTAATGTTTGCTCTCTCCTCATGCAGTTTTTCTGAAAGTGACTTCTCTCCTTTCTTAGATTCCTACATTTGATGCCAACCCCCTTCCATCCCAGGACCCCCTGCAGCCCCTCCAGCAGGACCAGCCCACACAGACAAGCCAGGTACATTCACGAAGAGTAAACACCATGTTGACTAAAGCTGCCGAGCTAAACTGACTCAAGTTGTGTTATGTAACTCCGCAGATGCCAGTGAAGGTGTGAAGTGGACAAAAGGCTTGAAAAGAATGTGTAAAAATGGCTTCCTTGTTTTAATTCAGTGATCTGCTCTCAGATATATATGATGTTGAGTCGACTGAATCTGTTTCTTCAACACTTGAATGTGCTCGCAACCAAATTTTTGACTACAAAAGTAACCTATTTTAAGAAATAATAATGTTTCAGAAGTTAACTCAATTTTGACAGAAGGAAACACATTTCTGAAGAATTTTCTGCTTTCCTTAATATTCTTAATAAATTATTAATATAAATGTATGGATGAAGTACTTTATAATGCTGCAGCTCTGTAGAGTGAGAATATACTGTATTTGTTTATTTACCACTTTGGACTTTTCTTCAGTGTAATATTCTTTTAAAAATTAAAGTAAGTTTTCAAGCAATTTTTTGGTGTTCATTGAAGTTCAACGTGACCTGCTGATCATCATTATAATATAAGAATTTTACTGTTTGAATTATATTATATCAGAAAATCCTAAATTGTGCGTGTATAAACTTTCCAAGCTCTAGTTAGTGTTCAATTATGTGCCCTAAATTCTCTAAATAATAACAGAAAGTCAGAAAATTAACAAAACTTCATATTTGAAAGGGTTTGATCCCAAATTTGCTTAATTTACTTCTTGTTCTAGCTTTACACATGTGCAGATAACTGAAAATCACTTTTAACTCCCCCTGAAAAATATTGTTTGGTGTTAATTCCGGTTGGACATTGTTATCTATTTGTTGAACTACATGGTACAAATTTTAACTTATAGTGAACATTGTGGGTGAGTGACAGTGAGCATTACTTCTTACTTGTTCAGCAGAAAACTCTACATGGCTCCAAAAACGTGTTATAATTATGATAAATGATGCAGAACTCAAGTTTAGGGCCTAGACTCAAGCCCTAATTTTCAGCACTGGTAACTCAGACTTGGATTTGAGCGCTGATGTCCCACACTCATACTCTGGCTAAAGCACTGACGGCATTATTAGGATTCAGACTTATTGATTGATTGACTGTTTTATCACTGTTGCAAGAACCACCGAAGAGAATAGAGGAGGCAAACTCATTCTTTAACAGACTATCCAGGATGCACCCAGAAAAAAGTATGCTAATGCTAATGCTAATGCTGCTAAGCTTTAACTGTTGATAATGGTGCTGATTGCAAGCTGGCTAAGCCATCGAAAGCTGGTGGGATCCACAGTTATGTTTGGGTTTATTGGACACCTATAGTGATCCTGATGCAACAGAGTTGATGAGCATGTGGTGTAGATTTTTTACACACAACACTCAGTGCTGTAAGTTCATTGATGGTTTACACACTGACTGTCAGAATCTAATGTTAACGAGTGGAGTGTGTTTTCTCCAAATCTAGATTGTCACAGTCAGTCGGATTCATACAGTGAAAAATGAAACTTCTAGTTTGGTCTCTGCTTGGACTGAGACTCAGATGTGGACACTGAGGACTTGAGACTTGTTTGGTGACTAATTAGAGGACAGATTAATAATGAAAAGACACACATCTATGATAAGTCTTCCACTTGTACATGAATACTGACAACTCTGTGAACAGCCAGCCTATTCAGCAGTGACCTCTGCCGTACCTCCCTTGTAAAGGAAGCCAGTGATCATCTCCTGGAAAACTGTCAAGTCAGCAGCCATGATTGTGATTGATTGTGGTTGTGTGTACCGAACCAGTACAAACATATAATTATGATACGGGGAAAGGAAACTCACTGAGGCCCGACATGGGCTGGCACTTATCCTCCTAATAGCCAGATCGCAATTAGAGATCCTTTGGTGGAGCTCTGCTGGCGGTTCCATGGTCCAACAGTCAGTCAGGGGAGATCAGACCAGCAAAGTCGGTCCAGAGTTTTAACTCTCTACTCAAATCACAATATCACAGAAAGCTTACTTGTCAACTTTGTTTTTCCAATCTGCATGTATATCTTGGTGTGGGGCTTCCAGAGGCCCCGCTGCTCAGTTTATGATTTTGTGTCTCTTGGTGTTCCTTCATTTCTATCCTTAGTTTATCTGTGTTTGATTGGTTGTATTTTACAGTAATTAATCACATTCAAGTAAAGTGTTTTCTGTGAACTAGTTGGGTGACATTGTAGATATAGTTGTTTGCCTGAGAGGCCTGTGCAGTATGGTACTCCAGACATCTTTCACAACCAAATGTACACATGATGTCCACGAGATTCAAGCACACACATCTACACCTGGCATCTACACACATGGCAGTTACAGAGGTGTTATGTCGTGTGTTGCTGTGGCGAGTTAAAAGGACAAAACTCTGCCCCAACACGCCGGTTTCAAGACGAGTCCATGAACACCTCTGCGTCTGTGATAGAAGGCTGGAGAAATGAACATGCTCTGAACAGAATAAAACACCAAACACTATAAAGACTGTATCCTCATTTCAAGAAACACTGAACACCATTTTCTTAGTGTCAAATGTGGCCAAGAAAAATAACTACCGTAATTGGAAAGCTCTTCCTGATCTTTGCTCCCCTGGGGACAAAAACCTGTAAGAACACGACTTCATGTTTAGCACCTCAAAGACCCTTGAAGAGCACAGGCGCCATCCTCTCACGCTATGACGGTCTCTTGCCCATGAGCTGTATTTCATGGAACACAAGGTCTCATAAATTCATGTCTCCTACGGCCATAAAATGAATAGATGTCAACAGCAGGTCTGATCTAGCTTGTCACAACAGTATGACAAACTGTTATTAAACCACATAGATGCATATCAACGCACGTCAAGAAAGATGCCAACAGAGAAACTCACCAGCAAAGGAAATCTATCACAGAGAGGTGATAAGCTGAGGAGACATCTGCAGGCCCGAGTGATGAAAAAAAAAAGGCTGAAAAAGGTTTCTGCGACAGAATATGTGTAATTTTGATCCTTAATGAAAAAAAAAAAACACAGTTAAACTATTTCATGACTTAACCAAACTATAGGACTTTACTTATTTCCAGCTGCTTATTATTTTACTTTGGAGAGAAAAGGAAAGATCAAATAATTGTTCTATAGTCAGCCAAGGCGCCTGAATCAAGAGCAGGTTTAAGTTAATTACAGCCTCTTTCATTACAACCACACCTCAGACTGTGAGGTTGAGTTCTCACCCAGCTGTAGTTTACAGTGTTGTTGCTGAATCATGAAACCTTGAATCAAGACTTAAGGCCCAAGGGTTCAAATACAAGTCGAGTGTAGGTCACCAGAGAGGACCCCCATGTGTTTGACCCAAATCCGCCACTGTGTGAACCTGGACTGACTGTGAGGGGCCTTTGGGATGCACAGAAAATATATTTCAATAATCAACATTAGATTCTGATCATGTTATGAGACTTAAATTATCAATGAAGTTGTTGCACTGTGTATAATTGATCTAGGTTGACCATACGTCCTCTTTTACCCGGACATGTCCTCTTTTTTGGGGTCTTCCTGGGTTTGTCCGGCTTTGTCTGGGGAAGTTTATAAAATCCTTCAAATGTCCGCGGTTTTGTACGGAAGTTTCGAGTTTGTGTCATGTGGACTTACTGAGTTAAAAGCGTGTAAAAGACACTCGATCAGACCTGAAAAACTCTCAAAATTAACTTCAAAATTAATCATTTTAGTTATTTTGCTAACAGTAATGGTCATGGCAACTTAAGCATCTGGTGTACTCTCCTGACTGTATCCTCGACAGATGGTTGTTTAAGTTTGTTTTCTTTGTGTCTTCGTCTCAATAAATCTTTTACATACACATCTTGCACCACTGTCACTTTCATTTGCAGTAAACCCTTGTCAGCAGAACTCAGGATTTGTGGCGCCTCTTAGAAATCATGTCAGAAACCAGTGCCCAACAAGATGGCACATGAATGCAGATGAACACACAGACCAGCCTCCACTGTCCGAGTTCAAGTCAGAGTGAAGTCAAGGGTCCCTGAAAGTTTAGAGCTCAGTATAAGCTACATCCTGCTTTGAGTGCAAAGTCCACAATAAACCGTTTGTCTGAGTCATTGTTTGGTTGAACCACAGAGATGACCACTGAGAGACGCCACATGTTTGAAGGAAAAGTCAAAACACACGAAACAGAAGTAGTGAAGAGAGAAAGAAAGAAAGAAAGAAAGAAAGAAAGAAAGAAAGAAAGAAAAGAAAGAAAGAAAGAAAGAAAGAAAGAAAGAAAGAAAGAAAGAAAGAAAGAAAGAAAGAACATCACTTCCGTCCAAACCCATGAGTAAGAGGATTACAGGAACTATCTGAGGTCATATCTCAGTTCATGACCACTAACCTTGGCTGCAGGCTGAGGTTTCACTCAAGGCTAACCGAGGACTTTAACTTTTACCTGTAGATCCCTGTGGTGTCTTACTTCAGCAGTGAAGAATTCAGTCTTTTTTTATAGGTCCTTATATAAAAGCATCTGAAACAAACCAATTTAGCATTTTTAGGTCTAAAAGAGATGTCCAGTTGACATCTTAACGTAGCCTCGACGACTGGTCTAAAATCAGACTACCACAGGTCTAAAAATGAGAGTTTTTTAGACGCCTGGATCTAGACCAAGTTTAGACTAGCAGAGGTCTAACAGAGGTCTAACTGTATATTGCTCAACAGCTATCATAATTATTTTGGTTTAGTACTTGGAGATCAGTTATGAAACTCACAGTTGCTTTTGAGATTAAAGTGCAATGTCTAAATTCTGTCTAAAAATATACAGAACCTAGAAAACCAGAACCCAGAACATCTAACAGCCGTCTATTACTCGGTAGGAAGGAACTAAAGCATTTTTTTATTTTAATTTGTCAATTTTATATAACATTGTGACCCTATCTGTACTAAACTGAAATGGAAACTAAGACCCTGCTAGTAAATGGAAGACGGTGTTAGTGATTTCTTTGACTTTTCATGCCCCCTTTTCCTTTTGTATTGCTTCAAGAACAAGAGGATGTTCTCGGAGTCGTTCATTGTTTAGTCATCAAACACAAACATTTAAATGATTTTTGTCTTTTAGATATGAGCCCGATGTATTCCTTTGCTGAAAGCTAACCAAAATAGATTATGTGTTGGTAAAGTGAAGCATTCCAGAGTGAGGAAACGTTCAGTTTATAACCTCATTACTTATCTCAACAAAATGTTTTCATGGAAGGAGACAAAGGAACGATCTCCCTCTGTGTGCCGAGATCACAACAGAAAACTTTGAAAAGGCGAATGAACAGATTGTTATCCTGTGTGGAAACTCATTAGCTCAGCAGGTTAGCATCAGGGCTGTCTAGAATACAGTTTGGTAAATTACAGAGTAAGTCAGTCATTATCTGATTGAGAAAAAATAAACACGAGAGGCCTAAAATGGTCCAAAAGCCTGCCCCAGCAGCTCAAATAAATACAGGGATGGGGCAAATTTAGATGCCACAAATGATGCTCTTCCCAACAGCAACTAGAACATAACTCATAATTATATGTTTGGTGTCTGGGAAACTTTAGACAGAAGTATTGAACAGTCAAATCATTTTGTACCTTTTATTCTATTAAGTGATTCTATTTCACTTTCTACTATCAGTTATAATGAGGAGCATCCTAGAGACTGTGTTCACTCTGTTACAGGCCTCGATCATTTGTCAAAATCAAACTACACGCTTCCTCCCAGTCATTATTACATTCCCATGTCATGCTGTCTTCATGGCGTCTCTCTTCCCTCTCAGTTTGGTTTTAGGGCAGCGCAGAGGAGGCCGCGTGTGCACTAAGCATGCTTGCACAGCGTGTAATTAACTATAAGAGGGGCCTTCACCCTACATGCCTCTGTTTTTCTGTTTTGAAATCAAAGGAGAGCTCTTCAAAGACATAGCTTTGCGTGTTTTACTGGATGTGATTGGCTGTCGGTCCGAGTTCCATTGTATAAATGGCTTCCATGTTGGCGATGAGGTAGATTACTTCCCGTTCCTGAGGACGCGCAACTTCGATTTCTCTCTGCACCGAGGAAAGGAAAGAGGTGAGGTGGATTTTTCACATGGAATAAATTGGGACTAACCTGATTTTTTCCCTCACTGGTATTACGCAAATGAAATAATGAGGAAACATGTTTAATAAATGTATATTTTTTATAGGAAGAGTCACAATGAAGCTCTTTGTGTTGATGACGTGCCTGCTCGCCTCCGCCTTGGCTGCTCCTGTAAGTCTCTCCTAAGTATAGATCTCCATTTTTAACCCACTCTTTAATATTCCTAACACTGTTTTTTTTACTCTAACTGTATGAAAATAAAACTCTTCCTTCCTTATTTCTCTTGCTTGGTTTGCAGGTTGCTGATAGTGAAAGCAATGAGGTAAGATGAAGACTAGTGTGCTTTTCTTCGTGTCTGTCTGCCCTTACATGTCACACCATGTTTTTGTCATGTCATCAAGTGAAGAGTAGGATATATGTCTGATACTGAGAGGATAATTGACTTAATTGCAGCTCATGTCTGGAGATGTCTGGTATTTCTTCAGCAGGTTGCGGCACACGCTAATGAAGCCCTGAGGTGGATGGAGATGTACAGGCTGTACCAGCAGCAGGTAGAGGGGGTTTATTATAGCATAAAAAAAGACAATAATTAAATACTCTAAATGACCTTACTGATTTAGAAAGTAACGGGAAACATCATCAATTATACTGTTAATCTGTATTTTTCAGGGGATAGTTGGAAACCCCTTCCTCCCTGCTGCTGATGCTCCTGTAAGTTAAAATCTTTGTGGACTCTAACACAACTTTTCTTATGAAGTTATTGGGAAGCTAAAATGCATTTAAAAAGTTCCTACTTCAACATGAATTATTCATTTGTTTAGGCAGATCCACTTGGAGCAGCAGTGGTAGGCACAAACACAGCACTGCAACATCTCCCCTGTCAAATCCCTAAAAGCTCTTATGGTTAAATCTGTTTTCGTTATGCAGTTGGAAGCTGCACCGGCACAGGCAGCTGACGTCCCCCCTCCTGCCCCTGTTGCTGTCGGAGATGCTTCAGAGGAGGAGGCAGAGGTGAGCAAACACCTTCACATTTAACCAAAGTAAATGTGGATCTCTCTACGGGTCTATTTGGGGGAAAAATATTGGTTTCACAGCCTACTAGAGTTTATTAGCTTGCATGTGGCGACTGCCTGTGAGGATTGTAAAAACAGCACACGGGCAGCCGAGTAGCACTCACAGAGAGCATTTCTAAAAAGGACAGGTGCATTGAATTCCAGCCGATGTGCCACAACAGTGAATTTACCTCTCAAAACAAATTCATAAAAAGCTATCCCTGGGGTAGGGGAACGTGAATGTTTGTCATTGTGCTTGATTTTATCTCTACCTTAGCAAAAGAAAAATAGGCTCTGGCGGCTATTGAAGTGACAGTGTGAAGACATGCCTGTAACCCTGCAGGAAGACACTTACTCTGAAGCAGCACGGAGATCGAATTTGATCATTCAGACACTGGCTTTTTTAACTGGTTGTACTGTTAGCAGTCAGATGTGAAATTCCAACGGTGGCCAGCAAAAAAACTTTAAAAAATTAGGTGAATATTTTGTTTACAGTTGTCTTTTTTAAAGAGAAAGAAATTGACATATTCTGTCTTGTGGGCCCTTAAAGTGCAGGAGTTATTTCAGCATGTAAGTGCATTGTGTTTGGATAAGGTTGTAGGATGAGATTTACACAGACTGAGAGACAGAAAAAAAAAAAAACTGGCTGCTACAGTTTAGAAAACACAACCAGAGTTATCTTCCATACATCTTAATTTACTTGTTAATGTAGGGTGACCATACGTTCTCTTTTATCCGTACGTGTCCTCTTTGTGGGGGCTGTCCAGCTTTATCCAGGGAAGTTTATAAAATCCTTCAAATGTCCGGGGTTTTGTATGGAAGTTTGGAGTTTGTGTCACCTGGACTTACTTAGTTAGAAGCGCATAAAAGACACTCGATCCAACCTGAAAAACTCTCAAAATTAACTTTGTGCGACTCTGTGAAGCTGCCTCTGCGTAATTGTCTCCTCTTTATGGTCACCCTAGTTAATGTGAATGTATCATGAAATCTCTAACATCAGCTTGTATGAACAATTTCTGTTTCGTTCGATCTAAGCAAACTTACATTTAAAGTGTCATGAACTTAACAGATCTCTATTATTTATATAGTTTCCTGAGTTTTTGTTGGTCATCACATGGATTTGTAAATCAGGATCATGTACCTGTCAGTTGTAGGTCATTTTCTTGTCATTTTCTCTGCACAGGAAGGCAACGCTGCCCCTAAAGCTGCAGCACCTGCTGCTGCTGCTGCTGCTGCCCCCTTGAATTCAGATGAGGTTGAGGAAGCTGAGGAGGTGGAGGCAGCAGAGGCCGAACCAGCTGTGGTCGAAGTAGCACCAGCAGAGCCTGCAGCAGAGCCTGCAGCAGACCCTGCAGCGGCTGTGGAGCCAGCTGTAGTGGACGCCCCTGTGGATGCTGCAGCAGCAGTTGATGCTGCAGCTGTGGATGTGCCTCCTGTTGATATAGTCCCTGTTGATGTTGCCCCAGCTGCCCCAGAAGTGGCTGTAGATGCTGCTCCAGCAGGTGTCCCTGCTGCTGATGCCCCGGTAGCAGAGGTTGACACAGCTGGAGTCTCAGCTGATCCTGTTGTACTGTAGTTATCTTCTAATAATTACCAGCCTGAGTGCCTCTGTCATCTATCAGCAGCAAGAGTAAGAGCAGGAAACAGTAATAGCTGATGTAGTTTCAGAAAACAAGGATAAAAGGTTGTTGTTCTTTGACAAGAGACTGAAAAAAAACATGTCAAAGTACTTAAGACTGTGAGGAGTAGATGTAGCCACATGCTCAGAGTAAATGAAGTCAAACGCTGCCATTTGATATCAATGTCCACAGGAGTTTATTCTATAATCTGGCCTGGATCACTTGACTTTTAGAGTTTTCTCACTCTAAAGACACATTAAAGCCTTGGGATCTGGCTATTAAGTGATTCTAGCTATAAAAACAAAAGATTCTCCTGGCAAAAAGACCAAAATGTCAAAGTGAGTGACTTCCCAGTGGCTACACCTACTTCTTCTGTACAGTCTATGAAAAATATGATATAAATAACAGTGAAGCTCAAGTGTTTCACGATTCTTGTGTTTCCTTTGTGGTGTCTATTTACAATTCTGAACATGAGATATCGTTCTGATTAGCCCTGACTGTATATTCATGTGTGCTCAAAAAATAAAGGTGTGTTTTTTAAGGATTTACAGGCTGCAGAGAGTTTGGTAAAATAAGAAAAAAGCAGGTTTTAGCAACAACAATGATGGGGGCTCAAGTCTATTCAAATGTACCTAGCCATGTGATGTGAACCTGCATACAAGACCACTAAACGTGTCAGCCACCGTCAATTTAATGTGTTCATCTGCAATTCTCTCACTGTTAATCGTCAAAATGTCTGCTTAAGTGTTTGGAAATGAAATAAAAGAATGGTGTCTGAGACAAACTCGGTCCATCTTCTCTCTTTTCTTTCAATCGGTGAGAAAAACTGCAAAACCAAAATGCTATCATCCACATAAACTTATTCATTATACGATAAAAATGATAGCATGACCACTAATGCTCCTCAGCTTATGTAAAGGAGTTGTTATAAGACTGCAAATAACACATCAGCCAATAGGGAGAGCCACTGAACCACAGGTTGCCTGTGCCAGACTTGGCTGAACTCCGTGGAGGAGGAGGAGGATCAACTCCTGTGGGACTGATTGAGATTCAGATTCAGTTTCACTCTCAGGCTTGTCATTCATGTAAGAGGAGCCTGATCCCACCGATCCGAAATCAGTAATACCCGGAGAGATTTAACAGGATAAGAGCTGGATATATCTGAGAGTGCTGACTGAGCAGGAGAGGCTGGTGTGTGGGAGAGTCCTTAAGTGTGCTCTGTGTGCGCAGGAAGACCAAGTCCGGATGATGTTCTGCACATGGTCAGAAAAATTACAGCCTGTCTCAGATATAAAAAAAAAAAAAAAAAAAAAGTTGCCAGAAGAGTTTTTCAGCGTTGTGGGTCTGCTCGAACAGATTAAGTGAAGGTTGTCCAAACTCTTTTTAAAGTATCTCATCCCCCGGCTGAGTGGTCAAATAAGAAGGATGAATGACTCTGTCCCACCTCTTGTCAGCCAACTCTAATCCACAAATCCTTATCAGGGTCACTGAGACTCAATGACACAGTTAGTTACACTCAATACCTGCAGGGGACACCTGTCTGGATATATTCTGATAACATTGAATTTCCTCTTGACGCTTGATGTGATAAATCTTCAGCAGCTGTGAGCAGCCAGCTTCCAGACATTAGAAAGACGCAGTAGTTTAAGGACTGCACGTTACAACAACAACTTCAACAGGTAAGTTAGATTAAACTGAGTGAGCTGTAAATATCTTGTTTGGGCAATCAGATGTCATAATATATGAATACGAAGCATTTTTATGTTTTCCCATATCATCTGAATCTGTCAAACAGAGGATGGAAATCAAATTTTCAAAGGAAATGTTGAAACGATAATGAATACAGTGAATAAAACATTTGGCCAGAGGGCTGATTATTCCTGTTTTACATACTGCAAATGAAAAACTGTTTGTGTCGGACATGATCTGATGCACACTTTAGCAAAGACTGCCTTTTGTATTTCTCTTTTGTAAAGAGGTTTGAGTCAGACACTGATTTCATGCAGTATTTACATACAAGTGACAGAAAACAAACAAAGACATATTTTTCAGTTATTTGCAGTTACTGTCATGATTTTTGAATCCAATGAGTGTTTCTTGGAATAGGACTAGTTGACATCTTCAAGCCTTGTTTTGCCAAACATCGTAGAAAACTGTAAATTATAACCACCATTGTAGGAGCCAAATATGTTGATGTGATACCATAGTATGAGTTGCAGTTCACTTTGTATGCCTTGGGTGTCACTGTCCTGTTATCTGGGGGCTCAGGAATAAAGGTAGCCATGTCACTGTTGTGGGCAGGTGATTGACCCAGAAGGGCAAAAGGTTTTTGACCGCTGTGGCTCTAACTGCCGGTGTTTTTCTTGTTTGGTCACTGTTTGATATCATTGGAAAATGGATTCGGTTATGTTCACTGCAATACATTTTTGTTCGCTGCATCTGAGGAACAGCGTCCGGACTTTCACTGATCAAATCTCACGGTAAAACTCAGTAGCGCGGCGCATCAACCAGGTAACTCTGGGTCAAGCATCTCAGTAGCTTAAAGCATCGACTTAGCTTCAGCAACCATAGTCAGGATCTTTTGTTTGGATCAACTTTTGCAACCTCTATGGACAAAGATGTACCTCATATCTTTTTGCTGCTTTGGTCTGTACTTATAAAAGACAGTATTTTTGACCACAATCTTTCTTTTTCCCCCATCCTTCAGCAACAGTCAAATATATCATACACTTTGAGTTTTTGGTTTTTAAAGGTTGGTACTTAAGCATGCTGTCAATCATCCGGCTTGACTCAGCCATGCAGCCCATCACTCATCCATAACTCATATTGATGACAGTCCAATTTACCTATACAGCTGATTAAGTCTACTTTCTGTAGGTTTACGTGTGTAGAAACAACAAGTATAATCGTTTGAGCATTTCATTCTTCTACATTTGTTTTTAATGCCTTAAATGTCATGATTGCTCTAGTTTCCACTCATGAGGGCGTTGTGGAGTCATGTTTTGTGTGTTTGGAGTCTCTCTCTCCTTCACAGAGGTTGGGCGGATCCTCACCAGCACTGGCTCCTCCTGCACCTGATTCACCACCTGCTTTTAAACTCTGGTATCTCGGACAGCTTCTAGAGAAGTTATTTGCTATATTGTTAAAGTTTACATGTGAAGGTTTTTGCCATTGATTAATCCCCACTCTCCTCCTTTCTCCTCCAGTACCTCCACCAGTCACCAGTGTCTGCCCAACCTCTGACACACCTCCTCACAGATTCACCCACCTGCAGTTTCCCCAAACCCACACACTGCCTCCCCTTCCTCACCACAGATCTCCTCCACTTTCTGGACCTCAGAGCTCACTTCACCTGCACAATCGATTATCAATAAAGCCTCTTTAAGCTTCTACTGCCTCCCTTACCTGCTTTTGGGTCCCTCAAGAACGATTTGCAACAAATCCTCACAGAAAAATCCATCTATCCATTTTCTACCACTTTTTTCGTTGGGGGGGCTGGAGCCTATCCCAGCATCTTGGGGCGAAGGCAGGAGACAACCTGGACAAGTCGCCAGTTCATCGCAAGGCCGACATATATGCTGCACTCCAGATACCTCGGAAGTCAGAAGTCCGAGCTGGGAATGACGTCACACCCGAGTTACCAGTGGAGTTGGAAGAAAGCAAAATTGAAGGCAGAGACAAGATGGCTACATCTAAGAAAGTTATTTTAATGCTTGCCCTGTCCGAATATAAGCAAGGACAAGGTAAGCAATAAAATAACTTTCATAGTTGTAGCCATCTTGTTTCCACCTCTGATTTTGCCTTTTTTACGACTTGGTCACTGAAATGCTGGTAACTCGGATGTGCTTCATTCTCAGCTCGGACATCTGACTTCCGAGGTAACTTGAACGCAGCAATAGAAGCAAACAACCATCCACACTCACACCTACAGGCAATTTGGAAGTGACCAAGTAACCTAACCCCACTTCTGCATGTTTTTGGGATATGGGAGGAAACTGGAGTAAACCCACACAGACACACCCTGACCCGGATTCAAACCCAGGACCTTCTTGCTGTGAGGCGTCAGTGCTAACCACTACACTGCTGTGCTGCCCCTCGCATAAAATGATATTTAAATGAACTTTTATTGTTTTTTTGCAGCTTAATCTTGTTTTTACTGTCAATATAAAGATCAACAAATGGCCTCAGGTTTGGATGAGGAATCATGTAAAGTGAATGGGTGGTTATGCTAACAGAATTGCGACAGGATGAGCAGGACCCTGACGAAAAATGGAGGGATCCTGCCTCACTTCATTTAGCTTTACCTCTTCTTCCTAAAGCTGCACCTGGCACAACTTTAAACACAAATAACACTGATTTCACAGCTGTTTTCCGAACTATAAGTCACACTTTTTTTTCATAGTTTGGCGAGGTTTGCAACTTATACTCAGGTGCGACTTATATATGTTAAAGTATATGCTGACAGGCGCTAGAGGGCACTCAAGGCTGGTGTACCAGTATCTGCTACTCCTGTACCACTGAAGATTTAAAAATTAATGTTGACTGATATTGACAACTGAGAAAGACTAAGCACGAATGCTGCCAAAAAGAAAATCATACTCTGTAGTAGTGAAATATGCAGCCGAAAAGGGCAATCAAACAGCAGAGAGAGAGTTGGAGTGAGGGACTGGCGAAAAGCAGAGGTTACTCTTACTGTGTTGAAGAAAACAAAAAAAGCTCATCCTGGGCTAAAGCTAGATGGCTACATTATTATTATAATTTGCCTTTCGAGGGGAAATGTCTGTTCTTGGTCTTGGATTTTGTAAAAATTAAATTTCCCCCCAAAAATGTGACTTACACCGGTATATGTTTTTTCTTCTTTATTATGCATTTTTTGGCTGGTGCGACTTATAGTCCTGAAAATAAGGTAATTCGACATGGTCATAAACATATTTAATCTGTATGATCTAGTCAGCCACCCCTTGGGTATCATTATGAATTACACCAGCAGGAGGCCCATCCACATCAGCAGCAGCATCACACACGGTTTCATTGTGTGTTTTTACAGGGTAAACTGCAGATCAGCCACCATGACCACTTCAAGCATCCTTCGCCACCCTACAGCGCCACCTCGCACTTCAGCACAACTCACTGAGGAGCCCAGCAGAGATGACCTGTACGCTTCTCTCTAAACTGAACACTTTCAATTCACCAATGAGGAATATCAAGACTTTTCAGTTAATTGACTTTGTGTCTCTTCTGCTCTTTTTGTCCCACAAGTGTTCCTGAATCTCATTTCCTTCATCAGTCCAACATGAATAACAGCAACAACAATGAAGAGTGAGTGGGTTTATGGAGTCATTAGAGCACATCAAAAAGAAACTGTGAGCCTCAAAGTCATTAAAGTAAGAAGGACTAAATGTGTTAATTAATCAGTTTCTGGGGAGAAAATGAAGAAAAGGAAAAAGGAGGAGAAGAGAGAGTCATTATGCTTTTCTACAAAACCTTTTGTTTATGATGGGTTTGGAGGAAGAGTTGATGATCAGTATTCTCATTTGTGCTGATGCACTTACAGAGAGAAGGAGAAGAGAGAAAAGGAGAAGGAAAAAGAGAAAGAGGACAAAGAGGAGTAAGTGAATCGGTCAGTTCAACTACCTCAGGGCAGCTTCCAGCACGTCTTAATTTGCTTTTGTTTTTTTATCTCTCTGTTCGCAGGCCCAAAGAGTTATTCGTCTTCAATCCTGCTGGGACTCTGTATTACAACTGGCTGTTCATCATAACACTACCAGTCATGTATAACTGGACCATGATCATAGCCAGGTGACTTTTGGAAATGTTCTTCTCTCACAGTAAAAAGCTCCCTGCAGGAAAAATGTTTGATGATTCCATTCAGCTACATTAAGCAGCACTAATTAAACCTCGCTGCAAATCATGATAATTTCCTCATTTGGCTGACTTTAACTGAGAGAAGCTGGGCTCTTTTGTAAAAGCTTGTGGCTAATCCACTTTGATTTGCGTTGAATACACTACAGTACGGTGAATGTGCTTGACATGGTTAATTTAATGTCCTCTCCTACAAACAGGGCCTGCTTTGAAGAGCTGCAGCACAACTACATCATTTATTGGGTCTTTCTGGACTACACTTCAGATTTAATCTACCTGGCTGACATGTTTGTGCGGACCAGAACAGGTAAAACCCTGAGCCTGTTAAAGGGATACTCCGGCGTAAAATTAATTTAGGGTCAAACACACCGTAACACCGAGTTAGACACCCCCTCCAGAGATGAATGTTGCCGACCGCTTGCTTCTCTAGTTATATCAACTTTAGTAATACACAGCAGTCTAAGGAGCCATAAACAAACGTCAACAATAGTACAAATAGGGTCCTAGCCATAGTACTAGTCACCAAACATCTTTTTAGCTTTGTCTGATTTCTTTAGCAAAGAGATTAAACGCAACTCACCTACTCTCTTCCAGCAGCCACTTGTTTGTACGGAGACCTCGGACGAGTCCATCACGATTGCAGCAGGGTGACGCAGCTCAAGGAAGAACATTTATGATACTTTCTTCATGGAAATGCAATCAGACCGAGATGCTAAGACAGAAGAACAACCGCATCTACAGTGCAAATTTATTAATATGGTGATTATTACTTCAAGGAAATGATAAAAAAATGATCATAAATGTTCTTCCTTGAGCTGCGTCACCCCGCTGCAGTTGGTGATGGACTCGTCCGAGGTCTCGCTACAAACAATCAGCTGGTGAAAGAAATTAGAACCTTGAACCCTAAGAAATTAGGCAAGGTTAAAAAGAGATTTGGTGGCTAGTGCTATATGTACTGAGGATGAAGTTAGGTGCTGTTCTGAGCATTATTTGGTTGAGGTTTGTTTATGGCTCCTCAGACCGCTGTGTATTGCTATCGTGTGGTCATTACCAAAGTTAGTATATCCAGAGAAGCAAGCGGTCGGCAACATTCATCTCTTGAGGGGATGTCTAACTCGGTGTTACAGTGTGTTTGACCCTAAATTAATCTTACGCAGAATATCCCTTTAAGATGAGCATGTTTTAAAAAAAGCTGGGAGGGATGGATTCATCATATTTGTTACACACCTGCTTAAAACCAAAGCTCATTTTTATATCAAAGTCATACTTACACAGTCTGAGCTGTATAAACCACAGGGAAATTGCCTCGTCAGGTTTTTCTCTTGTCAGCACAAAATTCTCTTTTAGTGTTATCTCCCTATATAAGAAAATGCTAAAATGCTGTCCTGGGAATCATTAAGAGGATATTCTCTGCTAAAAAGACTAACTCTGGGAGATATCCTCCTCTTTTCACTAATCTGGTCTGCTGAAGCCTCAAATTAACTTCACTGAACTTGAAAATGCATTTTTGCTCATAAATTGAAAGCAGCTGTGAGTTTTGTCCCTGGTCACCTTTCACTGCAAACACATTAAGGAAGGATTAAAGCAGAAAATAAAGAACTGTTTTAACATATATCGGGACAGAATGGTACAAAAGAGGATTAGGGCCACATGAAGAGAAAAAAAATTATTACAGGAAGGAGATTATGGTCGAAATTTCAAGATTAAAGTTGAAATTTCAAGATTAAAAAAATTGAGATTAAAAATGAAATTTTAAGATTGAAGCCGGAATTTCGAGATTACAAAATGTGTAGATGTTGTGAATAATGTTGAAATTCAAGATTTAAAAAATTCAAATTTTGAGATTAAAATCAAAATTCTGAGATTAAAGTCGACATGAACAAAGTCAAAATTTCAACTTTTTAAAATTTCAACTTTAATCTTGAAATGGAAATTTAAAAAATCTACCTCCTGTAATCATTATTTTTTCTTCTTGTGGCCCAAATCCTCTTTCGTAGAATTATGATGTATATCGTATTAGGTATTAAAGAATAATAAAAGCTATTGATCAACACTGAAGTGCACCAAAGCAAACAAACATTTTAAGCATAAGGGAGAAGTTCTCCCGCCACTAGATGTCACAAACTCTAATTTTTACCTGTATGTGACCCTATATTTCAAGTTTTGACCAACATGAGTCATGACTTTTATAATAAGGCTTTTATGGGTCACTCAGAGTCTGATTTACAAAGAAATGGATTGCAGTTGCTAAGTGTACCACAATAGATTATGCGCCCTTCACTCTTGCTCTCTGCTTCGTCTCAAGGCTCTATTCAAATATTAAAAATGGTAATAGTATTCAAGGACAAAAACTCCCTACAAAAGTTTTGGAGTCAACTCTGTGCAGTTGACTTGAGCTTTGTATTTTATCATGACTGAGATGAGCTGCAGGCATCCCCCTTACCCTCCTGCACAGAGCAGCCCTGTGTACTCTGATAATGATGGTACTGAAGTAGATCCATGTGTATGAGGAGCTGTACAGAGAGCTGGATGGAGAGGGAAGTTTCTTAACTATCTATTGTGAAGCACTTGGTTCACAACAGCTCATTCAGAACAAAAAACAAACACTGTCATGTGTAATAGGACAGCGCAGCAGGTACTTTATGTGTTTGGAGGGAAGCTTCGCCACAGACTACCCCAGGCTGATTTAACTCCTGCTTTTTGCAAAAACAATATTTTCTAAGGTATAGAAAGAGACCTTATGCACAGATATATCATTTCTGGGTCATTCTGAAGTTGCCTCGATGACTGAAGACTTTGCAGACAGGTATTTCACTCTATGTGGGGCTATTGCCACCAGTGTTGATTTGTTTTTTACAATAAGGTTTATTTTTATGAAGAGAGGCATTTATTGCTTCAAATAAATGCATTATGGGGCTCGGCTATAATCGATTCACAGAGATGGTGTTCACTCCGAAGCTCCCCTGCATACTAACAGGCTCAGTTAAGTCCTGCTACAGTCATACCTCAATCAGCCGGTTTAGACTTCTATTCTTGCCCCGATGCACAGGCCCTCTGTGAGGATCAGTTGCGTCTTAGCGGCAGACGGAGAATGGCAGTATGCTCTCTTTCAGCCAGTTACTACACAGCCTTCTTCTGACTGGTCTATTGCATCACCTGCCAAAACAAGAAGTCAAAGAGAGGCAAGCTGGTTAACTGTCAAACAGTGAACAAATAGACAACTTTACAGCCCACGACAGCTTTGCCTGTCATCCTGTTTAAGTTTTTTTTGCTTCCATCTACAATTTTGTGCCATTCAACTTTTGGATCAAAGCCACGTGTGACCGCACACTGGAGCATATACAACATGTACACTTTAAAAGAACCGTAGTCCATGACCTGTTTGGAATGGTTTGAAAGTTAAAACAACCTCCAGTGTGGACCAAACAAGTGAACTCTGGTCCGCTTGAAAACAGGGGCTTTCAACCCTTTTTCATCTCATTTGAAGTGTAAAAAACAGTCTTTTAAGCCATAAAGTGAACCTGTGTTATCATGGAAACAGGTTGTAATCACTCACTTTCATCAGTGATGCTGCTCTACCTGCTTCTCATAGTGGGCGACTTCTTGCTTCTGAACTCAGAAGCAAAGCAGACCTTAAGACTGTATTCAGCCGCTGTTGCTCCATTGTTTGTTTATATGGTGGACAAGCAAAAAAGGATGGATTTCCGTTATCTGTTCTGGCCAATAGATGAGCCGTTTTCTTCACCAGTGCCTGTAACACTACAAACTGTCCCAACGTACTTTTGAACCACACATTTCTACTGTCAATGAGAGAAAGGAAAGCTGAAAAAGACACCATGAATCACTCAAGCACCTGATTAAAGTTTCTTGTTTCATCACAAAGTATGTAGACATTTTCTTTTCCACTAAGCGGTGTTTAAACTCCATTCCATCCCATTGCATTAGCCATTCTCCGTTTCCTTTATGTGGTTTTTTCAGTTGCTTGTTTTCCCGGTTGAGAAATCGATTTGTCGGAAAAGAATTAACACGGTCTCTTGCTTTTCCTCTACTTCTTCAAAAAGTAAAAGAAAAAGCTTTAAAGTAAACAAACTGACTTCTATAAAAAAATGAGTCTCTGGTCAGACCAGTATCCTTCGTGTTGGTCTGTTGTACAAAGATAGTGATGCTGTGATTAGTCAATCTGAATAAAGAGTTCAGCACAGCCATGTGATAAAAAAGTAATAAAAAATGGATTCAGACCCTTTTTCTGAGACTTAAAGTCCGAAATAACACCTTTTGAAGTTGTGATCTTTCCTCTTCTTTAAATGCAGGTTACCTTGAGCAAGGATTGATGGTTAAAGACGAGAAGCTGCTGAAGGATCGGTACGTAACCAGCCTTCAGTTTCGGCTGGATCTTATCTCCATGCTGCCCACTGATGTCCTCTATTTATACTACGGCCTTGACTACCCAGAGATCCGGATCAACAGGCTGCTCAGAATCAGTCGCATGATGGAGTTCTTCACAAGGACAGAAACCAAAACCAACTACCCTAATATCTTCCGTATTGCAAACTTGATCATGTACATCCTCATTATCATCCACTGGAATGCTTGCTTCTACTTTTCTTTCTCCAAATCAATCGGCTTTGGTTCTGATGATTGGGTTTACCCAGCTGTGGATAATCCAGACGAGCCTGCGTTCGGGCAGCCCATGAGGAAGTATGCATTCAGCCTTTACTGGTCCACACTGACCCTAACAACCATCGGGGAAACTCCACCACCAGCCTTGGACTCGGAATTTGTATTTCATGTTGCCGACTTTTTGGTTGGTGTCCTAATCTTTGCAACCATTGTGGGAAACATCGCCACTATGATTTCTAATATGAATGCTGCCCAAGCTCAGTTCCAGGCCCGGATTGACAACATCAAGCAGTACATGCAGGTAGATCATAGATTTTATATAAAAATGTTTGTTTCCTCTTTGTTTGGAGTATCAAGGGAAAATGGCAAATTATATACAGTCCTTTTGTCAACCATGATACTGTGGTTCCACTGCTTGCAAAATAAAGTCTGATTTTTGTAGAGCTGTTGGTTTCAAGTCCACCTCCATGTTAGACAGATGGTGAAGCAGCAGGTGTGATAAGATGACAACCTGCTATAGACTAGTCCAAACATGCCTTTGCTGTCAACCAGTTTAGACATGTACTCATAATAATGGTTTTCCATGGCTCAAGAAACCAGAGCTTGTGTGATCTTGTCTTGTTGAGCACAAATACATACAATGCTGGTCTGCCAATCGGTTGGTTGCATTGCAGCCCACTGAGCATTTTTTGGTCTGAAAGAGGTCTAATAGACGTCTAAATGTAGCCTAGACAACTGGTCTAAAATCAAGCTACCACAGGTCTGGTTTTAGAAGTCTAAATTTAGACTAAGTTTAGACCAAGTCTAATTTTGGGCTGTATCTATACTACACTGTATATTGCTCAATGGCTATCATAATTATTTTGGTTAAGTACTTGGAGATCAGTTATGCAACTCGCAGTTGTTTTTTGAAATAGTTATCGAATAATGGGTTAAAGTACAACGTCTAAAAATATACAGAATCTAGATGGTTAAAATTAGGTTTACAAAACAACTAGATGTCTAATAGCCATCTAAGAGCCGTCTATTGCTCAGTGGGGGTGGTACTATGGTCCAATTTTTTAAATTTCCAAATTGTTCTCTATTGTGGACCAGCAAGCTCACTGAGTCTTAGGATCTCATTTCCAAGAAGAACCACGTTAGAGTGACAGTGTAACATAAAATTATTTATAGTTGTAATCATAAATTTAACATGTGGACCTTCAATTTCTGAGCAACTCTGCTCATCTGTCTACAAATCCTGTTTTGAACATTTGTTTTCCGTTTCCCTACAGGTCCGAAAGGTCAGTAAAGAACTCGAGCTGCGAGTCATTAAGTGGTTTGACTATCTGTGGAATAACGGTAAGGCACAGGATGAAAGAGAGGTGCTGAGGTATCTCCCAGACAAGCTGAAGGCTGAAATTGCCATTCAAGTCCACATGGAGACCCTAAAGAAAGTCCGCATTTTTGCAGACTGTGAGGCAGGTCTTCTGATCGAGCTGGTGCTCAAGCTGAGACCGCAGGTGTTCAGCCCCGGAGACTATATTTGCAAAAAAGGTGATATTGGCCGAGAGATGTACATCATCAAAGATGGAAAACTGGCAGTTGTTGCTGACGATGGGGTCACGCAGTTTGTTGTGTTGGGAAGTGGAAGCTACTTTGGTGAGATCAGTATTCTTAATATTAAAGGCAGCAAAGCAGGTAACCGGCGAACAGCCAACATCCGCAGCATTGGATACTCCGATCTTTTCTGTCTGTCCAAGGACGACCTGATGGAGTCACTGACAGAGTATCCAGATGCAAAAGCCATGCTTGAAGACAAAGGCCGGGAGATCCTGATGAAAGATGGTCTGATCGACTTGGACCCAGCGAACATCAAGCCTGAGGCCAAAGAGCTGGAGGAGAAGGTTAACAAATTGTACAGCACGATGGATCTCATGCAGACCAAGCTGAAAAAGATTCTGGGAAATTACCACACCACCGACAGGGCTCTCCGACACCGCATCGCAGATCTGGAGCACCTGACGGGAGAGGAGGTAGAGGATGATGAGGATGAAGGAGAGATGAAAAAGGAAGAGGGAGAAGAGGGAGATGAAGCATTGGATGAGAAGGAAAGAGATGGAGAGAAAAAGACAGACGGGGCAACAAAAGATGAAGAAGAGACAGCTGGAGAGGGAAAACCAGCGGAGAAAACAGACAAAGGACCGACAGAAGAAAAGGAAGAATAGATTCATTACTTTTGGAAAACAAAAGCACCCTCTTAATATGACACATGAGAGTCTTTTCTATTGGACTGGCTTCTTGAATGACTCAATATTAATTAAATACTTTGTTGAACTTTTCTTCAAAAGGTATCGCTGGTTTTTGTGATGATAAGAACCAAGGACAGACATTTGGTGGTAAAATATGACGATGACAGTCAAGACTTTTAATAAAATTTTGGCTTCAGTGACCTTTTGATTGTGCTTATTTTATTGATATACAGATCACAAGGCAAAAACTTTTGAGTTTGTAATGGCAAACAACCCGTTATCTTTTTCTTTTGCCCCATTATTCATGAAAGTTGTATAAAAAGACATAAAATAGTAGTTTAATGGTGTGTTGGATTCAGCCGTGAGGGCTGAACGGGGCTCTTCACTCAGTTGTCATTGGATGTTGTGCATGGAGCCAAATGTGACCATATGTGTTATGCATTGACATGATATCCCTTTATTCCCAAGATAGTTAGTTAGTTTATTTAACAAGGAGGCTTTTGGAATATGTTCAGTTTTGAGCCAGTTATAAAAGATCTGCTGTTTTTGGCACTGCACTGGCTTTTTTCCAGCGTGGAGGTCTCCACACTTTTTGAGTACAACCAAAAAAGGAAACAAAAGTTCGATCAAAGGCAGCGGTAATCTGCTTTGTAAAAGGATGGTAAAAGTTAAGGTTGAAGTTAAGAATATGACTGTAAGGGTTAGGGGAGAAGTCCAGGGTTTCAAAATAACACAGAAATTCACAATTATGCAGAAAAACTTGGTTGGTTTAGAAAACCTCATCTCTTTGCGGTCTCAAAGATTAGAAAATCCTTCTTTCTGGCAGCTCTCTCCAAGTCAAGGAGAAGAGTGCTTTAGCAACTAAGATAAAATCACTGCACCTCTGTGTAAACTAAGATGCTTATCCAAGTTACTGTTTGATGTCTGGTTATTTTTTTATTTTCAACTGTTTTAAGTTGTTATTTACATGACCTAAATAAATACATAAATAAACCTAAAAATTAAAGAAAGCGAAGACAATTTCAATCTCTGCTGGCAACAGGCATTATTTTGTAAAAGAGATGCCAGTCATCCCGTTTCAGTGGGCACTTATCCTTTGTCAACAAACACTCTCCCTGCCGTCTCCATGGTTAGGCATGCATGTCAAATCATCATCACAACTCAGGTCACTTATCAGAGCAACTGGCATCCTCCAGGCTGTTTGCCAGATCAACCTGTTGGTATATGAAGTCTCTTGTTTCTACTGGAGTTCCACATGCTGTTGATATTCCAGTGAGACCCGCCAACAGCATGCCCTGTCCTCCAAAGATGTCTGACTATATTAGAATTAAATACGTTTTGGTTTACTTGCCACTTCAGCACGGATGACCAAACCTCTATGAACCGGCTGACAAACATTGTCACTACAACAACGTCACATGACTCCTCTGAAAAAACTGCAGGAAATTTGTAGTCGGAGCATGTCAAGGTGGAAAAAAACCAAAAACGATAAATGTTAAACTCCAGCACTCTCTTTACCCTCATTCTCTGCCCCAGTTTGACATTCCTGTACTGATCACTAATGGTCTCCCAAGGTACGAGTTATGACGACCTAAGACATTTTTTAACAGAGGCTAAAACCAAAGTCAGCCCTCTAATTTGCCATCTGGTGTACATCCTCCTGTGACTGTGGGCAAATCTCATTTAACCCAAAGGCTTTTAAGCCCAAAAAAATGACCTGTTTTATGCCGTTAAATACGGGAAGTTTTGTTCATTTTTAATTAAATCATTGGAGAGTTGTTGTAACACAGACTGACCCCAATATCCTGATGCTGACAAAAACCTGGCAGAAAAAGTGAATAAATGATTCAGCTGGTTAGAATAAAATTTACAGCATAGACTAATTGGTGTGGTTTCATGTGAAGTCAAATTTATCGATCACTGCTTTCCATGCTATCTTAAAATCCATGTATTTTTTACTTTGCTACCCTGACAGAAAAAAAGCTGTAATTGTGTTGAAACATTATCTCTAGATGCCTCCAGTCCAGTCAATAAATCATCATCATCAACCAATTTCAAGCTAGTACACAGGAAACTAAGCTTTTAGTGATTCTAATCAAAGTTGTTTAAAAAAATCACTCAAAAGGAGATGATGTATTGACGTATTGCTACGACCCGCCAAGAAGCATCAGAAGTCATGATTTCTGTTTTATGACATTAATTTTAACACAACAGAAAGAAACATGATAAAAAAGGTGTGCAGGGGGAAGATGTAATACCAACACAAGGTATCCCAACAGGATGGGCAATGGGGTGTATTTCATTCCATTTCCAAAACCAAAGAAAGACTGGAGTAAATGTCTGCTATGGATTAAGTTGTGTGGCAGACCACATGGCCAACTTAACGTCCAGAAAATCAATAAGGATGTCTACGTTTGTTCTATGGCAAATCACGCCAACAAAGCTTTAAATCTACTAACTTTACCTACAGTTATTTAATCGTCATTTGCGATGTAGTAACAGCGCTTTTGTCTCTGATAAACTAGCTAACGCTAATGTGAGCCCAGGTTAGCACACTAGCTAAGTGACTGTAACACTCAGTGCCTCTCCAGATTAGTTTAAATAATTAAAGGTAACTTAATTTAATCTTACCCTGCGGTACACGAAAAGTGTTGTTCTTGGATGTTGTCATCGGTGATAGTGACGAGTGTAAGATGAGGCTTCTCCCGCTTGCATTGGGATCTGAACACCCTCGTCTCTAATTTAACTGTGTTCTCACCATCAGCATCTAATTTTAAATTCTGGACATATCCCTCCTTAATGAAACATAATGAAGTCCCTTTTGAAGGCTTCTCCAAGAAAACACGTCATTCCGTTTGTCGAGACCCTCTTGGGGTAATGTTTTGACAATGGCCATTGTAAAGCACCGCTCAGCTCTGAGTTAGCAACAGTAACTACGGAGGCCGGCTTTGTGATAGGTCAATTATAACAGCAACCTGTCACTGCTAACTTGACCTCACCATAGAGCTCCCTAAAGATCAACGCTGACAGATTTCTCAATTACTAGATATGAGAGAAGTTCAGTTTGTGTTTAGATATTTATGATTATGTTTTTTGTTTGCTGTTGTACCCAAACCTTCATACTTTTCCCCAAAGTAATAGTGCCCCACACCTTTAATGGGCTATAAAGAGAACAAATATCTTGGGGAACAAAATAAAAGTACTCCAAAACGCCTGATCGCTGCTGAGTGTGGCCAATCGATCATCGTTTGAGTGTGACAGCGTGGAGGGGCCACGGGGACACGATCAAAGCTCTTATACATTAAACAAGTCACTGCTGAAGCTGAACAGTAAGAAAGGAAAGCTCTCTGTCACCGAGAAAGATGTTGGTGATTAGTTGCCAGGCTGTGCGTGACTTATCTCTTCTTTCACTTTGACTTCACCACTGTCAGGTTGATACTTTCTCAATACCTGGAACAAGAGAATCAAGAGGAGGTGAAAGGCATTAGATGGTTTGTTAAACTCTACTGCAGGTGGTAACCATTCAAGTATAGAGGACCGACATGTCCTCCAAAGTCATTGTTTTCCTTCCCTATGGTAAAACACTATTGTTTTTCTCTTGTTTCATCTTGATGAACCCCATCTGCTTCTGAAGAGCCACACATTGTTCTGATGTCATTTTTCACACGATCAAGTTGAAAAGTGAAAAAAATTGCTTTCACACTATGAAATCATAAACCCCAGTAAAAAGGTCTAATAAATATATCAAACTGCTGATGTTATATATTGAGCTGGGTACAAATTTGGAAAACTTTATTGATTGTGCACTACAGACACTTTGCCATTTACTAAAAGAAATCACTGCACAACATTTTCCCCATAACCTCAATTTCTATTTCAACCTCGCTGATGATTTCTAGTTGTTGCCAGTTTAAAGTCAAGACTCTAGATGGAAGATAAAATGCTGCTGACAATGTGACTGCTGCTGAAAAAGAAAACACTAAAATTGAGAAAACAAGGAACTAAAGCAGTAGCCTCAAAAATCACTTAGGAGTTTGCAAAAGTGTCATGGAGGCTGACAGAGGCCAACAGCCAATTTTTCACTCATTAAAAAAGCTGACTTTATTCTGCTCAGACTTTTTCATGTGTGAAAATGATCCATATCAGCTGTCTATAGGGAAAGTGAATGAAGTCTTCTGAGTTGTAATAAAACACTGTTACTGCTGTTAAACTTTCGTGTCTCTGGTTCATAAATCTGTGCAGCATGTAATTACGGCTCTTGCACGTCCGTGGTGTCACCTCTCCATTATTGCCGGTTGTTCATCTCCAGGTCTTATCTTTTAAATTCCTTTGTTTTTATCTGAAATGTACATCACAGCCTACATTGTATGAATACTAATGTTGTACGTTCTTTGTCGTCTCAAACTCAATTGTTTTAGCCAATGAAAATGTCGTGGGCAGAGCAGGCATGTTAAAGTAGCATAGCACATGTCATTTATCCTGTGGAAATAGCTGCCTATTCGGCTGATTTCCCAAAGGAGATATTCCACTGTGGAATTCACAGCCAGAGGGTTTAACTATATCGAACAGAATTAACAGAAGAAAAAAAACCCGAATGATGAATTAAAGGAGTTGAACTGCCAAGTCATAGAGCTGCTTCAGCAACTATTTTAAAAGAATTAATCATCTTAATGGTGGTGATAAAAGTAGTAAAATCCTCACGTCACCTAATGAGAAGTTGTTTGGGAGTATCTAGTTTACTGAAGTTAAATGACTCAAAAACTGCATGAAAAGATAATGACTGAGGGTGAGTAGAGGAAGTGCCGTTCTCCCATTCAAAGACTGAAAACAGCACTACTTTATGTGGTTCTCTTAATCCCATTGAGTCCTACTGAAGACATGATGCTTTCGTCCAACCATGTCTGCAGCAATATTGGACACAAATTAATACTAAAACTGGGAAAATGCTTCAGACACTCCAAAAAGATCGGATCATA